ATAATAAAATACTTACTTTATAAATCTTTGTTTTCAATACATTACATGGTCCAAGGACTAGTCCCTACCGTACTCCATCGTGTACTGGTACCTGCTCCTGTTACACTAGTATAAAACCTTGATAAAACTTTAATAAAAATGTGGCATGAATTGTGCATGTAAAAGCTCTTACATTTCCAAGAGGCACAACTCCTTTAAAAATAATAAGTGTTGCCAAATTCAACATTTTTACCTATCTGATTACTTAGATTATCTTTCCACCGATTCACCAGTATAAAAGTTCAGACGTTCAAAGAGAATTTTAGAATACTATACAAATAACACATAGCTGAGAGGGTGATAGAGCAGATTGTTACCCCGAGAAAACATTGTCAACTGAGGCAAATCCAAGGTTGACAATGTCTTTTCGAGGGGAAACAATCTGCTCTATCACCCTCTCAGATATGTGTTATTTAATTTATTATACTGAATGTTCTGTTATTACTGTCTATTAAATTTCAAGTTCAAAGTAATAAACTGTTCTGTTATTACTGTCTATTAAATTTCAAATTCAAAGTAATAAACTATGTCGTCTTGTAGTGAGTTGTACAGAACAACCATTCGTTTTTAATAAAGCGCACACTTGATCAAGCATCTCAGTGAAGGGTAATAGAGTATTTGCAATAGGATAGTATATAAATAACACATAGCTGAGAGGGTGATAGAGCAGGTTGTTACCCCGAGAAAACATTGTCAACTGAGGCGAAGCAAAGGTTGACAATGTCTTTTCGAGGGGTAACAATCTGCTCTATCACCCTCGCAGATATGTGTTATTTAATTTATTATACTGAATGTTCTGTTATTACTGTCTATTTATTTTCAAATTCAAAGTAATAAACTATGTCGTCTTGTACATGACATTCATCCGTATTTATTAAAGCGCAAACTTCAGCAAGCGTCTCTGTGAAGGGTAATAGAGTATTTGCCATGTGATAGAGTAAATTGTCTCCCTCGTATTAACCAATCAAAATCTGGCATTTTGACGTGAAGTATAATAAATGGTTATATGATACGAGATATTGAGGTTTATCAGGACATCCTTTCCAAGATCATTGTGTATTGTTCAAGTCTGCCTGCATGTTACTGGTCCAACCAGACTACACTAGATTTGCATTTCACAATTTTTTAATCAGCATTTCACTTGAAAGGTGACCACGATGTGGATGATTGGCATTTTTACATTAACGTTCAAACTATATTAAGTTGAAGTTGAAATAATGAACTAAATTGTAAACCAACAACTGTTCAATTTATATTTATTTCACACAAATATACCTTGTAAATAATTTTAAATTTACATTTACCCCATGCTGATAGGCAAGATATGTCTTAATGCTAATGTCAAACTGGAATGTTTATTGTTAATCAAGTAATCAATACTTGACAATATTGATTCATAATAATCATTTTAAAATTTATCATAACTATTTATGATTTCAATAACAGGGTTTCAGCTGGCAGTCGCTATTTTTCCCATTTTAGGGAAAAAATATAATTGTGGCCATTAAAAATCATGATTGGCAAAAGAATTTGGTGAAAGAAATATAATGTTTGACTTCGTCCATTTTTTTAATTTTGTTTCAGGTTTCTCAGACTTTTTCCCTGATAAGACAGTACTCAGATTTCACCTTGAGCTGGTATTGATTTTGTCAGAAAATCAATTAAAGAACCTTAGTGAGCGCGCTCACATACCCCACGTCCCCACATTGTCATTGTCATTGAAATAAAATAAGTGTAAGAAAAAAAATTGTATAAGAAAAAAAAAAGAATCATAATTTCCTGTCAATATGCAAATCTACATAGTATGTCCTTATTATCTACAAAGTTTCATGAAATTCTGTTGTGTGGTTTCAGAGGAGTTGTGATGACAAACTGTTGCAAAAGTACATTGAAGCAAATAAGTTCAAAGGGGCGTAACTCCTAGAAAAAAATTGAAATATTAATTTCCTGTCGATATGCACATCTACGTAGTATGTCCTTATTATCTACAAAGTATCATGAAATTCTGTTGTGTGGTTTCAGAAGAGTTGCAATGACAAACTGTTGCAGTAGTACATTGAAGCAAGTAAGTTCAAAGGGGCGTAACACTAAGAAGAAAAAAATGAATCGTAATTTCCTGTCGATATGCACAACTACATATTATGTCCTTATTATCTAAAAAGGTTTCATGAAATTCTGTTGTGTGGTTTCAGAGGAGTTGCGATGACAAACTGTTGCAGTAGTACAATGAAGCAAATAAGTTCAAAGGGGCGTAACTCTAAGAAGAAAAAAATGAATCGTAATTTACTGTCGATATGCACAACTACATATTATGTCCTTATTATCTAAAAAGGTTTCATGAAATTCTGTTGTGTGGTTTCAGAGGAGTTGCGATGACAAACTGTTGCAATAGTACATTAAAGCAAATAAGTTCAAAGGGGCGTAACTCCTGGAAAAAAAATTGAATCTTAATTTCCTGACGATATGCACATCTACGTTGTATGTCCTTATTATCTACAAAGGTTTCATGAAATTCTGTTGTGTGGTTTGAGAGGAGTTGCGATGACAAAAGGTTGCAGTAGTATATTGGGCAAATAAGTTCAAAGGGGCGTAACTCCTGGAAAAAAAATTGAATCGTAATTTCCTGTCAATATGCACATCTACGTAGTATGTCCTTATTATCTGAAAAGGTTTCATGAAATTCTGTTGTGTGGTTTCAGAGGAGTTGCGATGACAAAAGGTTGCAGTAGTATATTTGGCAAATAAGTTCAAAGGGGCGTAACTCCTGGAAAAAAAATTGAATCGTAATTTCCTGTCGATATGCACATCTACGTTGTATGTCATTATTATCTGAAAAGGTTTCATGCAATTCTGTTGTGTGGTTTGAGAGAAGTTGCGATGACAAACTGTTGCAGTAGTACATTAAAAGTAAACAAGTTCAAAGGGGCGTAACTCCTAGAAAAAAAATTGAATCGTAATTTCCTGTCGATATGCACAACTACATAGTATGTCCTTATTATCTAAAAAGGTTTCGTGAAATTCTGTTGTGTGGTTTGAGAGGAGTTGCGATGACGAAAAATAGGACTGACGGACGGACGGACGGACAGACGGACGGACGGGTCAAAAACATTATACCCTCCGCAACTTGTTGCGTGGGATATAATAATCAGCTGAATGCAATTGATAGCAATCGGCAACAATGGACTAATTAAACTAGAGGCTCTCAAGAGCCTGTGTCGCTCACCTGATTCTACTTTGGTTTTGGAAATCATGTAAAATTAGATTAAAATCATAACAGATACCCTAATAATGATTGAGGCCAAATTTGGTTTAATATTGGCCCCGTAATTTAATCAAAAGCAGAAGACTTTTGTAAAGTTTACAGAAATTACCAAATAAATTCATTGAAACTGTAGAAAATGACTTTATAAGGACAATAACTCCAACAAGATGTCAATTGACAATTTTGCAGTTTACAGTATATCTCAATCTATAAAGATACATGTATTAAGGTCTTCATCTGCACCTCTTAAGGAACATTTATCCCATGTTTGGTTTCATTTCCCAGTGCTCCTCTAGAAGAAGCATTTGTATGAATTTCCCATAGGGTCTTATGTTAAACTTACTCCCCCTGCTGGCAGCCATCTTGGATGACAAATCAGCTACAAAGTAACAACACTTGGTCAGCACCTCAAAAGAAATTCATACCATGTTTGGTTTAAATCCATTAAGCTGTTTTCTAAAAGAAAGACATTTCCTATAGGGGCCTTTGTTAAACTAAGTCCCCTGTTGGCAGCCATCTTGGATGATGGATTTGCTACAAAGTAACAACACTTGGTCAGCACCTCATAAGGAACATTCATGTCATGTTTGATTTCATTCCATTCAGTGGTTCTCTAAAAGAAGACATTTGTATGTATTGTCCATAGTGTCCTATGTTAAACTAAGTTCCCTGCTGGCAGCCATCTTGGATGATTGATTGGCTACAAAGTAACAACACTTGGCCAGCACCTCATTAGGAACATCCATGCCATGTTTGGTTTCATTCCATTTAGTGGTTCTCTAAAAGAAGACATTTGTATGTATTTCCCATAGGGTCCTATGTTAAACTAAGTCCACCTCTGGAGACCATCTTGGAAGATGGATCGGCTTCAAAGTAACAACACTTGGGCAGTGCCTCATAAGGAACATTCATGCCATGTTTGGTTTCATTCCATTCAGTGGTTCTCTTAAAGAAGACATTTGTATGTATTGTCCATAGGGACCTATGTTAAACAAAGTCCCCCCTGCTGGCGGCCATCTTGGATGATGGATCGGCTTCAAGGTAACAACACTTGGTCAGCACCTCATAAGGAACATTCATGCCATATTTGGTTTCATTCCATTCAGTGATTCTCTAGAAGAAGTTCAAAATGTAAAAAGTTAACGACGACGACAACGGATGACAGACGCCAAGTGATGAGAAAAGCTCACTTGGCCCTTCCGGTCAGGTGAGCTAAAAAGGTGCTAATTAAGTTGTTTTAATGAAAATGAATGGTCAATTGGCATCACATGTCACCTGAAGGATTGTTTTTACAACTGTGATAACAATTATTGTTTTGAAGTGGGTACTTCACAATAGTTTTAGTGGTGCACCTTTTCTAAGCATAATTTTATGTCTCAATTTTTACTCTTAATGATGGTTCGGAAGAGAAAACTATTGTTTTAAAAGATGTTCAAAAGTAACACAAATCTCTGATTTTGTTCTTTGTCCTTTAACTAGACAGGAAGTATCCAATACACTGATTGAAGATGAATCCCGTGTTTCCTGAAGTCAAATTTTACAGTAATTTTAATAAAGTTCAAGAAATTTTGTTCTGATTGTTTATTTATTACAATGTAGGATAAAAAAAAAGATATGTAGAATTACAATAAATGAGACAACACTGCTGCAACCTGAATTTGTTTTCTGTTAGAAAGAAGAAAAAGTTTGAAATAAAAAGAAATTGACCCAGCGGTAACCTTGAATACACATTTATATTAAATCTATTAAAATTGAAAGACAAGTTTGGGTTATCCTTTTAACTATTCCATATTCAGTCCTTCAGATGGTTAATCAGCTCACCAGTTAACAATAACAATAAGGCAATAAAAAGATTAGATTTTTTTTTCAACTTTTTACTAAAACAGTATTCTGTACATCAATAAATCTGATATAGGTACGAATGCAATGGTTCAATAGTAACTAAATGTATATTGGTAAAAATTCTAATCATAAATGAAATGAAATGAAAAGTATTAAAATGTTACCTGAAAAAAATTTCAGTAAACACAAGTAGCAAAACTAAATGAAACTGTAACTGCTACCTACTGTCAATTTGTACAACCACAAAAAATAGCTTTATTATAAAGCATATAAAATACAGACATTTTTTATCGATACAATAATGCAGTAATTAAACCAACTTTATTTCAATTTTCATTCTTTTTTGGCCAAAGTTTAGTATCTACAGAAAAAATATTTTGTGAAAAGAGCTAAATGCATTTCTGAGTCAAATATTTTTCTCCAACTCATCAAAGTTTCATCCACATTATAAAAAGTTATAACATTTTATAACGCTGAGATAGTTGAGTGTGTTGCTGGATTCCTTTTTTGTGTTAAAAAGTTATCATGTGTCCATTTCAGACTGACATAAGGTAAATGATTTGACATAGGATAGTGTTAACTAGTGTGATAATGACAATTGATATAACAGTTAAAAATTCGAAAATAACTTTAACAAAATGACCTAGTTCTTGTTGAAGTACAACCACATATCAGAAATACTATTTTCAATAAAGGAGTATGTTCAGTAAGGCCATATTTGGTCCCAAATATTAAGTCCATTGTTGCAAGACAAAAAGTGTTTCAAGTTGATGAAAAGACATGTAAGAGAGTGAAATAGAATAATTGTTGTCAACCTTTTTTAGATAATGCATTGACATTTATACCCAAGTAGACCAAATATAGAGATTTTTGTGAGATATGACAAACTTGCTGAATACAACTACATTTTGGTCTTGGACTACATAACCTGCAATCTATCATGTTTGAACATCAAAATATTGTTAGGTTCTATACCCCCAAAATTTCAGAAACCAGTAGTTGTTAACATTGGATGACAGTCATGTAACATTATAACTTGATGTTGTGTTAAAAACTAATGGTTAATAAAAATTCAGAACACCATACATTAAAAGTTTTGAATAACAATGTTTTAAAAGTTTTCAGAAATGCTCATTGACCTATAAATGTCCTTCTGAATGTCAGTATTGTAAAAATGGAAGCACCTTTTTCTGCTTTTTTCAATTTTCAGGTATAAATTTTTTATAAAAGAATTCTAGATTGACTCATAACAAAACATGTTGTGATAGTTTCAATAAAATTTTATATGTATTTACCTATTATTAGACAGTTTCTTTGAAACATATCTGGCACACAATGTGGGATAAATTAAATCACACACTTCTGTTTCATAAATAATCTGATGTAATTGAATTGAATAATGACATATGAATGCATCTTAATTAGTGACAAAGATATATATGGCACATTTCCCCCAAAAAAACATACACATAATGAAAATAAAGCTACAAAGCACAACCTTTCTTAGTGATTCTATCTGTTTAAACCACTGAATAAAAGAAAGGCACACTTAAATCCCTCTCATAGGCAGGTATTTTTAAAATAAGGAGAGGTGACACATAACAAATTATAAAACCAGATTTATGGATAGCTATCCTTTTCAAATCCAACGTCATTGTGTTTGTTAAAAAAAATATATGGCACTGAAACTGGGTTTTCTAATAAAACTGAATTTAAAAACTTGCAATTTACAACTTATTCATTTCAAATCCCTGGGTAGTTCTGAATGTATTAGTAGACAAAATGAATGAATTGAAAAAAAATCAATCATTACAATTAAACTGATTACAACAAATTAAATAAAGGGAAAGCGATTATTTCCAAATCTAAGATTGCTTACCTAATTTTGAAATACAAAAACAATTTTATTCACCTGATTTGTTTGAAATGAAGAACTTAATTAACAAGCTACAGAACTCAGTCTCTATCATTACCATTCATTAACAACACTTGTATGTCACTTATCATTTCATAACAATAAACAAAATATCCATTCAACAAATCAAACATGAAATTATAGTATGTCATATTATTGTATAAAAATTTATTTGAATCAACAGTTTTTTAGTGAATATTTTGTAAATAAATTCGCTGATGGCTCTGGTGATTTTGATCTTAATAGTAGACATTAGGAGATGTGGTACAACAACATATGTTTACTGGTCTATTTTTTGAAACAAATAAAACACAATCTTATAGAGGATTCATCTCCTCATCTCTTTTAGTTTAAACAAACCATGAAATGATCTTTTCAACAATAAATAAATTTTACAACTAAATCATAGATTTGTGCCCATTCTCAACATATCAATAACAATATTGGCTTAGTTAAATTCAAATTATAACAGCACATATATATTTAATCCATTAAATTCTATTCTGACAGCAGACATACATCGAGCACTAGTACTCAGTATTCACCAAATCACACATAAACATCAGATCACTATCTCTCACAACACTATGATGAATTTATTGATTGTTTTGTAGAAATGCTATTATAAATCTTGTTCATCCTTTTTCTAACATATTCTTTAAGTCATCAAATATCTGTAATAAAAAAAGAGTTGATTATAAATCAATGAATGAGTTTTTGAAATGTGTTTTTGAAATAACAAAAAAAAAAGCAAAGTATATATTAAACAAAATAAAATTAATGTTGCCAAGTTGTTATAAGAAAAAAAAGCAAAAAAGGTGAAAGGGAAAGGTACAATAGATAAATAAAACATTTACTGTGAGCTACTGCTCCCTTAATGTTCCCCCTTTACTCTATGTTGTAGTCTAAACATGACAAAAATATCATACATGTCAGGTTGTTAGTTTTTCTTGTTTTACATTTGATATTCTGGGGCCTTTTAAAGCTTGCTATGGGGTTTTGCTCATTGGTGAAGGCTGTATGGTGACCCTAGTTGCTAACTTCTACGTCATTGGTCTCTGCTGGATAGTTGTCTCATTGGCAATCATAACACATCTTCTTATTTTTATATTATATGCATGATATTTTAAAGATATCAATTTTCATTAATTAGTATGTAAAACATCGAAGAAAATACAAACATATCACAGAGTCTGGCAAAACAAGATGAAGCGGGATGCTTTATCACAAGAAGCTATTACTTGCAGTTGCTGAGAAAAAAAGTTCATATGTGTGCATGAGATCTTATTGATGAAAGTATTCGTCAATGAAGTGGAATGTGTAAGGACCTGAAAACTGTCATGTATTTGCATATTTATTTTTACTTGCTATATTTAACCCTAAGATTTTATCTTAAACTGGATGATGCATAGTTTGAGTACTTTCATTTTCTTCAATTGTGGTTAAAAACTAAAAGACAATGACTTGAAATGAATAACAGATTATACATACCTTTAGCACCCATGTTCTATTATTTAAACATTTATCTAGGATTTCAGCATTATCTAATTTTGTGTTTCCTTCTCTGACTATATCAACCTATAAAGTATCAAATTAGTTACAACTGTTATCCTAATGCTAGTAAGTTAAAGGTTTGGTTTGCTTGCTTGCTTTGTTTGTATTAAAGTTTGCTCAACCATTGTAATTAAGATTGACATCTGCAAACAATATAAGTAGGTGGAGTTAAACCTGTATATAGGTAAATTTGATTATTTGATAATGTCCAATCAAATTTAAATATAATGTATACAAGTTTAACGCCACCTTTTTATATTGTTTTCAGATGTCAATCTTAATTACAATGCTTGATCAAACTTTAATACAAACAAAGCAAGCAAGCAAACCAAACCTTTAACTTGCTAACATTATGATAACAGCTGTAATCTTTCAAAAGTGATAATGTTAAATTTTTAACAATACACATGATTATATATATATATATATTAAATTGTCACCAATACATTTTAAGGAAATTAATGTCATAAAAAAGTGGTCATTCATTTTCCTTTTTACTTCCACTTTAGTCTAAGCATTATTTCACAATGATGATATGTCTTCACATAATAAAATAAAATGCTTCACTGAGCGCAGCCTGATACGACCGCAGAGGTCGAAATCTGAACAGTTGTGGCAAATTTGGATATAATATTCAAGCTTGATACTGTCTGAATTTTGATTGTGATCAAATTTTTGACATAATATGGGTTTCTGACACAAAATAAATGTGGTAAAATATCTTACAAATCTATTGTGCAATACTGTGCAATTGAAGATTACTTCTTAAAACATATACAAAATTTTTGAAAAAAATATGAATTCTTTAAATAAATTGGAAACCCCCCAAGCAACTTTTGGAATCCCCCCTTGGAGCAATTACCCCAAGACTGGATCCAATTCTTTCCTTTGTAGTATGGAACCTTGTAGTACAATTTCAGAGAGATCCATACACATCTAACACAAGTTATTGTTTGGAAACTAGAATAATGCATGTTTTAGGCCCTTTTTTGGCCCCTAATTCCTACATGTTTGAGGCAATTTCCCCCAAACTCAATCCAAGCCTTCCCTTTGTGATATGGAACCTTATGGTACAATATCAGAGAGATCCATACACTTACACACAAGTTATTGTCCGGAAACTACAAAAATTGTTGTTTTTGGCCCCTTTTAGGCCCTTAATTCCTAAACTGTTTGCCCCATAACCCCTAATATGAATCCCAACCTTCTACTTGTGGTATTAAACATTGTTGTACAATTTCAGAGCAATCGAAATACTTATACACAAGTTATTATCCTGAAACTAGAAAAATGTTTGTTTTGGGCCCCTAATTCCTAAACGGTTGGGACCATCATCCCCAAAGTCAATCCCAACTTTCCTTTTGTGGTATTGAACCTTCTTAAATAAATGTGGATAGTGTCCACATGTGGACACAGATGATGCCCCCGCTTGCATATCATATAGTTATAAAGGGACATAACTGAAGAACAGTAAAAGTGACGCTACCCAAATTTGAACTTGATCTGAGTTTTGTGGTAATAAGCATTGTGTGTAAGTCTCATAACATTTGGTTGAGGCTAACTTAAGTAGAGAACAGAAACTAAAAATTCAGCAATTTTTCTATTTGTAAACACGCATAACTCTAGAATGGTTGTGTATAAGTTTTATAACATTTGGTTGAGACAAACTAAAAAATTCAGCAATTTTTATGTTTAAAAAGGGACATAACTCAAGAATGGTGAAAGTGTCGCCACCAAATTTCGAACTTAATCTGTATTATGTAGTAATAAGCATTGTGTATAAGTTTCAAAGCATTTGGTTGAGGCAACCTAATGTTAAATAAAATGCTCCGCAGGGCGCAGCTTGATACGACCGCAGAGGTCGAACCCTGAACAGTTGGGGGAAGTATGGACACAACATTCAAGCTTGATACAGCTTTGGATTTGGATTGTGATTAAATATTTGACACAGCATAGGTTTCTAACACAGATTGAATGTGGTCTAAGAACTTAAAAATTTTAAATTGGACATTCACCTATTATGGTCCAATATCCAAAATCTAAATACATGGTTAGATTCAGCATATCAAAGAACCCCAAGAATTCAATTTTTGATGAAATCAAACAAAGTTTAATTTTGGACCCTTTTGACCTCAATGTGGACAAAGTTGATAACGGGGCCCAAAAATCAAAAATCTAAATACATGGTTAGATTCAGCATATCAAAGAACCCCATATATTCAATTTTTGTTGAAATCAAACAAAGTTTAATTTTGGACCCCGATTTGGACCAACTTGAAAACTGGGCCCATAATCAAAAATCTAAATACATGTTAAGATTCAGCATATCAAAGAACCCTAAGAATTCAATTTTTGTTAAAATCAAACTAAGTTTAATTTTGGACCCTTTGGACCTTAATGTAGACCAATTTGAAAACGGAACCAAAAATTAAGAATCTAAATACACGGTTAGATTCGGCATATCAAAGAACCCCAATAATTCAATTTTTGATGAAATCAAACAAAGTTTAATTTTGGACCCTTTTGACCTCAATGTGGACAAAGTTGATAACGGGGCCCAAAAATCAAAAATCTAAATACATGGTTAGATTCCGCATATCATCGAACCCCATATATTCAATTTTTGTTGAAATCAAACAAAGTTTAATTTTGGACCCCGATTTGGACCAACTTGAAAACTGGGCCCATAATCAAAAATCTAAATACATGTTTAGATTCAGCATATCAAAGAACCCTAAGAATTCAATTTTTGTTAAAATCAAACTAAGTTTAATTTTGGACCCTTTGGACCTTAATGTAGACCAATTTGAAAACGGAACCAAAATTTAAGAATCTAAATACACAGTTAGATTCGGCATATCAAAGAACCCCAATAATTCAATTTTTGATGAAATCAAACAAAGTTTAATTTTGGACCCTTTGGACCTCAATGTGGACCAATTTAAAAACGGGGCCCAAAATCCAAAAACTAAATACACGGTTAGATTCAGCATATTAAAGAACCCCATGAAATCAAGAATAAAACCCCATTGAAATTGGTCAAGAAATAAGCAATTTATAGGAAGTATCTTCTTTTGCACAATCCTGTGCTATTAAATATTTCTTGCTATTCTTAATGTAGACCAATTTGAAAACGGAACCAAAAATTAAGAATCTAAATACACGGTTAGATTCGGCATATCAAAGAACCCCAATAATTCAATTTTTGATGAAATCAAACAAAGTTTAATTTTGGACCCTTTTGACCTCAATGTGGACAAAGTTGATAACGGGGCCCAAAAATCAAAAATCTAAATACATGGTTAGATTCAGCATATCAAAGAACCCCATATATTCAATTTTTGATGAAATCAAACAAAGTTTAATTTTGGACCCCGATTTGGACCAACTTGAAAACTGGGCCCATAATCAAAAATCTAAATACATGTTTAGATTCAGCATATCAAAGAACCCTAAGAATTCAATTTTTGTTAAAATCAAACTAAGTTTAATTTTGGACCCTTTGGACCTTAATGTAGACCAATTTGAAAACGGAACCAAAATTTAAGAATCTATTGAAGATTTCTTGCTATTGTGCAATACTGTGCAATAGAAAATTTCTTGCTATTGCACAATACTTATTATATAATAATTTACACATCCTGTTTGGTGTGTATCTCCTACCATATCATTATTATTTGATTTTAAATATAAATCAGAAATAACCAACTTAAAATGGAAAATTTTAAAAGAAACAAAAAAGGAAAAAAATAAAAAAAAGGAAAAAAAAATAAATCCCCCCACAAAATTTTTTGAACCCCCATTATGATTCATCACCCCCAAACTCAATCCCAGCCTTCCCTTTGTGGTATGGTACCTTGCAGTACAATTTCAGAGAGATCCATACACTTGAACACAAGTTATTGTCTGGAAACTAGAAAAAAATGTGTTTTTTGGCCCCTTTTTGGCCCCAAATTCCTAAACATTTAGGGCAATTACCCCCAAACTCAAACCCAGCATTCCCTTTGTGATATGGAACCTTGTAGTACAATTTCAGAAAGATCCATACACTTACACACAAGTTATTGTCATGAAACTAGAAAAATGCTTGTTTTTTGCCCCTTTTTTGGCCCCTAATTCTTAAAATTTGGAGGCAATTACCCCCAAAATCAATCCCAGCATTCCTTTAGTGATATGGAACCTTGTGGTACAATGTCAGAGAGATCCATACACTAACACACAAGTCATGTCTGGAAGTTACAAAAATGCTTATTTTTGGCCCCTTTTTGGCCCCTAATTCCTTTACTGTTATTACCATAATCCCCAAAATCAATCCCAACCTTCCTTTTGTGGTATTGAACCTTGTGGTAAAATTTCATAAAGATCCATTCACTTAAACTAAAGTTAGAGTGCGAAAACCAATGTGTCTTCGGACGACGACGACGACGACGCCAACGTCATACCAATATACGACCACAAAAATTTTTTTGGGGTCGTATAAAAATGGAAACAAAAAATTTGTACTTGATCTTAGTTTTGTGGTAATGAATATTGTGTATAGGTTTCATAATTTTTGGTTGGGGTAAACTTAAGTTACAGAATGGAAACTAAAAATTTTGCAATCTTTCAATTTATAAAGGGGCATAACTCAATAATGGTTAAAGTGACACTACCCAAATTCAACTTGATCTGCGTTTTATCAATGGAAGTCAAAATTAAACATTGCATTGTATAAAGCACTGATTGTAGTTGATTCAACTATAATCATGGACAAAGGAAGATAACTCCAATTTTAAAAATTACTTGATATTTAGAAGAAAATAAAAATTTTGCAATTTTTCATTTATAAAGGGGCATAACTCCAGAACGGTTAAAGTGACACCACCAATTTCACGAAAAATAAATGAAGAATGTGTCCATGGGATACAGATGATGCCCCCACTTGCATGTAACATTATAAAGGGACATAACTCAAGAAGGGTAAAAGTGATGCCACCTAAATTCAACTTGATCTGTGTTTTAAGGTAATAAGCATTGTGTATAAGTTTCATAACATTTGGTGAAGGCAAACTTAAGTTAGAGAACGGAAACTAAAATTTTGCAATTTTTCCATTTATAAAGGGGCATAACTCTAGAACGGTTAAAGTGACGCCACCAAAATTCAAACTTGATCTGTGTTTTGTGGTAATAAGCATTGTGTATAAGTTTCATAACATTTGGTTGAGGCAAACTTAAGTTAGAGAACAGAAACTAAAAATTTTGCAATTTTTCCATTTATAAAGGGACATAACTCTAGAACGATAAAAGTGACTCCACCAAAATTCAAACTTGATCTGTGTTTTGTGGTAATACGCATTGTGTATAAGTTTCATAAAATTTGGTTGAGGCAAACTCAAGTTAGAGAACGGAAACCAATTTTGGGACGTACGGATGGACGGACGTACGTATGTATGTACATACAGACGGACAAGGGTAAAACTTAATGCCACAACCGCTACGGTGGGGGCATAAAAATTTCATAGAGATCCATTTATTTAAACTAAAGTTATTGTCCGGAAACCAATGTGTCTTCAGACGACGACACAGACCACATCATACCATTATATGATCCCAAAAAAATTTTTGTCATTGTATAAAAATTAAAAACTTATGCTCTCTAAAGTTTCCTGTAAATGAATATCTCAATAATTTTATCATATTCTATCAATATATCCCTTCTTCTAGAGACATGAACCACAGTATAAAAACTAGAGGCTCTAAAGAGCCTGTGTCGCTCACCTTGGTCTATGTGAATATTAAACAAAGGACGAAGATGGATTCATGACAAAATTGTGTTTTGGTGATGGTGATGTGTTTGTACATCTTAATTTACTGAACATTTTTCCTGCTTACAATTATCTCTATCTATAATTAACTTGGCCCAGTAGTTTCAGAGGAGAAGATTTTTGTAAAAGATTACTAAGATTTACGAAAAAATGGTTAAAATTGACTATAAAGGGCAATAACTCCTAAAGGGGTCAACTGACAATTTCGGTCATGTTGACTTATTTGTAGATCTTACTTTGCCGACATTTATCGTTTTTTACAGTTTATCTCTATCTATAATAATATTCAAGATAATAACCAAAAACAGCAAAATTACCTTAAAATTACCAATTCAGGGGCAGCAACCCAACAATGGGTTGTCCGATTCATCTGAAAATTTCAGGGCAGATAGATCTTGACCTGATAAACAATTTTACTTCATGTCAGATTTGCTTTAAATGCTTTGGTTTTTGAGTTAAAAGCCAAAAACTGAATTTTACCCCTATGTTCTATTTTTAGCCGTGGCGGCCATCTTGGTTGGTTGACCAGGTCACGCCACACATTTTTAAAACTAAATAACCAAATGATGATTGTGGCCAAGTTTGGTTTAATTTGGCCCAGTTGTTTCAGAGGAGAAGATTTTTGTAAAAGATTACTAAGATTTACGAAAAATGGTTAAAAATTGACTATAAAGGGCAATTACTCCTAAAGGGGTCAACTGACCATTTCGATTATATTGACTTATTTGTAAATCTTACTTTGCTGAACATTATTGCTGTTTACAGTTTATCTCTATCTATAATAATATTCAAGATAATAACCAAAAACAGCAAAATTTCCTTAAAATTACCAATTCAGGGGCAGCAACCCAATAACGGGTTGTCCGATTCATCTGAAAATTTCAGGGCAGATAGATCTTGACCTGATGAACAATTTTACCCCATGTCAGATTTGCTTTAAATGCTTTGGTTTTTGAGTTAAAAGCCAAAAACTGAATTTTACCCCTATGTTCTATTTTTAGCCGTGGCGGCCATCTTGGTTGGTTGACCAGGTCACGCCACACATTTTTAAAACTAGATACCCCAATGATGATTGTGGCCAAGTTTGGTTTAATTTGGCCACGTAGTTTCAGAGGAGAAGATTTTTGTAAAAGATTACTAAGATTTACGAAAAATTGTTAAAAATTGACTATAAAGGGCAATAACTCCTAAAGGGGTCAACTGACCATTTCAGTCATGTTGACTTATTTGTTAATCTTACTTTGCTGAACATTATTGCTGTTTACAGTTTATCTCTATCTATAATAATATTCAAGATAATAACCAAAAACAGCAAAATTTCCTTAAAATTACCAATTCAGGGGCAGCAACCCAACAACAGGTTGTTCGATTCATCTGAAAATTTTAGGGCAGATAGATCTTGACCTGATAAACAATTTTACTTCATGTCAGATTTGCTCTAAATGCTTTGGTTTTTGAGTTATAAGCCAAAAGATGCATTTTACCCCTATGTTTTATCTTTAGCTGTGGCGGCCATCTTGGTTGGTTGGCCGGGTCACGCCACATATTTTTTAAACTAGATACCCCAATGATGATTGTGGCCAAGTTTGGTTTAATTTGGCCCAGTTGTTTCAGAGGAGAAGATTTTTGTAAAAGATTACTAAGATTTACGAAAAATGGTTAAAAATTGACTATAAAGGGCCATTTTCCCCTAAAGGGGTCAACTGACCATTTCGGTTATATTGACTTATTTGTAAATCTTACTTTGCTGAACATTATTGCTGTTTACAGTTTATCTCTATCTATAATAATATTCAAGATAATAACCAAAAACAGCAAAATTTCCTTAAAATTACCAATTCAGGGGCAGCAACCCAATAACGGGTTGTCCGATTCATCTGAAAATTTCAGGGCAGATAGATCTTGACCTGATGAACAATTTTACCCCATGTCAGATTTGCTCTTAATGCTTTGGTTTTTGAGTTATAAGCTAAAAACTGCATTTTACCCCTATGTTCTATTTTTAGCCGTGGCGGCCATCTTGGTTGGTTGACAGGGTCACGCCACACATTTTTAAAACTAGATACCCCAATGATGATTGTGGCCAAGTTTGGTTAAATTTGGCCCAGTAGTTTCAGAGGAGAAGATTTTTGTAAAAGTTTACGGACGACGGACGCAAAGTGATGAGAATAGCTCACTTGACCTTTCAGGTCAGGTGAGCTAATTAGCAACCTTCATGAATGTAAGATGACCAAATGTTTTAATGAATCTTCCCAACTCATTTCAGAGCTCAAAATAAAACTTAATGTCATTTAATAGAAGGGGCCAATAATAATGCACTGTTTTTGCAACACTGATAATAAATTTTGACTTACAAAATTCATGTTAATTGAACTGAGGAGTTCAAATTTATTGCAAATTGTTTTCAGAAAAGTGATAAAATATGAAATTTTGTATTTCAACTCCCAAACATGCAGAAAAAACACCTGATACATCTCAAAAAGAAAGCCATTAAAGTATATTGTTTCCATATGTTTACAGTACATAAGAAAAAAGAAATTCTATTCTGTAACATATGCTTTTAACAGAACTGTCACATCTTGATGAAAATTATTTCCTTTTTCAACTAAATAATTATCAAAATAAAGAAAGAGAGGTCCAATGTCCCCTACGTTGCAAATATTTTATCTGTCAAAGGGCAATAACTAAAATCAAAACTTCTTTATTGCTATCAAAAACTTTTCCTAAATATCTTAGCGAAATGTAGGCTTCAGGTGCTTACAATGCAATTTTCCATAAAACTGATATTTCGAAGGGCATAACTCTATTTAAAATAGTTCATTGGGACTGATTTTCGATCTTGTCTGAGAAGTTACTGATAGAAACCTATGATTAAATTTTTAAAATATCTGACAATAATTGTACATGCGAGAGCACATTTAATGCAATTTTCTATAGAATTTATATACCAAAGGTACATAACTCCTTAAAAAAATATTTGATCAGCTCTGATTTTTTATACATGTGCCAGACATTGCTGATATAAATATATATAAATTTGAGAGCACTAACAATGCATTTTTCAATACAATTATTATTTCGAAGGGGCATAACACTTTTATAAAAAGTTGATCTGCACCGATATTTGAACTTGTCCAAGACATTGCTGATATAAACCTTGATTTAAATTCATCAATTATAATTTGGCAAGAATTGTCCATGTGAAAGCGCTTTCAATGTAATTCTCCATATAATGAATATTTTCAAGGGACAAAACTTTTTTAATAGTTGACAGGTAATGATTTTCAACCTTATCCGATGCATTGCTGATATAAACCTTTAGTTTAAATTTCATAATAATCTTGCAAGAACTGTACATACGAGAAAGCCTAAAACACCAAACTGACGCCTGGCATTTCTATGTCCCCCGCAACTGATTTCTACATATAAGCCAAATAATGTCATTTTCTTATGGAGTCTTACTTCTGCTGTTGTTTTTTGGATGAAAATGTTTTCCTGTTTTAAGAATGCAAAACTTCTTCAAAGAGACTTCCCTTGAAGTAGGGAGTAAAGCCTGTCCCATTTTGTTTTCTATATTTACCATCTCTCCCAAAGACATTATTTTTATTAAACAAAAATACCATATATATCGGTAGTACTGGAAATATCATACCTTAGCTAAGCACCTTTTATACAGGTTATACTTGAAATGATGAAGACTATGGTAGGCACCTATGTAATGTGATGCTGATTTTCCTAACAGGTATTCCTACAAAAAATAATATACTTATGTTTTAACTGAACATCAGTAAGTGTGAGTACTCTCAAATAGGTACTTTATGTCTTAGTGGTTTTGTTAGTTGTTTTTTGTGCTTTATGTGGATCTGATGAGTCAAGCTCTTTCAACTGATTTTTATAGTTTGTTCTTCTGTTGTGCTGTTACACCTGTTCCATGTTAGGGGAAGTTGGGCATCCGCAAACATATTTAACCCTGCCACATTCTGTGTGTGCCTGTCACAAGTCAAGAGCCTGTAAGGGCTATTCCATTAAAATGTATGTGGGAGGGTAGGAAGGGACTTTCAAAATATCCCTACAACCAAGAACCATTTTTTAGATAATTTTGCATAATGGTAATAGACGCATACTAAAAAAAAAGACCCATGACCCACATTCAATAATTAAACTTCCTTTCCTACCCTCCCACATACATTTTAATGGAATAGCCCTAAATCAGCTGTTTGCCATTAGTTTCTATATATCTGATTTGTTTGTTTTGTACATAAATCAGACCTTTAGTTTTCTCGTTTGAAATGTTTTATATTTTGATATGTCAGGGCCTTTTATAGCTTGCTATACAGTATGGTTTATTTTATTGTTGAAAGCCTTTCTGTGATGTATAGTTGCTAGCATATATGTTATTTGGTCTCTGGTGGAAAGTTGTCTCATTGTTAACCATACCACATCTACTTATTCCAAATCAATGCTTTATAAAACTAACACTGGTATGCAACAAACTTGAGATTTCTTGTATGCTTAGCATATTCAAAGAAAACATGTGGGAGACTTTCTCAGAGAAACGCTTAAAATTTCATCATATTTCTATGCACAAAAATAACCTCATCATTCTATCTACTGTAAATTCAGAAATTATTGCGAGGTTTTTATTAATGCGAATAATGCGAATGCGTGAGTATCGCAATAATAAGAACTCGTATTTTGATATCTGATACATATATCGATCTGTATGCAGATTTTCCTTAAATCGCAATAATTAATCTTGCATTTTTGTCCATTTTTAAAAAATCGCAATAATAAATGCACGCAATAATTTCTGAATTTACAGTATAATATTTGTGTACATTAGGGCTGGACATTTTGTTGTCTTGGCTGATTTAATGCACAACTTGCACAGATTCAGGATGATGGTTAAACCCTGACATGGTGTAGACACTTGACCATTTGTGAGTACCCTACAGTACCTATAGATATCTATTCCTGAAGTACTTTGTGTTTTCTTGTATGCTGACCCATTTATGTTAACAATCTCCTTTTATTTCTAGCTAATGCTTTATTGAAAGCTACAGTGTAACTTGAGACATTTGCTTATAAGTACTGTGGTTTTTCATTGGTAGCTGTCTCAAGTCATAACATAACATCCAATATGTAAGTTATAAGTTTGTCAAATGTAACTTAAAATGTAAATGATGTGTATATAATAAGTATCAGTTTTCCTACCACACTGCCTTGCTGAGCTGTATTATCTGGAATTTCCTTCAACGTGGTTCTATCATAAGGTTGACCAAACAAGTGCACAGACTTTATGGCATTCTGTGTGGCATTCTCTGTAGCCTGTATAATATGAATTGATATTCCATTAATATAAAAGGTTAAAACAAGAGTGCACACACTGAAATGTCTTGCCTTTTTTACTAATCATTGATATTATGTTGATAGTCCTAAATATAAAGCTTTATTACAACTGTCACATAAACTAAACATTAACCAAATAAACTAAACATTGACCAATGAACCATGAAAATGAGGTCAAGGTCAGATGAACCATGCTAGGCAGGCATGGACAGCTAACAATTCTTCCATAAAACAAATATAGTTGACCTATTGCTTATAGTTTACAGACCAAAACACAAAAACTTAACACTGAGCAATGAACCTTGAAAATGAGGTCAAGGTCACATAAAACCTGTGTGACTGACATTTAGATCATAAAATATTTCCATACACCAAATATAGTTGAACTATTGCATACAGTATTAGAAAAAAAGATCAAAACTCAAAAACTTAACTTTGACCACTGAACCATGAAAATGAGGTCAAGGTCAGATGACACCTGCCAGCTAGACATGTACACCTTACAATCATTCCATACACCAAATATAGTAGACCTATTGCATACAGTATAAGAAAAACAGACCAAAACACAAAAACTTAACTATAACCACTGAACCATGAAAATGAGGTCAAGGTCAGATGACACCTGCCAGCTAGACATGTACACCTTACAATCATTCCATACACCAAATATAGTAGACCTATTGCATACAGTATAAGAAAAACAGACCAAAACTCAAAAACTTAACTATAACCACTGAACCATGAAAATGAGGTCAAGGTCAGATGACACCTGCCAGTTGGACATGTACACCTTACAGTCCTTCCATACACCGAATATACGAGACTGTAGAATGCTATATTTTTAGCAGACTTTAAAGTTTTATGATTTCTAGGACCAAATTTTTAGTTTTCACATTTTTCTTTTTCTGCCTCTGAACTTCCATTACTTTTTAAAATGGACATGTGGATATGAACACTAGAAGAAATTCTCATTGATGAAATTTACAGCATATTACATCTTTATATATGATTTGATCGAAGAGTCAGGGTATTTCTAGATAAATATTCTGCTTATTAGTCATTAAGGTCAGTTTTATTGGAAAATTACTCATACCCATACAAGTTCATCAGGAATGTAACTAGGGTCATAATAATGTTCAGTGTCTAGTTCTTCAGTAGACCCATGTTACTATCTTTTAACCTAAGAAAATCATTTATTAACATATATTTGAAATTTTCAAATAGGAAAGTTAATCATTTCACAAACTGATATATTGTCATCTTTTTTGTTGTTTTTGAACAGCATCATAAATCATATCAGACATGTAGTTTTGAGGTTATCTTATAAAGTATACCTGACACAGAGTTTTGAGGTTATAATATTTTACCTGACACAGAGTTTTGAGGTTAGGTCTGTCCACTTCTCTGATGTGAGGTCTCTTCTCAGCAGTTTTCTGAAACAAATATTACATGTTAACTATTCATAATTTACAACTAATTATTTTTTTTCTTTTATTATGACTATTATGTTTGTCTTTTTATTGAAGTTTACCTTAAGGTGGTACCCAACACTTTGACTAATATTAATTTGGCTCGTTTAATTTTCCTAAAATTTTGACAAAATGTTTACTTTGACCCTTTGACAAAAATTAAAAAAATTCAAATAATTTGAACCAATCACTTTATCAGAAAAATTTCACTGGTTATATAGCAGTTTGACAAACACTAATTTTGATCATTGAGAAGCTTAATATTTCCTTAACAATACAACGTGATTAAAACGTTTAGTTGATTTTTACAGAGTTATCTCCCTGTAGTGTTAGGTACCACCTTAACATGATTGGATGAAAAAAGAATGTACTAGTAATTAAGGTAACAGCTCTAATAAAATACATCAAAGTAATAAAACATTGTCAGGAGAATTTGGAGTTGATGGCAGATCTTCAATAGTCAGTGTTATTTTTTTTCTTTATTACAACTTTTTACACTGGGCAAGTAAGAGATTGAAAACAAACACCTGTTTTGTTATTGTTGAAGACTGTTTGTTGACCTCTAGATTTATTTTAAATTGTTGTACTGTTGGGTTACTCTCTCACTGATGTATACCTTAGATCACCCTTTTAAGGTTTAAAACAACTTCACCATACTAAGATTTCCTTGTTATACCATGTGCATACTGTACCTTATAAAGTAAGAAACATCAAGCATTAAATATCTGATTATCATATTCAGTCTTGCATCCTATATAGACTTCACTGCTGTATAGAGAGTACTTTAATTGTGAAAATATGCACACTGCAAACATATGTAAATCAAGTCTGTACACCAACCAAGCAGGGATAACTGCACTATTTCTGTACACCAACCAAGCAATATCAGGTGAATTCAAAAAAAAAATTAAAGGTTACTTATAAAGTTAGTATTCTATCATTATTAGCCTTTAATCAATACCAACCTTAAAATCAATCATCCATCTGACTTTACTGTTAATTTCTATCAGCTTTTTAGATATGATATCATCAATCTTTTTCAATGGTTTCAGATAGAAATCATCTGGAAAGAAATGGACGTTTTAGTTTAAAACATCTTTACCATACTGAACATTACAACATGACAAGACTGATATCCAAATATGGAACCTAAAAATAATGTGTACAATCTGATGGTCAAGGCTCTGTGTTGAAGACCATACTTTGACCTATAATGGTTTACTTTTATAAATTTTGACTTGGATGGAGAGTTGTCTCATTGGCACTCATACCACATATTCTTATATCTATATATGGTCAGAGTTCCTTCAATATATAAAGAATGTAAGATACTAATTTCTGTGTGTACAACATTTTTCAAAACAGTTATAAATGAAGTAAGGCATGTAAATTAAAGAATATACTAGCTATAGTGTGTAATATCATTAAATTGCACATACAAAATATTTTTGTTTAGAAATGATGGTAGTTATTTTAAGTTATTCACAATAACACTTTTTTCCATACTTAATGCAAGTTTTACAGTTGTTTGAAAGAAGAAGACTTCTACATTTATCCATTATTACATGATGTTACAGTGAGGTGGAAAAACATTTGATTCCTCTTGTCCCACACTTAGTATTTAAGGCAGAACATAATAAAAAATAAAAAAAATAAAAAATAAAAAAGTAACTAGATTTACCATGTTTACTGTGTTTGGTACTAGTTTCCCAGGTTTTTCGATAAAACATAATCACAAACTTAAGTAGTCTAGGATAATTATACTGCAGGCTTGTATGACAATTTTTTTTAAACAATGAAAACAAGTTTCCACAAATCTAACCTATTAGTCACAGTACTCAAATTACATATACATGTATTATGCAAAAATTGCAAAGGAAACCTATAGGTTTTCTTGGAGACTAAACAATTTGTAATTTTATAATTTGCCATTAGACACGTCTTTCAACATAGCTATGTATACTTAATTACATGTATACACAAAATGGTCACATTATATATCAACAGATTATTTTCAGAGAAAAAAGTTAAATGTATGGAAAGGTTGCATGTGACGTCTACAAAAAGTCTACTTTCAATAAAATGCTCCGCTGGGGCGCAGCTTGATACGACCGCAGAGGTCGAACCCTGAACAGTTGGGGCAAGTATGGACACAACATTCAAGCTTGATACAGCACTGAATTTGGATTGTAATTAAATATTTGACACAGCATAGGTTTCTCACACAGAATGAAAGTAGTCTAAGAACTTAAAATTTTTTAATTTACCTATTCAAACCATATCATTATTATTTGCTTTTATATATAAATCAGAAATAACCAATTTAAAATGGAAAATTTTAAAGAAAAAAAATTCGTAAGGGTTCCGCGGAACCCAGTGTCTCGCCTACTTTTGCTGTTAATCGCAGGCTCAACAAAAATGAGGAAAAAAATAAATAAAAATATTCCTCTCTATACTATCTTTTGATTGTAAGTAGCTTCTGTCCAAGTTTGGTAAAAATCCAGGATAGTTTATGAATCTAATAAATGTTTTAAAAACTTAAACTGCAGACTGTATGTAATGTTAACTGGAAGAAAAACAAAGTCCATTTATAAGTAAAATACGGAAAAAATCAAACAAAATTTTAACAAAATTTCCTTCTAGATACTAGCTTTTAATCATAAACAAGCTTCTGTCCAAGTTTGGTACAAATCCAGGATAGTTTAAGAAAGTTGTTAAAATTTTAAAAACTTTAACCACTGAGTGAATGTAATGTTAACTGGCAGAAAAACTAAGTCCATTTATAAGTAAAATACGGAAAAAATGGATTTTTTTTTTACAAAATTTACTTCTGGATACTATCTTATGATCATAAACAAGCTTCTTTCCAAGTTTGGTAGAAATCTAGGATAGTTTAAGAAAGTTATTGAAATTTTAAAAACTTTAACCACAGAGTGAATGTAATGTTTCTTGGCAGAAAAACTAAGTCCACTTATAAGTAAAATACGGAAAAAATGGAATTTTTTTTTTACAAAATTTACTTTTGAATATAATCTTATGATCATAAACAAGCTTCTGTCCAAGTTTGGTAGAAATCCAGGATAGTTTAAGAAAGTTATTAAAATTTCAAAAACTTTAACCACAGAGTGAATATTTGTGGACGCCGCCGACGACGACGACGCCGACGGAATGTAGGATCGCTATGTCTCGCTTTTTCGACAAAAGTCGAAGGCTCGACAAAAATGACATCATAGTCAGACTAAAGGTAAACAAAAAACCTTCATCAGCAAAATTTTATATTGGCAAATTTCCAATGAAGTTTATTATACTAAAATAATTGGCAAATTTCCAATTTACATAATTCAAACATAGTGCAGGTGAGATATTTAAATGAGTTTGAATTACCAACCTTACACTGCTTTTAAATAATGTTCTTTACTCAATTATTTGTCTATTAAAATGGAAACCCTAGTTTTTTAACCTTTTTTCCCCTTATTCCTTAAACGAAAAAAAATAATTACCCCTTTTTTGACCCCCCCCCCCCCCTATGATTCATCACCCCCCCTTCCCCCCCAAACCAAGCTCAATAACAGCCTTGCCTTTGTGGTATGGTACCTTGTAATACAATTTTAGAGAGATCCATACACTTGAACACAAGTTATTGTCTAGAAACTAAAAAATGCTTATTTTAAACCCCTTTTTAGGCCCCTTATTACTAAACGTTTTGGGCAATTACCACAAAACTCAATTCCAGCTTTCCCTTTGCGAAATGGAACCTTGTAGTAAAATTTCAGAAAGATCCATACACTTACACACAAGTTATTGTCATGAAACTAGAAAAATGCTTGTTTTTTGCCCCCTTTTGGCCCCTTATTCCTAAAATTTCGAGGAAATTAACCCCAAAATCAATCCCATCATCGACCCTTTGTGATATGGAATCTTGTAGTACAATGTCAAAGAGATCCATACAATAACACACAAGTTATGTCTGGAAGTTACAAAAATGCTTATTTTCGGCCCCTTTTTGGACCCTAATTATTTAACTGTTGGTACCATAACCCCCAAAATCAATCCCCACCTTCCTATTGTGGTATTGAACCTTATGGTAAAATTTCATAGAGATCCATTCACTTAAACTAAAGTTAGAGTGCGAAAACCATTGTGTATTCGGACGACGACGCCGGACGACGACGACGACGACGCCAACGTCATACCAATATACGACCACAAAATTTTTTTGCGGTCGTATAAAAATGAGAAATTAAAATATGTCACAGACATCAATTTCATACAAAATGCATAACAAGCATGGACTATTGTCAAAGTGTTAAAAAAATGTGAAGAAATAAAACAAAACATTAGTTATTCGAATTTTACAGATTAATTACCTTCACGTTAATTTTCACTTATATCATAATATTGGTACCTTTGAATATTATTGAAAACTTCGTATCAATGTGAACCAATCAACTTTTTTTTTGTATTTATTTGAATGTCTTTTCACAACAAGCATTTGAATTCACTGTGACATCAAAAACTATAGTTCAGTATTTACCCATACCCTTATGTCCAGTTATTTCGTTCCCCCAGTATCTCAAATATTTGTTATTATGCTTCATACAAAATATGTACAAAACTGAATTTCAAATATTTTATAAATATACTTACCACCACTTTCATGTATTGCTTCAAGAAAAGTTGGCTCCATTGCCTGACTTAGGAAAACTTGCATAAAGACATTAAACATGTCCGCTAAAGGATCTTTCTCATATTCTGTCTCTTTACTGAAAATATAGAGATCAACATTTAACATGTACGCTAGAGGATCGTTCTCATATTCTGTCTCTTTACTGAAAATAAAGAGATAAATATTTAAGATGTCTGCTAGAGGATCGTTCTCATATCTCTTTACTGAAAATAAAGATAAGCAATACACATGTCATGATGACCCTTCTCACACTTTACCAAAAAAATGGTTTAGATATCTTACCTCAAATACTCCATTATTTAACAATATGAATAAAGGAGATGTGATAATGACTGCCAATGAGACAACTATCCAACATGTTTAGTTTGAATACAGTAAGTTCACTGTGTGATCTGGGAAAGGTTTTTTTTCAGAATTTTACTACCATACATAAAAGCTAAACTTTATCTGTTACGCTTTTGTCATTAGGATCCATACATGAGGGAAAATAGCATTTTTAATCCTGATTTTATCACATATTTGTCCACAAAGTTATATCATATGAACACTTTAAACATGGAACATCACAAATCATCCTATTGTTCTCTAAATTTGATAAAGAAGTGAATGACATTCATAAATATTTTATTTAGGCCAGGCAGGTGATCCTGAAACCCCTTGTCTGTGTCCACTTAGCATGAAGAAAGATCTAACGCTACCAGATGCTTACAATCAAATCTAGAGTTTCTTGTAAAAAGTGCATTTATTGCAGTTTCCCCTCAAAATGCAGCATTTCTAAGTAGAGAGAAGAATGAGCATATTAATTAATCAATATAAAATGATGGCAAAATTTTGCACAATTCAATTTTTAGTTCAATTAAGAAGATATTTAACTTAATTTTCATTAGTTTCGTCTTTTCCATTCACAATGTAGGTGTTTTCAATAGCTTAAATTCAGAAATTAATTACTGGTATATCATGCAAACCAGTAATGTTAGACTACAATCCAAAATATTACTTGAAAGCTTTTTCCTTTAATATCTGAAATAATTATATAATAGTATTCTAAATACCCTGAATCTAGTTTTGGTTTAGGACGATCCTCTTCTAAGACCTGAACAATATATTGACTATCTTTAACTGTGGCACGAGTATGAGGAATCTGTTTAGTTCTCACAGATACATAGTTCTTCTCCATATTTGGTAGCCAACTGGAATACTGAAATCATATTCAATAACATTTTGAATGGTAATAACAAAAGACCTTTCACTACTTTTCCAGAGTGGCATGAAATTAATATAGAATAATTGCTTTTTATTTTTTGACACTGACTTTATCAGCAAAAAAATCAAGCAACCCAACTAGGGCGAGGTTAAATTCAAGCTGATGAAGTCAGTGTAAAAAACCAAATGACATTATTCTTTATATCAGCCATTTGTCTTAACAATATGTTTTATTGTGGATTAGAAAATGAAATAGGATGCAATAGTTAATACTATTTAATGCATACGCATGTTGAGCCTGAAACTCAAAAAGTTGTTGAAAAATATAAGATTTTAAATCTTGTAGAGTCCAAATAATAATACATTTCAACCATTGACTGTGCTTTTTCATTCTGTCTATTGTTTCAGTCTGTATATTGGGCTCTAGATTGTCTTTCTGTTATCTTTGTTGTTGGGTTGTTGTCTCATTGTCGAGTATCCACATTTCATTTATTTGTATGAATATGAGAGGAATACGACAACGTTGATCTAGAGGATCAACTTCATTCACCAAAATATTAATATGCATGTACATGTAAGATGATATCCTTTGTTGTCTTCTTGTCATTTTCTGATGTTCGTCCTTTTATTTTGAAAGGTAAAACAATTAGTTTTGTAAAGCAGCTTTACACAAAAGACAAAACGATACAGATAATACAAACAAAGATCAAACTAAAAATAAATGATTACCGTATTTTGCGGAAAATAAAACGCACCCCTAAATAAGGCGCACGGCCGTTTTTTGTGGGAAGAAGTGTTTTTTTCCTTACATAAAACGCACCTGAATATAAAGCGCACCCTAATGAAAACGTAGTATGCATTCTACTGACCTTAGAGTAATGAATGTTCACTCGCTTTTGTAACTCACTGCGTAACATGTTTCATTTCTATTTTCAGATTGTTGAGAAAGTTGAAAGGCATTTTGATTATATGTATTTGTTTCATATTAAAATAAAAAATGTTAATAAAATTATTATACTTTTCTTATTGTTTTAATGACGCCAGATTCATTAGTTGTTTTTGTCATCAATGGCCATGTGTTGACAGCGTGGGTGTCCATTGAACTTGTTGTTTTGATTAAAATTAGTTTGGTGTTGATTGCTCGTTAATTGTTTCAATTGGAATCAAGGATTTTAATCTTTCTTGAAAATGTATTCATTAAAGGTCACTCAAGCCATAAAACTGCCATTGTTTACCTTGATTATTACGTAATACCAGGTATACCTGTAGTCACATGTTAACTGGTCACGCATAAGTCAGGGGAAAACAAATTATCAAATTAAATTTGAAGAATTTTATTGTTGTCTATAAAAAAAAGTTTTAGTTTATTAGCTTCAAACATTTTTAAATTTAAACTTGGTTGAATACTACGAACAAAACCATTCAGTTTCTGCAAGTCATTGTCTATTTTTAACTGAAAGTGAGATGGGCCACGGAAAGGGGAATTCAAATAAGACGGCGATATATAAATGTCTTAGCATATTAAATTATGAAAATTAATATTCTTTTCTTCATTTCATACATCCGATAATATGTGGCTACAATATTTCATGAAGATATTTCATTTTGAAACACAATAAAACGAAAAGCAGTTACTCCTCAATAGTATATCCTGTATGGTACCTCTTTTCAATCACGCTTATCTTTCTTTGTTTATGAAACACTTTAAAGGGTTCATTTCAGCACATGGTTATCACCATCGTCATTAAAAGAGACTTGAAATATTGGAAAGAAACACAATCACTTCCTTTAATATTCCTTTAGGAGATTTTATTTAAAAACACATTAAAACAACAAACCATTACATATTTATTGTAAATACACAATTAATATCCTGTATGGTACCTCTTTCAAACACAGTTATCTTTCTTTGTTTATGTAACACTCATGGTTATCAACTTCGTAAGCCAACAATGAAATAAAGAACAAATGATAAAGTATATATATTTTTATTCATAACAAAATATGCCACATGAACAATTTATCAAGTCACTGCAAGCACTTGACAATCTGAAGGTCTCCATAAAAAAAATCCAGATATAATTTTTTTTTCACACTTGCCCTGAAACACTGAAAATATACGTACATAAAGCGCACCTGAGTATAACACGCAGGGACAATGACAGAGAAAAAAACCTGCGGCTTATTTAACGAATTTAACGGTAAATGATATGGAACATCGATGAGAGGAGACTCCAATCAATTTGACGTCTTTTTGGTAATGCATGAAGTCACATTGGATGTCAATGAGAGGGTACAAATTTTGGACACTGATTTGGGAACGTGACATCACATTGGACATCGATTTGAGGAACAGATGTCGATTAGAGACCAGACATCAATCTGAGTCTAACAAACATATTCTGGTTACAATTATATGCAGGATGCTGACCAGGCTTGAGTAAACATTATTCAGACATAGAATTGTATACTAGACTTGCAAATACATATAAATATATTAGCATGCCAAAGGTTAACCACTATATATAGCAGTAATACATTTTTGGTAATGCATGACGTCACATTGGATGTCAATGAGAGGGTACAAATTTTGGACACTGATTTGGGAACGTGACATCACATTGGACATCGATTTGAGGAACAGATGTCGATTAGAGACCAGACATCAATCTGAGTCTAACAAACATATTCTGGTTACAAATATATGCAGGATGCTGACCAGGCTTGAGTAAACATTATTCAGACATAGAATTGTATACTAGACTTGCAAATACATATAAATATATTAGCATGCCAAAGGTTAACCACTATATATAGCGGTAATACATTTAAGCATTATTTATCAGCCATTATTGATTTATTAACCTACTATTAAAATCAACCATGGTGTGACACTAGACCAGTATAATGGAAAGAATTAATTTCTTACATCTGTTTTGTGAATACTGTATATCTTTATGAACTGTCATAGGAAACCAGGATTACAAGAAAACATATGGTTCACAAGTAATCTTTGTTCATTGAACTTAAGCATCTTGCCAATAACTGTCCTTCTTACTTTGCTCAAACAAGCTATCAAGTATACTTACTGTTGATAAGGATCTATGTAAGATTTCTCCTTTCTCAACATATAATTCATATTTTCTCATCATTTTACCAGCTTCAATTTTCCAGATAGGAAATCCTTCAAAATTGTTGAGATCTTTTTTATTAATGACAAATGCACCCATCTGAAAGATATAAAGTAGATGACAATATAAAAACCTTCTTACACTACTGTTAAATTAAACAACTGTGACTAAATAATTGTCAGGACATACTATGATATTTAATATAATAACTGTTTTTGTGACTTTAAATTTAACATCTTCAGAAAAGAAATAAAAAAAAGTTACAAACTGGACCAACCTGTGAAGTTCAACTTCAACAGATATCATCCAAGAGAAAATTGTTGACAAAAATGTTCAATAACTGTGTTTACACTATAACAGAAACGTAGCAGTAAATAAATCATTAATATTCAGTTGTAGACATAAAAAAGAACGACATCAATATGAAACATGACCACAATTCTTCAATGAAAGTAGTTCATCTACAATATAACTAGCCTGTCAACACTTAGGATGTGAGTTTGCAATCAAGACAAAAATTAATAATATATCATTTTTATGTGGGAAATGCACTTGCTAAAATGACTGAATGCTTTCAGAAATTCATTGGAATTATTTACTTATCCGTAAATCTTCAGAATCTGTGATTTTCCAGGGGAGATAACTTTTGCACAAAGTGGAGATAACTAAACTTGGTATTGCTGTAAAGTAACACACTATGAACCATATTTTCTTCTTTTCTTTAATACAACTTAAAAGTTAAAAAGTGTTACCACAAGTGCTGGTGATGCTGTTGTATTTTCCTCGTCTGTATCTTCTGATGATGATTCCATTTCTGGACTAGGAACTCTGGGATATGAAACTCTTTCCACCCTTGGTGATTTAGCAGGTATAGGTTTTGCTGCTTTTGATGGTCGTTTTAGTTTTCTATAAATGAATTTTGAAGTTCCATTACATAAATATATGTATCTATATTATACATAGTTATCATATATCCAATATGTGCCTCACTTAGTCTTGGGCTATTAGATAATTAAAAATTCAGTTATTTGAAATATTCAGAGATGTATAAATGATTTGTTATCGTTTTTATTTCAATTGCATATATTTCTAAATACAATTTAAAAAATAAAACTTGAGGTTTGTATTTCCCCTCTGCTCTTTTCTTTAAAAAAAAATATTGTAAACTCATTATTGAAAGGCAATAACTCCTTTAAGGAGGTGTTTGACAATTTAGGCCCTGTTGACTTTATATTTGTCGACCAAGTCTTGCTGATTATTTTTGCTATTTAAATTTTCTCTTTACGTAGTAAAATTTTCAAGATAAAAAGCAAACATTATTAATATACTGCTTCGCTGAGCGCAGCTGGATACGCCTGTAGAGGTCCAACCCTGAACAGTTGGGGCAAAAATGGACACAATATTCAAGCTTGATACAGGTCTGAATTTGGATTTGACATATTATAGGTTTCTGAATAAATGTAGTCAAAGAACTTAAAATTGGTTATATGAATTGAATTTATATTCAATTAAAGATTTCTTGCTGTTGTGCAATACACTGTGCTGTTGCGCAATACTTAGTAAATCTGTTGTCAGACTATAAACAATTAAAGTTCAATTAATTCTCAATGTCATATTAGAAATTTATGAAAATGTAAAGGGAGCTTACATCAATAGATATAAACAATTCACCAAAGTTTCATGAGAATTGCTGACAGCATTTTTGAGTTATTGTCAGAAAACTGGAAAATCCCCCTTTTTTTAATGAATAAAACCCCATAACTCAGATATATAAAATGTAAAATTTATAAAATTCTAAACGGAGCTTACATCAATAGATATAAACAATTCACCAAGTTTCATCAGAACTGCTGAAAGCTGGAAAATCCCCCTTTTTTATGAACAAGAATGCACACGCTGAAATGTCTCGCCTTCTTTACTAATCATTGATATTATGTTGATAGTCCTAAATATAAAGCTTTATTACAACTGTAACATAAACTTAACATTAGCCAAGTAAACTAAACATTGACCAATGAACCATGAAAATGAGGTCAAGGTCAGATGAACCATGCTAGGCAGGCATGTACAGCTAACAATTCTTCCATACAACAAATATAGTTGACCTATTGCTTATAGTTTAAGAAAAACAGACCAAAAAAAACAAAAAAACTTAACACTGAGCAATGAACCTTGAAAATGAGGTCAATGTCAGACAAGAGTGGACACGCTGAAATGTCTCGCCTTCTTTACTAACCATTGATATTATGTTGATAGTCCTAAATGAAAGCTTTACTACAACTATTACATAAACTTAACATGATCCAAGAAAATGAAGTCAAGATCATATAAACCCAACGAGAAATACATGTACACCTTACAATCATTCAATACACTAAATATAGTTGACCTATTGCTTATAGTTTCTAAGAAACAGACTTAACCAAGAAAACTAAACATTGACCAATGAATCGTGAAAATGAGGTCAAAGTCAGATGAACCATGCCAGGCAGACATGAACAGCTTACAATCCTTCCATACAACAAATATAGCTGACCTATTGCTTATAGTTTAAGAAAAACAGACTGAAACACATAAACTTAACACTGAGCAATGAACCGTGAAAATGAGGTCAAGGTCAAATAAAACCTGCGAGACTGACATGTACATCATAGAATATTTCCATACACCAAATATAGTTGACTTATTGCATATAGTATAAGAAAAAAGACCAAAACTCAAACTTAACTTTGACCAATGAACCATGAAAATGAGGTCAAGGTCAGATGACACCTGCCAGTTGGACATGTACACCTTACAGTCCTTCCATACACCGAATATACTAGACCTATTGCTTATAGTATCTGAGACATGGACTTGACCACCAAAACTTAACCTTGTTCACTGATCCATGAAATGAGGTTGAGGTCAAGTGAAAACTGTCTGACGGGCATGAGGACCTTGCAAGGTACACACATACCAAATATAGTTATCCTATTACTTATAATAAGAGAGAATTTAACATTACAAAAAATCTTAACTTTTTTTTCAAGTAGTCACTGAACCTGAAAATAAGGTCAAGGACATTGGACATGTGACCTATGGAAACTTCGTAACATGAGGCATCCATATACAAAGTATGAAGCATCCAGATCTTCCACCTTCTAAAATATAAAGCTTTTAAGAAGTTAGCCACCGCCGGATCACTACCCCTTTGTCGAGCTTTCTGCGACAAAAGTCGCAGGCTCAACAATAACACCTGAGTGACTGACATATAGATCATAAAATATTTCCATATACCAAATATATTTGAATTATTGCATATAGTATTAGAAAAAAAGACCAAAACTCAAAAACTTAACTTTTTTGACCACTGAACCATGAAAATGAGGTCAAGGTCAGATGACACCTGCCAGCTAGACATGTACACCTTACAATCATTCCATACACCAAATATAGTACACCTATTGCATACAGTATAAGAAAAACAGACCAAAACACAAAAACTTAACTATAACCAATGAACCATGAAAATGAGGTCAAGGTCAGATGACACCTGCCAGTTGGACATGTACACCTTACAGTCCTTCCATACACCGAATATACTAGACCTATTGCTTATAGTATCTGAGACATGGACTTGACCACCAAAACTTAACCTTGTTCACTGATCCATGAAATGAGGTTGAGGTCAAGTGAAAACTGTCTGACGGGCATGAGGACCTTGCAAGGTACACACATACCAAATATAGTTATCCTATTACTTATAATAAGAGAGAATTTAACATTACAAAAAATCTTAACTTTTTTTTCAAGTAGTCACTGAACCTGAAAATAAGGTCAAGGACATTGGACATGTGACCTATGGAAACTTCGTAACATGAGGCATCCATATACAAAGTATGAAGCATCCAGATCTTCCACCTTCTAAAATATAAAGCTTTTAAGAAGTTAGCTAACGCCGCCGCCGGATCACTATCCCTATGTTCGACAATAAAACCATGTAACTCGGAAACGTAAAATCTAAAATATATATAAAAATCGAAAGGGAGCTCATGTCAATAGATATAAACAATTCACCACAATTTCTTGCAAGTTGGTGAAAGCATTCTTGAGTTATTGTCCGAAAACTGGAAAATCCCCCTTTTTTTAATGAATAAAACCCCATGACTCGGAAAGGTAAATTCTAAAATTTATAAAAAACAAAGGGAGCTCACGTCAATAGATATAAACAATTCGCCAAAGTTTTATGCAAATTGGTAAAATCGTTTTTGAGTTAATGTCCCAACATGTTGAAGACAGACAGACAAACGGACGGACAGACAGACAACTGTATACCATAATACGTCCCGTAAACGGGCGTATAAAAAAAATAGTAATATAGAACAGAGTTCTAATGTCCCTGCATTGAACATATTTTATCTATCCAAGGTACAAGGGCAATTATTAAAAAAAAACTCTCTTTTTTGGTTCTTTAAAACTTTTCAAAAATATATTAGAGAAATGAAGGCTTCAGAGCAAATGCAATGCAATTTTCTGTTATAATCAATATTTCCAAGGGGCATAACTCTTTTAAAAATAATTGATCGGCACTGATTTTTAAGTGTGTCAAAGACATTGCTGATATAAACCTATGATATAAGTTTCATAAAAATCTGGCAAGAATTGTACACATGAGAGCACTAACGATGCAATTTTCCATATAATTAATGTTTCCAAGGGGCATAACTCTTTTAAAAATAATTGATTGGCACTGATTTTTGAACTCATCCAAGACATTGCTAATATAAACCTATGATATAAGTTTCATAAAAATCTGGCAAGAATTGCACATGTGAGAGCGCTAACAAGACCAGACAGACGGACTCCCGGTAATTCTATGTCCCCCGCAACGTGTTGTGCGGGGGACAAAAATCATCATCTAAGTGCAACAACTACTATTTAGGAGGTTGTCTGACAATTTAGTTTTCAAGATAAAAAGGAAACATTATAACAAGAGTGCACACGCTGAAATGTTTCGCCTTCTTTACTTACCATTGATATTATGTTGATAGTCCTAAATGAAAGATTTACTACAACTATTACATAAACTTAACATGATCCTAGAAAATGAAGTCAAGGTCATATAAACCAAACGAGAAATACATGTACACCTTACAATCATTCGATACACTAAATATAGTTGACCTATTGCTTATAGTTTCTAAGAAACAGACTTAACCTTGACAAAAGTCGCAGGCTCGACAAAAAAAAAATGGTAAAAATCATCATCTAAGTGCAATAATTCCTATAAGAGGTTGTTTGAAAGTTGATCTTGACACCTCAAAAATTCTTGCCACTTTAAGATTTTGTCTATCTGTAACCGTTTTCAATATAATAGACAAAACATTCATTTTGCCTCTATGATTTAATTTTAGCCATTTTAGCCATACCAGCCAAGTTGGTCGGCAGGAGGATCGTCAGATACATTTTTGAACATGGATACCCTAATGATGATTGTGGCCAAGTTTGGTCAAATTGGCCAGGTTGTTTCATTTGTAAAAGTTTACAGATGAGGAAAGACAATGGAAGACAAAGAGCAAATGATGGTAAGAGTTTAAAAAACAATTTCAAATATTTACGGTTTGATTTTTGTATTTCTTGAACGACCTCTTCTCTGTGAACTACCTAAGTCTCCATCAAATGTAGGCTCTTTTTTTTCCTATTAATGAAAGATAAATATACACAGATTTTTCTTAGATATTTCTAAATTAACAAAACAAATCAACAAATTATTATTTGATAAAAAGTTAAGCAAGGCTCATATTATTTCAGAATGACAGAAAACACTTCTTTTTTTGTCAATGACAATGCAAAGTGTTAAGACCAGTCCAGTAAGCTTGTTTGCTTGCAACTAGGTACAAGATGTGTATTTGATGCAATATCCAATATAGCTATTATATTTGAAGGGTACAGTTCTGTTTGCCATGAATGTTGGTTTTTTTCGCCTTTTCACAAAAAAATTCTTTCAGGCCTATCTTGTACATGTCTTTATCAGATTTAAGTCATTGCTTATCAGCATCCAATGGGTCCTTACCCAAGATAGTTTTTGTTTTTTTTTATTTTCTTTGAGTTGTCGTCTCAGTGAGAAATACCCTACATCTCTTCTAATCTGCTTATATCACAAATCACTTTTAACTTTAATATATCAGTGATTACCAAAAAATACCTTTTTGCTTACATTGATAATATGTCAACTTGGCTTAACTTTTCCAGCATGAAAGAACAATGGTTAATTTTATATACATTTAATAACAAACAACCCAGTTAAAATGAATAAAAGCAGATATTGGGTATACATCGGTTCAATGAGACACAAATCCAACAACACAAAAATTACCCATATGACATCTGGAGGTCAACATAATACTGTAAATTCAGAAATTATTATGAGGTTTTTATTATTGCGAATAATGCCACTGGGTGAGTATCGCAATAAGAACTCACATTCTGATATCTGATACATATATCTGTATACAGATATTCCTGAAATAGCAATAATTAATATGGCATTTCTGTCAATTCTTAAAAAATCGCAATAATAAGTCCACGTTATAATTTCTGAATTTACAGTATGTGCCACAACAGATTGATTGTTGACTTACATCGGCAACTGGTGTCCATGCTGGATCTGAGTCAGAATCGTAGGTCTCAGGAACTTTATCTTCTTCCATATCACTTTCACTGTCTTTATATTTTTCTGCGCAAGAAAATTGAATTCTATAAAAATAACAGCTGCAACAAAATTTGTTTCAGGCAACTGGTTTTGTATCATCACAGAATTATTCATTTGAACAATAGTCATTATACTTATATATGCAAGAAAGTTCAGCTTTACAGCTGTAAATAAATTGCTTCGCCGAGCGCAGCTGGATACGACCGCAGAGGTCAAACCCTGAACAGTTGGGGCAAAAATGGACACAATATTCGTGCTTGATACAGGTCTGAATTTGGATTGTAATTAAATATTTGAAACAGAATAACTGTAGTCAAAGAACTTAGAATTGGTTATATGATTTGAATTTATATTCATTTTTTGCTTTTGTGCAATACACTTTGCTGTTGCGAATTGACCCCCCCTCCCCCACAAAAAAAAAAAATTACCCCCCCCTTTTTTTTTCTTTTGTGCAATACACTATGCTGTTGCATATTAACCCCCCCCCCCCCCCCCCCCCTTTTTTTTTCTTTTGTGCAATACACTATGCTGTTGCATATTAACCCCCCCCCACACACACACACACACACACACTTTTTTGGCAAAAAAAAAAAAATATTTGAAGAATTTTTTATTTTTAATTTCTGAAATCTGAAATGAGAAAAAATTGACCCCCCACAATTTCTCTTTTCACCCCCCCCCCCCTTTTCCCCCAAAAAATTTCTTACCTCAAGATATGGTCATAATCTCAATTCAAATTTCCAATGGAGTTTGCAACCAAAATTACCCAATTATATTTACCATAGTGCTAACTTAATCTATTTTATAATAGAATATAAAACATGGTGTCAAAAATTATCTTTCATATGGATTTTTTTGTAAAAAAAAAAATGATGCAACATTTGCAGATATTTTCACTGGTCTTCCTTTATAAATATGCATTTCTTTAAACATAATTTAAAAGCAGTGTTAGGGAGATAATCAAAACGTTGTGTTTGGATTACCTCCCTTACATTGCTTTGAAATTGTCTTAAGTAATTGTCCATTAACCGTTTAAAAGCAGTGCTAGGGAGTAATTCAAATGATGAGTTTGAATTACCTCCCTTACACTGCTTTAAATTATGTTTTGTACTAAATTTATTGTCCATTAACCAGGACACCCTTGTTTTTCTCCTTTTTTTGCCCCTTTCCTAAACTGTTTGAGCCATAACCCCCAAAGCAACTCCTAACCATCCCTTTGTGGTATGGAAACTTGTGGTATAATTTCAGAGAGATCCATACACTGTTCCACAAGTTATTGTCTGGAAACTAGAAAAATGCTTATTTGGGGGCCCTTTTTGACCCCTAATTCCTAAACTGTCAGGACCATAACCCCCAAAATCAATCCCAACCTTCATTTTGTGGTTATAAACCTTGTGTTTAAATTTCATTGATTTCTATTTAATTATACTAAAGTTATTGTCGGGAAACCAACTGTCTTCAGACGACGACGCCGACGACAACGTGATACCAATATACGACCGCAAAATTTTTTTGTGGTCATATAAAAAGTATTTAAAATTTGCATGTTTGTTAGGAAATATCATTAAATCAAATAAAAATATTACCTTTGCTTACTGCCCAGTTGAAGATTTAAAAATTAAATCATGGAATAGGCAATAATAGACAGCCCATTTTATATATAAATATATATATATATATATTCTGTTTGGTATTAAATCAATAATTAAGATCCATGTTACATCTGGTGATCAGCTTGTATACACTATATTCTGCATTATACTTTACTTCCAATAACATTTAAAGTATAATGTAAACAAGCTGTAGCCCTGCCTATCTATTGATTGTAGATGTCAATCTTAATTACAATGCTTGAGCAAACATTTATACAAACAAAGCAAGCAAGCCAACCAAACTTTTAAACTACAAACAATAGGAAAAAAGATCTAAGATGGTGTTTTTGTTTTTCTTAGTTGTTTAAGTACTTTGATTTTTAATGATATGTTGTTCTAAGTCTCTCCTGTTAATCTTCTAATTGTGTTTGTCCTTAGTTATATCTTAATGTTTTGTCCTTTATTTAATTTGGTGTTTTTGTCAGATCTTTGGTAGTCTCTTTCTGTCATATTTTTTTGTCCATAAATTGTTTTATTATAGATTGAGGTCGTTTTTTTTATGTTGGGGCCTTTCATAGTTGACTTTACGGTATGGGTTTTTCTCATTTTTAAAGTAAAACAGTGGCCTATAATTGCTTAAATCCACCTCATTTGAACTCTGGTTGAAAGTTGTCTCATTGGCATTCATACCACATCTGCTTCTTTTTATCTTATTTTCATTCACAACTTTTTGAGACAATGGACTTTTTAGGATTTGACATTTTGTATTGACACTTTTCTATTGTTGAAAACCATGTAACATGTGTAATAACCCCTAGATGTCTTTTGATATTTTGTATCTTTTTGTTTTGCTGTCTCATTGACATATACCCAACATCTTCTTTTATTCATCTGAATTATACATACTCTGTTGAGCTATTTCTTTAGCTTTCCTTGCTGAAGTTCTTCTAGCTGGTACAACAGGGGAAGGAGTTCTCTCCCTTTCTTCTTCTTCTTCTTGTGAAGACCCAACCTGATATTCTTCCCCAGAAGAACGCTCATGATCTTCATCACTTCCTCTGTAACTTCTGGAACGTTTTTGTTTGACTATTGACTTCCCAGATGTCTTTGACCTCTTTTGTTTTGGAGGTGTTTTTTGTAACTTTATCCTCATTTTTATAGTAGGATGTTCTTTGTCACCAGTGTCAATATTTTTTACAGTACCAGTTAATCCAGTACTCGCTTCATCATCATCTGACATTTTGGTTTTAGAACTAGACATACTAGATGTATCTCCATTTGATAGAGAATTAGAATCAGATTTATTGTCAGTGTCTGGTTTAGGTGTGCTAGCGGCACTATCACTACTTTTTTCTACTGAAGTCTGACGTGGACGTTTTGGTTCAGGGATATATTTAGGAAGTTGCGGTTTTTTGGTAACAGCAGTATTTACACTAGATAATGTCTCTGGTTTCTTTCCTTGAATGAAACTTAAAAACGAGTCCATAAATGCATTATTTTTATTACTTTTAGCAGGTGTTTGTTTTTCTACAGGTTTTTGAGGCTGAGGAGGATCAACTTTAACTTGACCCTGAGGTTGAACTTTTGGTACTTGTGTTTGTTCATTGGTTGTTTTCTCTGTAACTGGTGGTTTTTTTAAATGCTGAAATTCATCATCCTCTTCTACTGGATTTATTACTGCACTTGGTGGCAAAGCTGGTTCTGCTATAAATGGTTTATTTTGTGAAAAATCATCTGAAAATCCTTCAAACAGTCTCCCACGTAGATTTTGCTGCTCTACATGAGGATTATCACTAATAAGACTTGACAATGCTGCTTCATCCACAGTGGATGATGGATTACTTTGTGGATTTGCACAATAATTTTGTTGTGTCAAATTTTGACCATATGAATTAAATGTGTCTAAATTACAAAGGTTACCATTTCCTGAATATACTCCTTGATCCATTTCTAATGCATCAAATTCACTCGAATTTAACTGAGCCACAAAAGAAGATTGATTTGGAGCACCTTCATAGGAATACTGATTATTATCCAGAATCCTATTTTGTTCATGTGGATTTTGCATTGGAGTATTTCCTTCACTGAATCCATGTTGATTGTTTGAGGACATGAAATTATTTCTAGATGAAGCAATACCTTGGGGGTTAAAGTTTTCATTTCGAACAGTAGAATTTCTATATGTATCATTGTTTATATTTCTCTGTCCTAAATTTTCCATCATGGTCCCACTTGCAGCAAAATCATAACCTCCATGCGCCTGTGTAGAGTGTTTAGGGGGACTTTGGGAATATCCAGCACCCATCATATTTTGGGAATGAGATATTAGCTGACCCTGAGACATATCTGGCAGTTTTGAACTTGAAATTTGTGAGCTCTGCATACTGAAATGACTTAAGCTTTGGTTATTGCTTCCGTAATTCTGTCCATAAATGTTACCTGACATTAATAATTGACTTTGCTTATACAGATTTTCCTGACCTCCTTTCTGTGAGAAAACCTTTAATTGTTGTTCTTGCTGAATAAAAGAGTCAACTAATTTCTTCTCGTCGGTAGATTTTGTTTCTTCTATTATAGTTTCTTTCTTTTTCCGACCTCGTCCCTTTTTTGGTTTTGTTGTAGAATCGGCTACTGCTTGAATCGTCACTGGGCCTCGATTAGAAGTAAAAGAATCTGAATTCTCTTCGGAGACCAATATTCTTTGTGAGTTGTAGGTATTTTGTTGAGGATCTGTAGAAACTATTCTTTGATCAGTACTAAAACTTTGTTGGTGTAGTGAATTTGAACCTGGAAAAGACAAATGTTCTGGATTTCTAAAGGAGCTTCCTGTTGAAAAATATTGATTGTAATTGTCTCCCCTGTGGTCAGATAATGACACAGTTGGTCTCACTTGTTCAAATTGTGTATCATGTTTAACACTATCTAGATAAGGTTGTGAAGTAGGTAAAGGATATGTAAAGTTTCCTACTGATGATCTTAACAACTGTTCCCTCCTAGAATTCAAAATGTCACTTTGTTCCTGTTGTAGATGTTGTGAGGTTCTTTCAAAAGTATCTGATCTCTCTGAAAATTGAGAATTAAATGTGGGTGAAAGTGGGGAATTTATAAGGTTATTTTGTGTTGGACCTTCCTGAATAGTACTTTGATGGAGGCTGGAAATTCCACAATGTGCTGGTGGTGGTAAAAAGCGCTGACCCAGGGAAGAAAAATCTGTTGGTAAACCTCCAATTAAGCTTTGTGAAGTCTGAGCTAAATTAGGCTGTCTCCAACTATGATTTCTGTCTTGTGCAAATAATGGTTTTGGAGGTGATAAATCTAGCCCAAAATTATCAGGCTCTCTTTGTCGAACTCCCTCAAATTCAAGTGGAGTTAATGCTGTTGGTTTAAATGGTCCTGTAAATACTGTGGATGAGCCAGAAAGACCTGGTACTGGTCTTGTCCCAGCATGGGGTGACAAGTCTCCAACTGAAAGACAAAAAAATAAATAAATGTACTACTCAGGTTAAATAATACTGTTATAGCTTATTCAAATAAATCAAGTGCTTTCTGGCATTATCAGCTGTAATTACATTGTACCTAGATATCTAAAAATACCTACTGGAATTTCAAGTTCATACATGCATTTATAAATGGTGAATCAATCTTTTTACCATACACCATTTTAAGAGATTAATAAATGTGGTGAATATTTTAGTCTGAAATAACATCCTTTATGTAGTGTAAATTGTAATTGGGCTTTGAACTAGCTTTCCATAACGCTGTCCATGGTGTTAAAACACTAAATCACTGGAATGTTTTTTAATTGATTTTAGTCTCTGATTTTTTATTATTGTTTTTTGCTTTTAACTAGCTTTCAATAAACTGCGAGTACTCTCAATTCATTCTTTCGTGTTAATTTGATCTGTTGACACAATTTGTAATGCATTTTTGTTATTCAATGTTTACTTATTTTGTGTTATATCTCGTCTCACTATTTTAAATAATATACCACCTTTGGTAAGTATTTATTATGACAATAAATTTTCATCTCTGTACTCGTACTGTGAACAACAAATTTATTTTGTAAAAAATATTTCCATACTCCTAACAACAAAATTATCATATCTATGTACCTGTGTACATTATTTTATTTAATGCCATTTTTTCCCAGCTTATAGTTGTCTTTCTGACACTGTTTTACATCTTTTTTTTAATAATAATGTATTTATATTGTGTCATAGATTAAATTTATTTGTTCAGTGTATGTTTACTTGTTTTTGTTTATACATTGTATGTCTTTTTGATCGAATTAAGCCATTTCAATTGATATTTTATAGTGTGTCTTTTTATGTTGTAATGATACACTACTGTTTCACGTTAGGGTGATGGTTGGCGCCTGTTAAGTTTTAAACCCGCTGCATTTGTATGCACCTGTATTGAGTCAGGAGCCTGTTGTTCAGTGGTTGTCGTTATTGGTGTGGTGCAGAAGTGTTTCTCGTTTTTTATATAGATTTGACTGTTGGTTTTCCTGTTTGAATTGTTTTACACTAGTCATTTTGGGCCCCTTTATAGCTTGCTGTTCGGTGTGAGCCAAGGCTCTGTGTTGAAGGCCATACTTTGACTTATAATTGTTTACTTTTTACTCATTGTGACTTGGATAGAGAGTTGTCTCATTGGCACTCATACCACATCTTCTTACTTCTATTAAAAACTGCAAGCACTCTTATATCTGTATTTTGTGTATTTTGACTAAGTTATAATTGTACTTTACACATATGATAATTATTTCAACTGATTTTTAGTTTATTCTAATGTTGTTGTCTGAAATACCTGTTTGTTCAGTAGATATGTATGGATCAAATGTGGGAAATCCTTGTACTAGTGAGTTATATGCTTGATTTCTCCATTGGTTTGGATCCATAACAGGTCTACCTTACATCCATCATGTCTGCAATCTCACAACTACAAATAAATATACTTCATTTATCAATTTCTTAAATAATGTTTCAAGTTTCATGAAGTCAATTATGTCTTCACCTTTGGGTACTTCTAGGGAACTAACAGATATCCTTTTATTTGACATGTGCCTTATTTCTAGCATATCTTGAAAACCTTTCCATTCAATTTGAAATACACTATTGTTGACAGCCTAACTAATTTTGCTTTGATAGCATGGCTCACGCTAGAGTGCAAAAGACTTGTTTTCTCGTCTTGTCACTTCACCATTCAGTGCTGTCAAAGGCAATATCATGTCCACCTTGTCATCAGTATTTCTTTTATTTTAAATTAATTTTCTAGAAATGATGACAAAAATTAACACACAATTTTGGAGATGAGAATTGAGTAGTCAAATAATTAGGAAGGCATTCAAAATTTTAATGAGACCATGCTTATGTTTCAAGTCTTAATTCAGGTTATTAAATTTTTAGTAAAATCAACAAAATAGTGAAATTGTTTTTCTCGCATTTTCTCCCCTTTAGAGACCCTCTAACTGTGGTCCTCCAGTGAAAATAGTAAAAACAAGAGGCTGTCAGAGTGACAGGAAACTGGATTTTCCTGCATGAAAATGATATTTGCAAACCTGGACCCCCAAAAAAAGTTGTTCAGATTCAGCATTTCCAAGAATCCCATATATTCAATTTTTGTTGAAATCAAAGTTTAATTTTGGACCCCCGATTAGGACCAACTTGAAAACTGGGCTCAAAATCAAAAATCTAAATACATGTTTATTAATAAACAATATAAGTTTTAGTTTTTAAAGGAGTTTGCTCCATAAAAAATATATATATATATATATATATATATATATATAGCATTTAGAAATTTAGTTTATACAGAATAACAAACAAGCCTACTACAAAATTCTTCAAAACATTTATCAAAAAAAAAATAAAAACAAATAAATGGAGAATGTGTCCATCATATAAAGTTATAAAGGGACATAACTGAAGTACGGTTAAAGTGACCCTACTGAAATTTATACTTGATCTGAGTTTTGTGGTAATAAGTATTGTGTATAAGTTTCATAACATTTGGTTGAGGCAAACTTAAGTTAGAGAACAGAAACGAAAATTTTCAGCAATTTTTCCATTTGTAAAGGGGCTTAACTCTAGAACAGTATAAGTGACACCACCAAAATTCAAACTTGATCTGTATTTTGTGGTAATAAGCTTCACGTTTAAATTTCATAACATTTGGTTGAGGGAAACTTAAATTAGAGAACGGAATCGAAATCAGCAATTTTTCCATTTGTAAAGGGGCATAACTCTAGAAGGGTTAAAGTGACACCACCAAAATTCAAACTTGATCTGTGTTTTGTGGTAATAAACATTGTGTATAAGTTTCATTACATTTGGTTGAGGCAAACTAATGATAGAGAACGCAAACGAAATATTCAGCAATTTTTCCTTTTGTAAAGGGCCATAACTCAAAAGGGTTAAAGTGATGGCACCAAAATTCTAACTTGATCTGTGTTTAGTGGTAATAAGCATTGTGTATAAGTTTTATAACATTTGGTTGAGGCAAACTAAGGTTAGAGAACGGAAACCAACTTTTGGATGTACAGACGGACAAGGGTAAAACTTAATGCCCCCTCTGCTATAGAAGGGAGGGGGGGGGGGGGGGGGGGGGGGGTAAAAATTCCAAAATATAATTTATCATTAATACTATAAAAATAATTATTATTAATCTTTAAAACTTATCTGTAATTAATTTCAAAATATATAATAATGAGAACTAAATTTCAAACTATATTTACAATGTCCTACTGAGCTTATCATCAACAACACTTAGGAAAAACAAAATTTTCAAATAAATCTGTCACTCCAATTATAATTTTGTTAGTTGATAATTACCACATGTTTGTTATCTTGATAAAAGGTGGAAATTATTGCATGAATAAAACAGATACAATCATTGATAGACTATCTATCCATATACTTATTAATTACAGCATTTATGTTCAAAGGGAAATAACTCAAAATAAATAAATCATATACATTGTAATAAGCAACACTTTTGCTACTGAAAGGTCTACAACTCAACAACGAGAACAGCTAAAATCGTGAAAATTGGAACTTGAGCTTCATTTAGTCACAGAAAACAACATATCTAAATTTGAAAAGATTTTGTCAAAGCATTTTCATGTTAATGAACGGATACTGTTTGGCAGCCGCCCGCCCGCCCGCTGTACATCCCCAAAGCAATAACCGATTTTTCCTTCGAAAATCCAGTTAAAAATGCACTGAAGGTAAATCCAGAAAAACACTTCATAGTCACAAAATTTATAAAGTATAACAGTGTCTTCCCTAGAAAATTTTTCATGCATAGTGGGTCCATGGTGAATTTGCAACGTGGCGCGCGACGCTTTTTCAGAATTAGTTACATTACATAATTTATATGTTTAAAGCCATATACCAATCTAATTGTTTTATTATAGGTACAGCAATTCATATAAGTCATGGAATTTTAAAGTATTTATCACAGATGAGAGTAATTAATGAAAGACCATATAAACAATAATAACAATAATCCAGTCTGCAATAGTTATTTACAAATTAATGTCATATACACATTATTTTGTTGATATCTTCCTCTGTTTCAACTTTCCAAAGGTCACCACATATTTTTCAAAATCAAAAGCTTCTTCCTTTGGTCCTTCAATTGATATATGCATTAAGCAATTGAGCACTTTTTGGCATAGTCTGTTTCTCAAAGGTGATTTTCATCTGTCGGACTACAATTTGATGAAGGAGTAGACTTCTCTTACCAACTTGTCAAAAAAGTTGGGCCAGTAAGGCGATGTTTCTTTGATGGTTGCTTGGACATGGTTGTTAAACTGATGATTGTTCTTCGAATTTTGCTGATAGAATGGTTTCAGCATCAACAGCAAGTTGTTAAATAAAACTTTGAATGTCATCATTGCTTCACAGAGATTTTACAGGAAACAATAAAAAAAAAATTTATTTGCGTTAATTACAGAAGTCGTCAGTGAAGAATACCTGACATACTGACACACGGATGACATATTTGGCAATTACCTGTTTGGAAGCTAAGCTGACATTTATTTCATGACAATTAACTATTTTTTTTTAAATACATCCCTGTCCGATTTATTTATAACGCTTCATAATTGTAAAAATCCTATCTTGCCGAAGTGAAAGAAATTTAGCCCCACTTGTGAAAAAAAACGGCAAATGAATCCGCTACACGTGAAGCTTGTGGCCCATTGAAATTAAAATAGAACAACACAAGTTTATTCAAAACAATATTTCCGTAAATAAATACGTATATTTTGAAAGTTTTCTATCAAATCTTTTAAATATTTCATAAGACATGTCTTTTTCTCGGCCCGGTGGCGGTGATGTGTATTCTTTGATAAAATCAATCAACCGCGACTAATCTAAAAATAACTGATTGTTGTGACCAATCAAAAAATAATTCATCGATGTAAATATAGCTGATGAAGTAACTGAAACTTTATTAAAAAAAAAAAGTTTTTTCCATTCTCGGTGAAATTATGTTAGTTTTATTTTAAAATACCAGAGACTACACCAAATTTTAAATTTCTACTTTTTAAAGATCACAGTAAAATAACGATGTCAAACACCCGGCCGTTTTTGAGGTGAAATTTATACAGTAAAAGGTTAAACTTTTTATTTAGCACAGAAAGATATGCATTGGAGATAAATCTGACTATTTATTTATTAGCTGACTGGTAACTTCTATTATGTAACCGAAGTCTCGATGTATAACCAGCTAATCAAGAAGGTTGTAAAATCCCGGCACGCGCGACGTGATGCATCCACATTATTAGTCGGATGAGTTTAAAACACCTGTGGAGTGTTGTCACTTGTTACTTCACTTTCAAAATATCGATAATAAATATTTTACACAGTTATAATTTTCACACATAGCGGGATGCATTGCGGCAATGATGAAAGCATGGCGGTCGAAATTTATGCGTAGCGGTACCGCAATGCTTGAATAGCCTAGGGAAAACACTGTATAATTTCATTTGCAAAACTTCATGTTAACCACGGATGCTGAAATAACTACACAGGATACCTATAAGACTAAAATTATTCAGATTGATGATGATGATGATGATGGATAGCTGTTTTACGTCCAGCAGCAAATTAAATGCATATTCACAGTCGGAAACCCAGTTGAAATATAACAAAAGAAATGGAGCTCTTTGTTAGAGAAGGTGAAAAAAACAAAATTGGTATATTTGAATTGTTTACATCTGTTTCTATGGTCTTTAAAAGTTTAATGAAGGTGCATAATTTAGGATTTCATTCATCTTATATACATGTTTTTACTTGAATTATAGTATGGACCTTCGAGATATTTGTAAACTTTTAATTTATGGACAAATTTTCATAAAACCTTCAATTGTGGCAGGTTCAAATCCAAGTGGATCTTTTTTGTGCATAAGCATAAATTCTGTAGAAAAAAAATCCACAGAAAGATAATAGTTTGATCTTTCTAAAGCATTAATTTGCATCTCTGCCCCCTGTTTTTGTTTTATTTGTTATTGTCTTAGCAATGTCATTGTGACTAGTTTGATAGCTGTTTGGTATAGTCCGCCTTTCTTTTACAAGTCTTAGAATCGAATGACTTGGCCTTTGATCATCATGTCAATATTCATTTCGTTAAAATAATTCACAATACAAAACCTGTTTACGTTTTTTGAATGTCACTTTATTTTTATACTTAAATACTTATATTTATTCTATAGCATTACACTAACTAAAGCATGATTAAATAAAATGCTCCGCTGGGTGCAGCTTGATACTACTGCAGAGGTTGAACCCTGAACAATTGGGCAAGTATGGACACAACATTCAAGCTTGATACAGCTCTGAATTTGGATTGTGATTAAATATTTGACACAGCATATGTTTCTGACACAGAATTAATGTGGTCTAAGAACTTAAAAAAATTTAATTTACCTATTCAAACCATATCATTATTATTTGCTTTTATATATAAATCAGATATAACCAATTTAAAATGGAAAATTTTAAAGAAAAAAAAAGGATAAAAACAGAGAAAAATCCCCCCCCAAAATTTTTTGAACCCCCTTATGATTCATCACCCCCAAACTCAATCCCAGCCTTCCCTTTGTGGTATGGTACCTTGCAGTACAATTTCAGAGAGAACCATACACTTGAACACAAGTTATTGTCTGGAAACTAGAAAAATGCTTATTTTTGGCCCCTTTTTAGCCCCTTATTCCTAAATATTGTACAATTACCCCCAAACTCAATTCCAGCTTTCCCTTTGTGATATGGAACCTTGTAGTACAATTTCAGAAAGATCCATACACTTAGTAAATCTGTTGTCAGACTATAAACAATTAAAGTTCAATTAATTCTCAATGTCATATTAAAAATTTATGAAAATGTAAAGGGAGCTTACATCAATAGATATAAATAATTCACCAAAGTTTCATGAGAATTTCTGACAGCATTTTTGAGTTATTGTCCAAAAACTGGAAAATCACCCCTTTTTTAATGAATAAAACCCCATAACTCAGAAATGTAAAATGTAAAATTTATAAAATTCTAAATGGAGCTTACATCAATAGATATAAACAATTCACCAAAGTTTCATAAGAACTGCTGAAAGCATTTTTGATTTTTTGTCTGAAAACTGGAATATCCCCCTTTTTTTAATGAATAAAACCCAATAACTCGGAAATGTAAAATCTAAAATATATAAAAATCAAAAGGGAACTCATGTCAATAGATATAAACAATTCACCACAATTTCTTGCAAGTTGGTGAAAGCATTCTCGAGTTATTGTCCGAAAACAGGAAAATCCCCCTTTTTTTAATGAATAAAACCCCATAACTCGGAAACGTAAATCTAAAATTTATAAAAATGGAAAGGGAGCTCATGTCAATAGAAATAAACAATTCACCAAAGTTTTATGCAAATTGGTTAAAGCACTTTTGAGTTAATGTCCGACATGTTGACGACGGACGGACAGACAGACAGACAACAGTATACCATAATACGTCCCGTAAACGGGCGTATAAAAATCAATAAAAAACAGGTACCTTTGATTGGTAATCAAATGTATAATGATTTGTAATCAAATGTATAATTATTATAATGAAATTTTCTACAAAGAAAACAATTTGTTTTCAACTCAAATATTTATGAAATTATTCATTTTTAAGATTTTACAGCATACTGTTTTCTTTAATAATCTGTTGGTAAAATAACCCATATATGAGCACTTTTTAGGTGAAAGTCCTTTTTTTCTTTACTGTTTCATACAGAAGGAAAGAAAGTTATAATCATGATAATCACAATTTCTGTTTTTTTCTCTTTTAAAAACAACTTTCTTTTCTGTATAATTGCTCATTTTATCATTTTGGAATTAATCAAATTTTTTTACATTGTTGTTATAAAATACATTAGAAATTTCCAATCATTATTTTCAAATTGTTTCGAATTCGTAATGTAAGGTCGTATGTTATCGTCAATAATAGAGAGTCCTTTTTTGACACATCTCTGTTTACATACAATATTGGTAATTAGAACTGAGTCGACAAGGTATTCAATGCGATTGTCGAGTGTCAAGTCCCGTCAATATATTATGTCCCAGCCTGGCTTCAAGTACATATATGTCATTCGTGACAGATTTAATTTATAAGTTTACTATAAATCTTATCAGAACAACACAAGCATCTTTTGGTAAATAAATGATCCATAAAATAAAAGATATACATGTACATCTGCTACAGCAGTGTAAAAATCATAATAAACTGACAGCAAAATTATGAGGGTGCATTTGCGCTGAAGGTTTTTATCATGTAGCAAGCATGCACGCGAAAATGTTCTCTACCTTAAAGTTGTTAAGGGTGGTAGTTTATTCAGACTGGTTTACAGTTTAATGCAGTAACAACTTATGTTGTTTCTGAAAGTGTGTATTTGTTTTCTTGCGCCATGTTCAGCCTCTCAAATTACCCAATATCCTTTACCGGAAGTCAGTTTTTCATTGGTTGAGTCGAAGAATGCAGCGCACCGACTTGGAAGGCTTGATTTTTATTGAAAAACCTCTCTTACAACAAATATCACTCAAAATTTAATAAGCTTTACACTAATTGTTTACTACAGATGTAGCAAGCTCTGAAAGCGAAAGTAGATGTCAAGAAATTGATTTATCAAATTTTAAATGACATGCGGACCGGAAGTCGTAAATTTTGCCTATAGTGAAGACAAGCTTGATTGAAATTTCAAATCCCACTGATCTCTTCACCAAAATGGAAGGTAAAATGGCATTTCAAACGAACTTTAATTCATTAATGCAAATGCAGTTTTGTTCAATTTGAGATTGAAGGCATATTTGTTTTGCATCATCTAATTATTTATGCATGTTTATATTATTTCATATTTTTCAGCACTGAGGTCTTGGTGGGAAGTTCCAAGTATTGCTCATTTCTGTTCATTATTTAGAGCAGCATTTGATCTCCCAGATTTTGACATAGAGGTAAACAATTGGTAGAGCATGATCTTTGATTACATTAATCTGAACAATTTAAATGCACACACATTCCATGTGTGTTGAAAGGAACAAAAAGACATGTACTTTCATTTTAATTGCTGTCCCTTTTACATAATTTCACTCAATGCATTTGTTGATATAGGGGTTTTATTTTTCAAAACACCTTCATGGATCAGATATTAGTACATAATTTGAAATATTTTAACCAATTCACCATTAATAAATATTATTTTGAATTTAGATAATTTAATGTTCATTTGTTTTCGAACATGGAATTAAAACTTCAGCAACATAATTGAAGCACAAAGTGATCTATTTTCTTAAAACTAAAGCATTAGAGTTATGGTATTCAGCATGTTCAGCACTTTGCTGTTTAATACTATCATGACTTGTCAATTTCTCACCTGCTTAGGCTCTTGTTGATTTATATATTCATATTGTCATCGTTACTATTTCACAATTAATCATAAGTTAGTAATTATAACCATTTTTTTTTCTTAAAACGCTATAAATTTGAAAAGTAATATGTATCCAAAAAGAAAAGAAAAAAAAAAATGTCTGAACTAAACAGATTTTACTGTACATTTGTATACAAAGGGATGTAACTCTTAAAAACAAAAGTCAATCATCATTTAACTGCTTTCTTCCCATCTTGAATCAGACTAGTCTATTATTGTTCCTTTCTCATTATCAATATTTTTTTTTTTTAAACTGAAATATACAAGTCTTTTCTACAATACCATTGATTCGGGTTTTAACTATAACAGATAAGATGACTTAATACAAGAAAACTTTTAACTAAATCTATTGCCTGACTAGTTCATGTAGTTACTTGACTTTTAACTTCATTGATACTTTTTTTTTCCAGATAAGAATTTCTTATTGAACTTGATGTTTGAAACAGTTATATTTCGTTGATTTCCGATATTATTTTGATGATAAAATGGGCAATTATGTAACACTTATGAGAGGACATTGAAGGGTGAACAGTATTGTGAAAATCAAGAATTCCGCCATTCATTATAATATTGATCTATCATTAGTTTGTTACATGTGCTTTTCATCGAAATGTAAACATTTTAAACATGCCAAAATTAACATGGGGGAATAATAAACATTTCAACGACCATTTTAAGCATTGTAAAATTCTTCTGAAGAACACAGTATATCTATTGGGATTCAAAGTTCAGATCTTTTCCCTGCCCCGTGCTGAACACTTCATAATGACACTACTTTCAACTTTCGTCCAAATTATAAAAATGACAAGTACTGACAAAAGGGCATTTTGGACTAAAGAGAACACTGCATGTGCTATTAAGGACCACTTAGATTTATGTATATATTATGTTTAACCATTACCATATATGATTATATCTCATTTTGATATGCTTGCTGAAAATAAATTTATATTAATAGGATTTAGAGAACTGTTTATATGCCTTCTGTGAAGATCAAGAAAGTCCATTTATAATAGACTTAATTTGCAGACTACTTAGAGGATGCTATAGCAGAAAAGATATTGAGTATGTTAATATTATATGAAATAGAAATGAAATGAAACCTACCTTAGTATGATAAAATGAGCAGAAATACACATGCAAGATACTATGCAGGGGCTAATAAAGAAATCCACAATAAGTTCTTACAATATTTAATAAATACAATTAGCGATTATGATTGACTTTTTTCAATAATGGGCCAGTTTGGCTACAGACTGAAAAAAGATCAAGAGCCCAATATCGAATTCAGGAGCTCAAAATTTGGGATATTTATATATGCAAAGGAGGATGTATGATAAGGGCAATTATTTGGCCCCTGAAATTGCATAATAGTAAAAGTTGTTAAGCCTTTCAAAATTAAGTTAATTTTATTGATAAACGGGTTTATTTATAATCTGGACACTTTAGTGCAGAAATGTCACTATGACGTCATAAACTTGTCAAAATTTATGTATTTTACCTAAAATGACCATTTCATGCAAAGCAATAAATATATGATCAAGTCAGGTTGTACTCAAAAAGATATTTTACACACATTAACATCTTAGTAAAATACGTTTTGTTGCAAAATATCTTTTTGGGTAAAGCTGTTGCTCATCTCTAAGTATTATTGGCAACAGCTTAGAATGAAGATTTTTTTGGCAGTTATTTGCTGTTTTGCACTGTATGTAAGAATTTGAAGACTTAATGCCAATATGCAAGACAAACTTCCAAACTATGAATACTGTTTTACTAAATCTACGTTAGTATATTTTTGTCTCATCCACGGCTGAAGGGGTCATATTCCTGAGTCTACGTAGGCTTCCTAACAGATAATCTTCAATGGTTATGCACATGGACAAAGATGAATATTAGAAGTGCGCATCAAAACATAAAATAGTTTGTCTAACTACGAATGTCCGACAGACTTGTGTCTTATGAACATGGTGAAAAATCACAATTTAAATTATGCATTATGCATACAGTGGGACATTGAAACAATTAGTAAGCCTTGTAAGTATTTAATGTCTGTGACAGTCAGCCTAGTGGATAAGAAGGATGTGCTAAGAGTAAAAACAAATCCTCTTTGTGGTCATTATCAATTACCTGAAAGGTCTTGTGTCATGTATGTGCTGTAATTAATGTAAACTTTAAAACAAAATATAACTGAACTTAATCATTGACTTGGTCAAAAAAATATTTTTATGCCCCCGCTGCTAGGCGACGGGGGCATTAAGTGTTACCCTTTTCCGTCCCGTCCGTCCGTCTCGTATGTCCCCAAAATTGGTTTCTGTTCTCTAATTTTAGTTTGCCTCAATCAAATGTCATAAAACTTATACACAATGCTTATTACCACAAAACACAGATCAAATTTGAAATTAGGTGGCATCACTTTTACCGTTCATGAGTTATGCCCCTTTATAAAAATTGCTGAATTTTCGTTTCCTTTATCTAACTTTAGTTTGCCTCAACTAAATGCTATGAAATTTATACACAATGCTTATTACCACAAAACACAGATCAAATTTGGAATTGGGTGGCATCACTTTTACCGTTCTTGAGTTATGCCCCTTTGTAAATGGAAAAACTGCTAAATCTTTCGTTTCATGCATATTTACAAGCAGGGGCATCTGTGGCCCATAGACACATTCTCCATTTATTTTATATCAATTAAAATTGGGAAATACCAATACTTTTTATTATATAAGCTCTGTAAATTATTTTGTAAATTGCACTTTTTTGTTAAAAGGTTGAAAATGATGAGCTTGATACCTGTATACGAAATCAGAAATCCATGAGTTCATCAAGACTGTATATTGACTGTCTATTTTGTTTTTACAGATCATACAATTATGAAGTTTACTTGAAAGACATATTTAAATATCGAGCTGCTACTGAAGAAAAACAAACCAATCCATTCGTGAATTCCGATTTCAAGTCTTTAGATCTGAGAACTAAGGTTGAAGTACTCCATCAGTTGTGTGATTATCGTCTAGATGCTGTAGATGTTATGGACCAACTCAAGGTATTAAACATTGTATGAAAAGTGTTATGAACCAACTCAAGGTATTAAACAATGTATGAAAAATGTTATGGACCAACTCAAGGTATAAAATATTGTATGAAAAATTTTATTGACCAACTCACTAAAAATAATCAAATAAAATGCATTTTTGATAAAATAGAGATATATGATACCATTGCCCATGCACATAACACAACACAACACAACACAGATATTTTTGAAAGTAATTGTGATTACTGCTTGATTACAAACACTTACAGAATATTCTTTATAAATTTAAAAAGATAATAAAAAAATCATTAGTTTTATTGTCGCCTACTGCAACAGTTTTCAAAAATAGACAGGGGTCTTATCAATATTTCTAGCTCTAAAAATTTCTAAGGGGTCTACCAATATGTCTAGCTCTAAAAAATTCTAAAGTCAATGAAAGTTGTGAATGGATTTAACAGAAACAATCAAAGATCTGACATTAAAACCCAATTCTCAGGATAATCAGATGATGAGAATATTAAAATATTGAAAAATAAAATAAAATATTTTATGTATTAAAATTTGCCTCTTTTAAAGGGATTGGAAGGTGATAACATGCGTGTTTCACCATTGGGATCAGAGGATAGTGGTGCCACCTATTGGTATTTCTATGGAAACAGACTGTACAAGGAAGATCCAGAACCAGTTATTGAGGAAGAAAAGCCTAAAAAGAAAAAGTATACCTCCATAGACTGTATTGAATAAATCCCCCTTCTTCTAACAATGTTTTATTCAGGAATTTTAGTATTTGAATAATAACATTAGTTTCCCTGCATGAATTCTGTTTTTGTTTGTAAATACATCCTGGAAATATGAGTGCATGAATCTAAACATGTATTTAGATTTTTGATTATGGGCCCAGTTTTCAAGTTGGTCCAAATTGGGGTCCAAAATTAAGCTTAGTTTGATTTCAACAAAAATTGAATATATGAGGTTCTTTGATATGCTGAATCTAACCATGTATTTAGATTTTTTATTTGTGGGCCCCGCTATCAAATTGGTTCATATTGAGGTCAAAAGGGTCCAAAATTAAACTTTGTTTGATTTCTTCAAAAATTGAATTATTGGGGTTCTTTGATATGCCAAATCTAACAGTGTTTTTTAGATTTTTAATTTGGGTCCCGTTTTTTAAATTGGTCTTCATTGAGGTCCAAAGGGTCCAAAATTAAACTTAGTTTGATTTTAACAAAAATTGAATTCTTGGGGTTCTTTGATATGCTGAATCTAAACATGTGTTTAGATTTTGGTTATGGGCCCAGTTTTCAAATTGGTCCAAATTGGGGTCCAAAATTAAACTTTTTTGATTTCAACAAAAATTGAATACATGGGGTTCTTTGATATGCTGAATCTAACCATGAATTTAGATTTTTTATTTGTGGGCCCCGCTATCAAATTGGTTCATATTGAGGTCAAAAGGGTCCAAAATTAAACTTTGTTTGATTTCATCTAAAATTGAATTATTGGGGTTCTTTGATATTCCAAATCTAACCGTGTATTTAGATTTTTAATTTTAAGTCCCGTTTTTGAATTGGTCTACATTAAGGTCCAAATCGGGGTCCAAAATTAAAATTAGTTTGATTTTAGCAAAAATTGAATTCTTGGGGTTCTTTGATATGCTGAATCTAAACATGTGTTTAGATTTTTGATTATGGGCCCAGTTTTCAAGTTTGTCCAAGTTGGGGGTCCAAAATTAAACTTTATTTGATTTTAACAAAAATTGAATATATGGGGTTCTTTGATAAGCTGAATCTAACCATGTATTTTGATTTTGGACATTGGACCATAATAGGTAAATTAAAAAAATTCAAGTTCTTAGACCACATTCTTTCTGTGTCAAATATTTAATAACAATCCAAATTCAGAGCTGTATCAAGCTTGAATGTTGTGTCCATACTTGCCCCAACTGTTCAGGGTTCGACCTCTGCGGTCGTATCAAGCTGCGCCCCAGCGAAGCATTTTATTTAACCTTGATTTAGTCACATAAAGCAATAAATATTTCTGTAATGGTCCATTCTCAGAATTGTATCTGTAGGAATGGTTGTTTCATCCTTTCACAGAATTCTGTCTAAAAACCTTAATTAATGTTCCCCAAACTCAGCTTTTACTAAATACACCCCAAAAATCTTTTTACTGATCCAGTCATATTTGTTCATAAAAATTCCGATGGAATAACAGTATTGTTGTTTATTATAACTTAGGAAAAAAGAAAAGGAAAGTAACAAACAAGAGAAATCCAAAGGGAAGAAAGGGAAAGCCCAGAAAAAGAAGACAGAGGAAACCCCCCGTTCTAGAAAAGGAAGAATATTGTCGAAAAAGAGACATTTTGAATCGAGTGAAAGGTATAGACCATGCTATAAATATTTAAATGAAATAGTTTAGTTTAACTAAATACATTGTACAAAATAAGCATAGTTGCCAATGAAGTCTTATGGTATACAAAAAAATCATTATTTGTCAGAATGAATTCTGCCCGTCAATCATTCTGGTATTATGTCATTAGCATGTCAGGTTATCATGGATAATCAGTCATAGTTAAACTTTTGTTTAAATGCATGTAATGTAATAAAACTGACACTTAGAATATTCTACATTACACAAATGTCTACTATTTAAATGCAATTTTGCCTAGGGTCACATAAAAATTAACTAACGAGTGGTAAACCATAGTGATATGGCCTTCATTTCACTGAAAATCTATATAACTAAATTTGATCATAAGTATGCATTTGTGCTTAATTGTTCATGACTTAAATTTTTGTGAAATGAAGACCAGGAACATAAACACATAGGCAACAAAATAGAAAAAAATACAAGTAAAACACATAATATAATATGAATATAAGGAATAGTTGTATGATTGACAATATAATATAACATCATTACTGCCACAAAACATGAAATTGTCATATCTAAGTTATGTTTGGCAGTCCAATAAACAAGACTAAAAGTCTGTAATATTAAATTTTCATGTAAAAAAAAATAAGAACGAACAATGATGGAAAGGATTGCAGTGGTAAGTTTTTCAATGAAGCTTTGGCATGCAAAATATATGGGATAATTTATTAATTGTCAAAAGGGATTAGAACTAATCAAACTTTATAATTTTGAATCAGTGAAATAGAAGAAGCTGAGGAGAGCAGCAGTGAAGAAAAGTATGTTACCCCAGCAAAACAACAAAAATCTTCATCTAAAGGGAGACAATCAAGGTCAACAAGAAAATCTAAGACTGCCGAAAAAATGTATGATAATAGTATATCTGCTATGTAAACTCATTTATTGCAAAGCTTAAAAGACTTTCTCCAATCATTTCTGCATACTTTTCTACTGTTTATCATTGAAGGCAATTAACATATACTGTATATATAGAAATTTTTGCTATGTTTTTATTGTGAAAAAAATGCGACATGATCAGTTTTGCAAATACAAAAACTCGCACTTAATTTTTGATAGCATTGTTGGTATGCCAAATTTTCTGCAATCACAATTATTAATCTAATATTTATGTCTTTTGTTCAGTAATTGCTATAATAAATGCATGTTATTTGTTAAATTTATTGTAAAGTTATGAATACACTTTCTCTGAACACAGTAAATGTTCCTTCTGATAATCACTGTCATTAAATCCAAAAAGTAATAGACTTTCTCAGGTGCTACAAACATTCTGTTAACCCAACGTATTTTTGGGGATACTTTTTTTCACATTCAGCCCTTTCTAGATAACTTCAATAGGATTTATTCTGCAATTTTCTTACTTGATGTATTTGTACACTAGAAGATTCCAGTTCGGACATATTGGCAATGATAAATATTCACATTATTTTTCTACTAGCGAAAATCAGTTGTTTTACAGTAAATATATTGAAATGTTGTAAATACATAATTTATGATGATTGTGTATATCATATAGTGAAGAGGAACCAAAAGATTTGGGAACTAGAAGATCCAGTAGAAGGTTGTCTGCCCTTAGCACACCTGTGAGAGAGAAGAAAACCAAAGGTGGTAGAAAAAACTCTACAGTAAATGGGTAAGTTATTTTTTATACGACCGCAAAAAATTTTTGCGGTCGTATATTGGTATGACGTTGTCGTCGTTGTCGTCGTCCGAAGACACATAGGTTTTCGCACTCTACCTTTAGTTTAAGTGAATGGATCTCTATGAAATTTTACCATAAGGTTCAATACCACAAAAGGAAGGTTGGGATTGATTTTGGGGGTTATGGTACCAACAGTTAAGGAATTAGGGGCCAAAAATAAGCATTTTTGTAACTTCCAGACATAACTTGTGTGTTAGTGTATGGATCTCTCTGACATTGTACCACAAGGTTCCATATCACACAGGGAATGCTGGGATTGATTTTGGGGGTAATTGCCTCAAAATATTAGGAATTAGGGGCCAAAAAGGGGCAAAAAACTAGCATTTTTCTAGTTTCATGACAATAACTTGTGTGTAAGTGTATGGATCTTTCTGAAATTGTACTACAAGGTTCCATATCACAAAGGGAAAGCTAGAATTGAGTTTGGGGGTAATTGCCATAAACGTTTAGGAAAAAGGGGCCACAAATAAGCATTTTTCTAGTTTCCCAGACAATACCTTGTGTTCAAGTGTATGGATCTCTCTGAAATTATACCGCAAGGTTCCATATCACACAGGGAATGCTGGGATTGATTTTAGGGGTAATTGCCTCAAAATATTAGGAATTAGGGGCCAAAAAAAGGGGCAAAAAACAAGCATTTTTCTAGTTTCATGATAATAACTTGTGTGTAAGTGTATGGATCTTTCTGAAATTGTACTACAAGGTTCCATATCACAAAGGGAAAGCTGGAATTGAGTTTGGGGGTAATTGCCCAAAACGTTTAGGAATAAGGGGCCAAAAAGGGGCCAAAAATAAGCATTTTTCTAGTTTCCAGACAATAACTTGTGTTCAAGTGTACGGATCTCTCTGAAATTGTACTGCAAGGTACCATACCACAAAGGGAAGGCTGGGATTGAGTTTGGGGTGATGAATCATAAGGGGGTTCAAAAAATTTGGGGGGGGGGGATTTTTTTTGTTTTCCTTTTTTTTCTTTTTTTCCTTTTTTTTTTCTTTTAAAATTTTCCATTTTAAGTTGGTTATTTCTGTTTTATATTTAAAAGCAAATAATAATGATATGGTAGGAGATACACACCAAACAGGATGTGTAAATTATTATATAATAAGTATTGTGCAATAGCAAGAAATTTTCAATTGCACAGTATTGCACAATAGCAAGAAATCTTCAATTGCACAGTATTGCGCAATAGCAAGAAATCTTCAATTGCACAGTATTGTGCAATAATAAGAAATATCCAATAGCACAATATTGCGCAATAGCAAGAAATTTTCAATTGTACAGTATTGCGCAATAGCAAGAAATATTCAATTGCACAGTATTGTGCAAAAGAAGATACTTCGTATAAATTGCTTATTTCTTGACCAATTTCAATGGGGTTTTATTCTTGAATTCTTGGGGTTCTTTAATATGCTGATTCTAACCGTGTATTAAGTTTTTGGATTTTGGGCCCCGTTTTTAAATTGGTCCACATTTAGGTCCAAAGGGTCCAAAATTAAACTTTGTTTGATTTCATCAAAAATTTAATTATTGGGGTTCTTTGATATGCCGAATCTAACCGTGTATTTAGATTCTTAATTTTTGGTTCCGTTTTCAAATTGGTCTACATTAATGTCCAAAGGGTCCAAAATTAAACTTAGTTTGATTTTAACAAAAATTGAATTCTTAGGGTTCTTTGATATGCTGAATCGAAACATGTATTTAGATTTTTGATTATGGGCCCAGTTTTCAAGTTGGTCCAAATCGGGGTCCAAAATTAAACTTTGTTTGATTTCAACAAAAATTGAATATATGGGGTTCTTCGATATGCTGAATCTAACCATGTATTTAGATTTTTGATTTTTGGGCTCCATTATCAACTTTGTCCACATTGAGGTCAAAAGGGTCCAAAATTAAACTTTGTTTGATTTCATCAAAAATTGAATTCTTGGGGTTCTTTGATATGCTGAATCTAACCATGCATTTAGATTTTGGATATTGGACCATAATAGGTGAATGTCCAATTTAAAATTTTTAAGTTCTTAGACCACATTCATTCTGTGTCAGAAACCTATGCTGTGTCAAATATTTAATCACAATCCAAATTCAGAGCTGTATCAAGCTTGAATGTTGTGTCCATACTTGCCCCAACTGTTCCGGGTTCGACCTCTGCGGTCGTATCAAGCTGCGCCCTGCAGAGCATTTTATTTACATCTTTTGTTTTACAAGCAGTGTTTTGTTACACTTTTAGAACAAAGGGTGAAGGAACCAACACCTTGGAATGGGTTACTTTGGAGGTGTCTCATGATGTTGAAGTATTGTCAAGTTGTATAAAACTGCAACCTCTGGTTGTGTTGTTTTCAATTTATACTGTATATATTTCAAAATCTGGATCAATAAAAATAAGCCAGCATATCTCTCACTACATTGATTTTTCTTAAACAACCCACAATACCTTTTCATATTGTCATTACCTTTTAAAAGTTCCACTTCTTTCAAGCAAAGTAATAGATCCTTTGGTTACTTGCACCTTAATTTTTATGCAAATGAATTCCTAAACTTGAGCATTATAACTATAGTGCCTAACAAGATTTTGGGAGGTAGACGAAATTGACCTTAAATTGATCGTATTGAATTTTGATGTCCCAAAATAGGCAGATCGGACATCTTTTGACTTTATTTACTGACTACTTTTGTTTGGGATTAATTGTAATTATAACATTATAATGAGACTGAAAAATGTTTTTTTTTTGTTAAGATAAACAATAATTTTACCTGGCGTAGCCGTGCGTAAAATGTATTTCGGCATTTCTCTTTGAAAAATGTCTTGTTTTATTGTCGAGCCTGCGACTTTTGTCGCAGAAAGCTCGACATAGGGATAGTGATCCAGCGGCGGCAGCGTTAGCTAACTTCTTAAAAGCTTTATATTTTAGAAGCTAGAAGACCTGGATGCTTCATACTTTGTATATAGATGCCTTATGTTACGAAGTTTCCGTCTGTCATATGTCCATTGTCCTTGACCTCATTTTCATGGTTCAGTGACTACTTGAAAAAAAAAGTCAATATTTTTTGTAATGTTAATTTCTTTCTTATTATGAGTAATAGGATAACTATATTTAGTATGTGCGTAACTTGCAAGGTCCTCATGCCCGTCAGACAATTTTCATTTGACCTCGACCTCATTTCATGGATCAGTGAACAAGGTTAAGTTTTCGTGGTCAAGTCCATATATCAGATACTATAAGCAGTAGGTCTACTATATTTGGTATATGGAATGATTGAAAGGTGTACATGTCCAACTGGTAGGTGTCATCTGACCTTGACCTCATTTTCATGGTTCAGTGGTCAAAGTTAAGTTTTTGAGTTTTGGTCTTTTTTTCTAATACTATATGCAATAGGTCAACTATATTTAGTATGTGCGTACCTTGCAAGGTCCTCATGCCCGTCAGACAATTTTCATTTGTCCTCGACCTCATTTCATGGATCAGTGAACAAGGTTAAGTTTTCGTGGTCAAGTCCATATATCAGATACTATAAGCAGTAGGACTACTATATTTGGTATATGGAATGATTGTAAGGTGTACATGTCCAACTGGTAGGTGTCATCTGACCTTGACCTCATTTTCATGGTTCAGTGGTCAAAGTTAAGTTTTTGAGTTTTGGTCTTTTTTTCTAATACTATATGCAATAGGTCAACTATATTTGGTGTATGGAAATATTTTATGATGTACATGTCAGTCTCGCAGGTTTTATTTGACCTTGACCTCATTTCCACGGTTCATTTCACAGTGTTTAGTTTTTGTCGAGCCTGCGACTTTTGTCGCAGAAAGCTCGACATAGGGATAGTGATGCGGCGGCGGCGGCGTTAGCTCACTTCTTAAAAGCTTTATATTTTAGAAGGTGGAAGGTCTGGATGCTTCATACTTTGTATATGGATGCCTCATGTTACGAAGTTTCCGTCAGTCACATGTCCAATGTCCTTGACCTCATTTTCATGGTTCAGTGACTACTTGAAAAAAAAGTTCAGATTTTTTGTAATGTTAGATTCTCTCTTATTATAAGTAATAGGATAACTATATTTGGTATGTGCGTACCTTGCAAGGTCCTCATGCCCGTCAGACAGTTTTCACTTGACCTCAACCTCATTTCATGGATCAGTGAACAAGGTTAAGTTTTGGTGGTCAAGTCCATATCTCAGATACTATAAGCAATAGGTCTTGTATATTCGGTGTATGGAAGGACTGTAAGGTGTACATGTCCAACTGGCAGGTGTCATCTGACCTTGACCTCATTTTCATGGTTCAGTGGTTATAGTTAAGTTTTTGTGTTTTGGTCTGTTTTTCTTATACTGTATGCCATAGGTCTACTTTATTTGGTGTATGGAATGATTGTAAGGTGTACATGTCTAGCGGGCAGGTGTCATCTGACCTTGACCTCATTTTCATGGTTCAGTGGTCAAAGTTAAGTTTTTGAGTTTTGGTCTTTTTTTCTAATACTATATGCAATAGTTCAACTATATTTGGTATGTGCGTACCTTGCAAGGTCCTCATGCCCGTCAGACAGTTTTCACTTGACCTCGACCTCATTTTATGGATCAGTGAACAAGGTTAAGTTTTGGTGGTCAAGTCCATATCTCAGATACTATAAGCAATAGGTCTTGTATATTCGGTGTATGGAAGGACTGTAAGGTGTACATGTCCAACTGGCAGGTGTCATCTGACCTTGACCTCATTTTCATGGTTCAGTGGTTATAGTTAAGTTTTTGTGTTTTGGTCTGTTTTTCTTATACTGTATGCCATAGGTCTACTTTATTTGGTGTATGGAATGATTGTAAGGTGTACATGTCTAGCGGGCAGGTGTCATCTGACCTTGACCTCATTTTCATGGTTCAGTGGTCAAAGTTAAGTTTTTTGAGTTTTGGTCTTTTTTTCTAATACTATATGCAATAGTTCAACTATATTTGGTGTATGGAAATATTTTATGATCTATTTGGCAGTCACGCAGGTTTTATTTGACCTTGACCTCATTTTCAAGGTTCATTGCTCAGTGTTAAGTTTTTGTGTTTTGGTCTGTTTTTTGTCGAGCCTGCGACTTTTGTCGCAGAAAGCTCGACATAGGGATAGTGATCCGGCGGCGGCGGCGGCGGCATTAGCTAACTTCTTAAAAGCTTTATATTTTAGAAGGTGGAAGAGCTGGATGCTTCATACTTTGTATATGGATGCCTCATGTTACGAAGTTTCCGTCAGTCACATGTCCAATGTCCTTGACCTCATTTTCATGGTTCAGTGACTACTTGAAAAAAAAGTTCAGATTTTTTGTAATGTTAAATTCTCTCTTATTATAAGTAATAGGATAACTATATTTGGTATGTGCGTACCTTGCAAGGTCCTCATGCCTGTCAGACAGTTTTCACTTGACCTCGACCTCATTTCATGGATCAGTGAACAAGGTTAAGTTTTCGTGGTCAAGTCCATATCTCAGATACTATAAGCAATAGGTCTAGTATATTCGGTGTATGGAAGGACTGTAAGGTGTACATGTCCAACTGGCAGGTGTCATCTGACCTTGACCTCATTTTCATGGTTCAGTGGTTATAGTTAAGTTTTTGTGTTTTGGTCTGTTTTTCTTATACTGTATGCAATAGGTCTACTTTATTTGGTGTATGGAATGATTGTAAGGTGTACATGTCTAGCTGGCAGGTGTCATCTGACCTTGACCTCATTTTCATGGTTCAGTGGTTATAGTTAAGTTTTTGTGTTTTGGTCTGTTTTTCTTATTCTGTTTGCAATAGGTCTACTATATTTGGTGTATGGAATGATTGTAAGGTGTACATGTCTAGCTGGCAGGTGTCATCTGACCTTGACCTCATTTTCATGGTTCAGTGGTCAAAGTTAAGTTTTTGAGTTTTGGTCTTTTTTTCTAATACTGCATGCAATAGGTCAGCTATATTTGGTGTATGGAATGATTGTAAGGTGAACATGTCTAGCTGGCAAGTGTCATCTTACCTTGACCTCATTTTCATGGTTCAGTGGTCAAAGTTAAGTTTTTGAGTTTTGGTCTTTTTTTCTAATACTATATGCAATAGTTCAACTATATTTGGTGTATGGAAATATTTTATGATCTATATGTCAGTCACGCAGGTTTTATTTGACCTTGACCTCATTTTCAAGGTTCATTACTCAGTGTTAAGTTTTTGTGTTTTCGTCTGTTTTTCTTAAACTATAAGCAATAGGTCAACTATATTTGTTGTATGGAAGAATTGTTAGCTGTACATGCCTGCCTAGCATGGTTCATCTGACCTTGACCTCATTTTCATGGTTTATTGGTCAATGTTTAGTTCACTTGGTTAATGTTAAGTTTATGTGACAGTTGTAATAAAGCTTTATATTTAGGACTATCAACATAATATCAATGATTAGTAAAGAAGGCGAGACATTTCAGCGTGTGCACTCTTGTCTTAAACTATAAGCAATAGGTCAACTATATTTGTTGTATGGAAGAATTGTTAGCTGTACATGCCTGCCTAGCATGGTTCATCTGACCTTGACCTCATTTTCATGGTTCATTGGTCAATGTTTAGTTTACTTAGTTAATGTTAAGTTTATGTGACAGTTGTAATAAAGCTTTATATTTAGGACTATCAACATAATATCAATGATTAGTAAAGAAGGCGAGACATTTCAGCGTGTGCACTCTTGTTGTGTTTTGGTCTGTTTTTCTTCAACTATAAGCAATAGATCAACTATATTTGTTGTATGGAAGGATTGTAAGGTGTATATGTCTGTCTGGCAGGTATCATCTGACCTTGACCTCATTTTCATGGTTCATTGGTCAATATTTAGTTTTCTTGGTTAAGACTGTTTCTTAGAAACTATAAGCAATAGGTCAACTATGTTTGGTTTATTGAATGATTGTAAGGTGTACATGTATTTCTCGTTTGGTTTATCTGCCCTTGACCTCATTTTCTTGGATCATGTTAAGTTTATGTGTTACTTGTAGTAAAGCTTTATATTTAGGACTATCAACATAAAATCAATGGTTAGTAAAGAAGGCGAGACATTTCAGTGTGTGCACTCTTGTGGAATAAAACGTCTTATTTGTAAACTTTCTCTTTTTTCTTCTGAATAGGCTATAAAAAAATAATTTAATTACTCTATATGTGGAAAATTTTGTGAAAAATAAGAAATGGCAATTATTACCTTTCATACCTTTAGTTTCATTGATAAAAAATAATATGGATTCGTCCAGTGTCCAGTTTGAAGTTTGAATGTCATTTAAGTTACTGTACACATCCATGCATGTACTGATTTAATCATTTTACGTGTATGAAAAAATAAAACAGTTTGAAGGTAAACTAATAATAACTTAATCCAATCAAATTGCATAAGATTCAATAACAATGATCAGTCCACATCATAATAAGTAATAGGGGTAAACTTGGTAGGGAGAAAATGACAGATATTTTAAGTTCATTTTTTGCAATAACGAATAAAAATATGTCAACCAAAAGTTTTGCTATAATTTCAAAAACATGTCGTTCTGTATTAGCATAGTTTTCGGATCTTTCATTTGCGTATTTAAGGCAATAGAAAGTTTGGGCTTCAAAAGTCTACATAATTATTGATTTTATGCAGAAAATACACCCTTTTGAAACATTTAATGCATGGATACAAAGTAAAATCATTTCTTAAACAGTGCAAATAATTCATTCTGATAGTGGTATTGTCATAAAGTGCGTTGAAATGAACCGTGGTGTATCAAACATCCAGTACCCTCACAAAATGTTATCACACACTATAGATGAAGGTTCCTCAGATTATTTTGTGTACATAAAATTCAGTTTCTTGGTCAGTAATATAAATAAATGACAACTTATTGGATGCCAATCAACTATAATATTTTCATATAAAAAATATGATTACAAAGTCCCATCTAACAAAGAACCATAAACCATTTGATACAAAACTTGGAAGAAGGAGCTGACTACTTTGTATTTTGGTGTAAATTGGTTAAAAAAGTTGTTCTGCTAAATAACTAAATAAATATCTGTGTATGAATAAAATGGATGGAAATCAAATTCTTACAACACTCTCTAAACAAGACAAAAGTAAAACAGCAGCATGGTTCCTTGTGAAGATCCCTAACAAATAACAACACTTTAAGGCTAATTATTATTTTTTACCCATATTCTCTAATTACCATTTTTGCTTGTTTGTTTTTTCATTGACTGACTCCACATTACCTTTTATTTATTTATAGTTATTACTTGGTGCAATTGTTTACTTTATGTTATGATTGATAAGTGACTGAATATAGTTGTAACATACATTCAAAAGTTAGAATGATGATATAAGATATAAGTAAAAATGAAAATTTCAAAAATGGAAAACAGGAAGTTATCCCTCTCTTTTTTGGATGTTGTGTGTGAAATTTAAGAAGTAGTCATTGTTATTTTAGGAATTTAACAGATGAAGATAGTGATGATGACTGGAATACACCTTTATCCAAAACAATGGAGAAAACACCAACCTCATCTATAGGGCGTCTGAGAAAAGGTAGACAGACTTCTGTTGAGAGGTGAGTTCCTCAAATATGTTAAAAGGAGGGTTTTGCAGAATGTATAAGCACTAAAACCAATGAAATCCAAAAAACCAAAGGAACCAAAACAATTAATCATAGAACAATCTAATCATAGGGCAAAAACCTTTAGATGTATAAAGATACTTTATACCCTGTACAACCTAGAGGAAATTGTTTTCCAAATAAAGAGGGAAAGTTATTGGACAGAAATGATCTAGAGAAAGTTGCAGATTCAACAAAAATCAGTTTAAAACAAGTAAACTGACAAATTAAGAAATTGTGGAATCATAATTTTTTTAGACATCACAAATTGGTTTTTCATGTTTAGGACATCACTGATTGGTTTTTCAGGTTTTGGACATCACTGATTTGTTTATCATGTTTTGGACACCACTGGTTAGTCTTTCATGTTTTGCAAATCGATAATTGGTTTTTATACGACCACGACCGCAAAAAATTTTGCGGTTGTATATTGGTATGACGTTGGCGTCGTTGTCGTCGTCTGAAGACACATAGGTTTTCGCACTCTAACTTTAGTTTAAGTAAATGGATCTCTATGAAATTTTACCACAAGGTTCAATACCACAAAAGGAAGGTTGGGATTGATTTTGGGGGTTATGGTACCAACAGTTAAGGAATTAGGGGCCAAAAATAAGCATTTTTGTAACTTCCAGACATAACTTGTGTGTTAGTGTATGGATCTCTCTGACATTGTACCACAAGGTTCCATATCACAAAAGGAATGCTTGGATTGATTTTTGGGGGTAATTGCCTCAAAATTTTTGGAATTAGGGGCCAAAAAAGGGGCAAAAAAACAAGCATTTTTCTAGTTTCATGACAATAACTTGTGTGTAAGTCTATGGATCTTTCTGAAATTGTACTACAAGGTTCCATATCACAAAGGGAAAGCTGGAATTGAGTTTGGGGGTAATTGCCCAAAACGTTTAGGAATAAGGGGCCAAAATAAGCATTTTTCTAGTTTCCAGACAATAACTTGTGTTCAAGTGTATGGATCTCTCTTAAATTGTACTGCAAGGTTCCATATCACAAAGGGAATGCTTGGATTGATTTTGGGGGTAATTGCCTCAAAATTTTAGGAATTGGGGGCCAAACAAGGGGCAAAAAACAAGCATTTTTCTAGTTTCATGACAATAACTTGTGTTTAAGTCTATGGATCTTTCTGAAATTGTACTGCAAGGTACCATACCACAAAGGGAAGGCTGGGATTGAGTTTGGGGGTGATGAATCATAAGGGGGTTCAATAAAATTAGGGGGGGGGATTTTTTTTTCCTTTTTTTTTCTATAAAATTTTCCATTTTAAATTGGTTATTTCTGATTTATATATAAAAGTAAATAATAATGATATGGTTTGAATAGGTAAATTAAAAATTTTTAAGTTCTTAGACCATATTCATTCTGTGTCAGAAACCTATGCTGTGTCAAATATTTAATCACAATCCAAATTCAGTGCTGTATCAAGCTTGAATGTTGTGTCCATACTTGCCCCAACTGTTCAGTGTTCGACCTCTGCAGTCGTATCAAGCTGCGCCCAATGGAGCATTTTATTATATTTTAGACATCACTGATTGATTTCCCATGTTTTGGACATCACTGATTTGCTTTAGCATTATCTTAGATCTTGAGACTGCTCAGTGAATGTTATCACAAGCTTAACAGGTGTTTATGGTATTCCTTTGAATATTGTTTACATAAGATTCATTAACCCACGTCAAAAGAGGTGTTCAGCATTTTCATTTTCTATCCTTATACACTGCTTGCAATTTGATTAATTTAAAGAACAAACCAACATTACAATTTGTAGATGTGTTCCTCATTTGATTTAACTGGTATTTAACGCCTGTTGTCATACTTGTATGCCTAATAAATTTAAAATTGGAGAAAACACTGTTTCATAAATAAAATTATTATTTTGTAGTTCTGAGCGTGAAGCAGAAGAGACTGAAACAAAACCAAAAAAGAGAGGAAAACCCAGGAATTCTGTAAAGATTACACCAGATTCCTCAGTTAATGGGTAACTATGACTCCAATACACAAAACAACTTGAACTATTAGCTATTTTAGCCTAACCTCCTTTAAATTTTAATAAATCAGTATTTACTTTAAAATCTTGCAACTTGTCTACCTATACTTTTTGACTATAACTTTCTTTGGAGATTACCATTTATAATGAGTATTGCTGGAAGTTGAAAAATAGGTACATGTGTACCTTAAAATTGAGAAATGTTGATATATCTTAAGCCATTATATATTTTGAAATTTTCTGCATCATACAAGAATAAAGGTTTGTTAGTTTATATTTTGAATACATCCTTATGATATTTTTTAATTGGACATTGATAAATCTATCTTAATCTAAATGTTAAGTATTGTGATTGTATATTATAGTGATGCTGAAGACCAGAACTTAGATGATATGATTGATGAAGACATTGATATGAGGTTTAATAAGATGAAGGGCAAGATCAGAGGTCAAGGTAGCAGCCGTCAGGGTTCAAGGAGAAATAGCCTAGAGAACAAAGAGTAAGTGCAGTACCTTTAAAAGAGGGGTGAAAGATACCAGAGGGACATTCAAACTCATAAATCGAAAATAAACTGACAACGCCATGCCTAAAAAAGAAAAAAACAAACAGACAAACAGTACACAAAACACAACATAGAAAAAAAAAACCTAAGCAACACGAACCCCACCAAAATGGGGGGTGATCGCAGGTGCTCTGGAAGGGTAAGCAGATCCTGCTCCACATGTGGCACCCGTGGTGTTGCTCATGTTTGTACAAACCCAGTAATAAGTCTAAATCAGAAGGTCACATTTGTGAAAAGGGAACAGGATTGTAGTTAAGACATAAGGAACATATCTTCTATCATCCGTGAAACAGATAGTCCATAACGGTCAACCAACTCGTGATGGCATCCGTAAAATTTACGAAGGGATGATTTCAACTTCATCATTTTGAACTCTTGGTTTAATGGCTTCCTTGTGAGCAGTAATCCTCTATCAAATCTCTCTAAGAAACTTGAAATCATTTCATTGAGTTTAGAAATATAATAATGATATTTAATAACAGAATTTATTCAATTGTAAAAACAGCATTTAAGGTCGTATATTGGTATCACGTTGTAGTCATCGTCGTTGTCGTAGTCCGAAGACATTTGGTTTCCAGAAAATAACTTTAGTATATGTAAATAGAAATCTATGAAATTTAAACACAAGGTTTATAACCACAAAAGGAAGATTGGGATTGATTTTGGGGGTAATAGTCCTAACAGTTTAGGAATTGGGGGCCAAAAAGGGGCCCAAATAAGCATTTTTCTAGTTGAACGGTGTATGGATCTCTGAAATTATGGCTTTGGGGGGTTATGGCTCAAACCGTTTAGGAATTAGGGGCAAAAAAGTGAGAAAAAACAAGGGTGTCCCGGTTAATGGACAATTAAAAAGAGTACAATATTATGTTTGGATTACCTCCCTTACACTGCTTTTAAATTATGTATAAAGAAATATTGTATTGTCTTGAGGTGATTAGCTGTCAATTTATTTTTAGAAGTTACTATTTAAAAATGCTGATTAAGGAATATTAATTTTAGTCGTGGTTATGCATGTCATTTTCTATTTTAAGACTTTTATGATGTTTTTAAATGGGTAATTATGGTTGCAAACTTCATTGGAAATTTGAATTGAGAATATGACCCTATCTTGAGGGAAAGAATTTTTTTTTTGGAAAAAGGAGGGGAGGTGAAAAAAAAATTGGGGGTGGGTGGGTAAAAACGAAATTGAGAGGAGGGGAGTCGCAACAGTATAGTGTATTGCACAAAAGCAAAAAATTGAATATAAATTCAAATCATATAACCAATTCTAAGTTCTTTGACTACAGTTATTCTGTATCAGAAACCTATTATGTGTCAAATATTTAATTACAATCCAAATTAAGACCTGTATCAAGCGTGAATATTGTGTCCATTTTTGCCCCAACTGTTCAGGGTTGGACCTCTGTGGTCGTATCCAGCTGTGCTCGGCACAGCAATTTATTAAGCTTCTGTCAGAAATGTACAACTACCTCAAGTTAAAACTCAGCTAGCAAACCATGTTAAACTAGTATAACTCTCATCATCCAAAGAGATCAAATTTTTTGTGGAGATGAATAGTTATGCTTATAAATTTGATTACAGAACATTGGAAGCTGACAATAAAAAAGATGATGAAAAGAAAGAGGCAACAGAAATAAAAGAAGAAACTAATGGAATAGAAGAACCAATGGAAACAGATGACCCTCAAGGAAATGAGGTTAAAGTTGAAGTCGTTGATAATGCAGCAGATATGAAAGATGTTGAACTTATTAATACTAAAGCTGAAATAAAAACTGATGCAAATGAAACTGACTCAAAAGTTGACACTGATAACCATCTGTCAACAGATAAACAGGAGTCAAGGTAATTTTACCATAGTTTTATTTATAATAGACTGAAGATTGTGTTGTAGGTAAGTCAAAACATATCATATATTGCAGGCTATTTCAGTGGCAACTTTTACAAATCAGAATCTCTTGAAATTTCACTAGCTGTCTGATGGTCTGGATGTTATAATGCTTAAAGGGGCACTAGCTGTCAAATTCATGTTCACCGATTTGACTCAAATTCTCATATTTGATTTATAACAATGTAAAACATTTATCCAAATTATAAAAAGTCTAAAATAAACAATTTACAGGGCATGGGCTCGAGAATATGTAGCTTGGTTTCGTGTGTATTTTAGTCTAGGCGCCATCTATAAATTAACTATCGAGTTGACAGCCGAACACATCCGATGGCCATATAAGCGATATAAACATAAATATAGATATAAATAGATATTGAAACTCGTGCAATTGGATTTTTCTAGGTCTGTTTAATTTCATATTATAGATTAAAAATATATGTTAATCATCTTTTTAACCTGTATAAGAATGGTTTTTGTGGATCAAATCAGTCAATCAAATGAGTTACCCTTGTTTCACTTTCAATGTTGACATTATTTTCCTTTAAATAACTCAACACGCACAATGCATGCATTATCTATTTCTAGCCAAGGGGTTAAATTGAAGTTCACATGAATACGGATTCAATGGGGTCGAATTATTCACTTGCAAGTGCATAATTCATCATCAATGTTTTATAGCTTATTTTGACAAAATTGAACCATACTGGCTACTAAAAGCGAATTATTATTTCACTATTCTACTTTCATTAATGATTGAACAAAAAAAATCATATTTCAGATTTTTTATATATCTCGTAGCTAGTGCCCCTTTAACACAGTAAGTGTTTGCCTAATACGGTGGATTTAAAGAAAATGAAAGTTTGTTTACTACTCTGATATTTTGCTCACTTAATCTGAAAGGCACAGAATTGAGACTTGGATGTGCTGTTTTTCGGCCTTAGTGGTGACAATAAATATTAAATGTTTGTTATTAGGTTTATATGCAGTTCAGATATCTTTCTCTGTAAACAGTTCATTAAACTCAGTTATGATAGAAATGCACATTAGACATTGACTGAATATTATTTTAATTTAATAAAGGAAACAAATCCCACCTCTGCATTATGGTCTATATCACTTCTCCACTACCTATATATATTTGTAGAATATGAACTGCTGGTCACTCCTCGCACGGAAATGAAATACATCTTTTTGAATTCTAAATGGGAATGGAGCTCTTTTATTTTTCAATCCATATGAACTTTAAACTAGAAAAAAAGCAAAATATTTTCCTTCATTTTAGGGAAGACGATACCCAGCCTGATATAAAATCAGAACAAGAAAAGAAAGATACTGACATTTCTGTGACAAATACTAATAATAACCATGACAGGTAAATTGTGTAAACAGCTGATATTATAACCTTTAACCTTAGGTTATATTACTTTTTATTCGCCCGTCAAATTTTTGACGGGACTTATTATGGTATACAAATGTCCGGCGTCCGTCCGTCTGTCTGTCCGGCGTAAACATGTCGCACCGTTACTTGAGAATGACTTATCCAAATTTCATGAAACTTAACATAGTTGTTTCTTATGATGGTCAAACGATCTGTATACTTTTTGGTGAAAATAAGATTAAAACTTTTTGAGTTACGGGACTTAGTAACTAAAACAGGTGTGTGTTTTTTTTCACATGTCCCGCCGTATCTCAAAAACAATTTATGATTATTGCTTAAAACTTTACACACTTCTTAGTTATATTAATCTTAAGATCTGTATACTTTTTGGTGCTGATTCAAAATTTTATTTTAGAGATATTGAGTATTTTGTTAAAAAAGGGGGAGGGGTTTTTCACATGTCGCGCCGTATCTCAAAAATGATTTATGATTATTGCTTAAAATTTTACACACTTCTTAGTTATATTAATCTAAAGATCTGTATACTTTTTGGTTTTGATTCAAAATTTTATTTTTGAGATATTGATTTTTTATTTTTTAAAAGGGGGGTTTTCACATGTCGCGCCGTATCTCAAAAACGATTTATGATAATTGCTTAAAATTTTACACACTTCTTAGTTATATTAATCTAAAGATCTGAATTTTTTTTGGTTTTGATTCAAAATTTTATTTTAGAGATATTGAGTTTTTTGTAGTAAAAAAAGGGGATTTTCGCATGTCAGGCCGTATGTCAGAAACTATTTATGCTTATTGCATAAAATTCACACACAAGACGACGGGCGTATCATGCGCTCATGGCGCAGCTGTTTATTAATGTTGGCTTATTTATATGTATATTTCCTTAGAACCATGCAATAATGTTTCATATTTTTCAAATGGTATGAAAAACAGTCCACCTTTAGTTTATTTCAGTATCAATATCACGTCTCTAACTGGACACATTTGAAAGAACGGTGTACTCAAATACTCAACAAAATCTAAATTCTTACACTGTAGTTGGTATTCTTTGGTTGCTCTGTAAAGATTTCATATTTTCAAGAACCATTGGAATTATTATCATATGCAGGGTTCTCACTAAGGATTTTTGAAGGTGAATCCAGGGACTCATCATTTATAATATGTATAATTCATTATTTAAGTCTCCATGACAAAAAAGACAAAATTTAGCTTATTTTAAAACTTTTGATATAAAATTATTATATATGTCCTCTGTTGATACAACATTTAACAATTTTATGCCTCTTTGGGCTCATTATGTTTGAAAATGATGAGTCCAGACAGATCTTCATGAGTCTGGTGTACCATAGTGAGAACCCTGTGTATGTAGAGTTACTTCCCATTGATTTGTTATTGACTCTGATATACCTGCTGAAAAACAACAACACTACTTTATTGGATATGATTAAGTACTTAGATATGATTAAAGGATACATGGCATATACATAAGTAACACAACACCCTAACAACACCATGAGATAAGAAAGACATGTAGATGCAACCATTAAAATAAAGAGATGTTGTATGATTGCCAATGCCCTCAACAATGAGAAAAACCCGTACTGTATAGTCAGCTATAAAAGACCCTGACATGACAAAATGTGAAACAAAGGAAAAAAACCAATGGCCTTTTTTATGACAAAACAATAAAATGGACAGCAACCAATGACAAACTTAATTACAGGCTCCTGACTTCTGACAAAAGTTTACTAAAGCATCAACCAGTACACTAGTCCAAATAATTATGACGTCTTGAAAGGCTATTATTTTTTTTGCTTTGACGCCTTACAGCGAAGTTTTAACGCTGAAGCCATCTTTTTTGGTTGGATTTTGAGAGGGAATTTTGTTCTCTACTTTGAGACTAAATTTAGCCATAAATTTTCATTGAAGGGTAGAAATTTTTTCATATATACAAATTCTTACCTTTTATGTGTTTGTTTGTGCAAAATATTCCCAATAATTCCCTAAAGTAATGATAAAATAAGTTACAATTCCATCCGAGGCGGACGATTATCTACTGCTTTTTTAAAACGTTTATCTGATTTCTTTTTAGGAGAGTATAAAATAAATTTTTGCACCAAACTCGGTAAAATTTGACAGACCCGAATTTCCGGAAGGTTTGTTTTATATTATCCGGAAATGCAGGTTCATCAAATTTTACCGAGTTTGGTGCAAAAATATATTTTATACTCCTAAAGTAAAGCATCTTAAGGAGAAATCAGCTAAACGTTTTAATAAAGCAGTAAATTCTCTCACACATTTAGGTCTTTTACCAATATAGCATTTATACCTAATTGTCTGTTTCAGTCAATCACAAGAAAGTGGAATTAAAGAGGAATTAAAAAATGAAATTAAAACAGATTCTACTGAAGTGAAGGAAGAAAATTCAAATATGACTTGTGATGAAAATGAATTAAATGTTACTGATTCTAATGCACATGACAGTGAAGTGAAATTTGAGGACAAACCACCACCTAAACCGTTATATCATAACCCACGATGGCACCTTGTGTGTTGTACCCTGGAGGAATGGACAGCATTGTCTGAATCTTTGAAGGATAGTACGACAAAGAATGGAAAAGACTTGTTTAAATGCATTGTCAATGATTTCTTGCCAGAAATGCCAGCCATTTTGGAAGCCAGGGTAAGTTTACATTCATGTATGTAGTCATATTTTGTAATTTTTATGGTTAATGGACATATGGCTTTTATAGTTTAATGTTGTGTCCATTTTGCTGAACTAGTATACATTATTGTATAGGGGCCATCTGAAGACTGCCTCCGGGTACTGGATTTTCTCCCTGTGTTAAAGACCCACTGTTTTCTGCTCTAAAGTCGGGTTGTTGTCTCTTTGACACATTCCCCGTTTCCATGCTCTATTTGATTTGTTTTATAGCAAATTTGAACAGTTGTTTATTAGTTTCTATTATTACAGACTTTCTCTTATCATGTCATTGGTTCTATGAACTTACATCAAAAATAATTTTGCTTTTGATAAGATTTTAGTAAAGCATCTCTCCTAAACAAAGAAAATTATGGAGAGTGAGTTTCTTCTGCATTCGAACAAGAATTCCTAATGACTGAATGCAACATATAGAGTTTTTTCTTAACTTTTAAGATGGAAAATGAGCAATTTTTCTAAACTTTCTAAATGTTTTTCTAAACTGAATAGCAATTTAAGCAATATTTTAACATTCATTCGTGTGAGGTAGATTTTCTACTTTGAAAAGAGTACAAATTAACCATGAGATAGAGCTATTTAAAAACCATGAAATAATTTCTTGGAAATATTTATGAAAAGCTTACATATACCTAAATTATAGTTTCCCTAGCAACAACAAACATCAGTTTTGAGAGGTAACTCAGATGAAAAATGTTGCCCTCTTTAAAGTTTGAAAAATGGGCAAATTAAACAATAAGCCATAAGGGCTCATTTCTTGAATTATTTGCATGACATAATAAAAAGGTTTTTCATAGCAATCTTAGTTAATATGTCAATGGCTTTTTGGAATTATGAGGAAAAAATTGGCATCAAGCATCCTTTGACCTCTATTGCTTGTCCATGGTTTTCTCATAAATTTTGACAAGGCATTATATTTAACAGACAAAATTACTTACAGAAAAATGCCTTGAGTGTGTAGGTAAAGGTTATATCTTTGGTTAGCTTGCTTGCTAGCTGAACCGTGAAGTCATTATTAAGTTAGGTATACTACCCTCCTTTAAGAGTAGACGAGTCTGACAGATAACCAATCTATCTGTCTGTAGGACTAGACTACTCCGAAAGGAGGGTAGTATACCTAACCTAATAATGATTTCACTGTTCAGCTAGCAAGCAAGCTGACCAAAGATATTACCTTTACCTACACACTCAAGGCATTTTGCTGTAATAAGCTCTGATTTTCAAGATTACTGAATTAAGGAAATGAACAAAAATTTGAACATTGACAGAAAGAAGTTGTTTTAAACATCTCTATCCATTCATTATGCATGGTGCAGTCACTTACAGTTCATCAACTGGAGCTTAAACATGCTAACATTCTACATCATTTGGTCTCTGGTGGAGAGTTGTCTCGTTAGCAATCATACCACATTAGTATTATTATTATTTTTAAAGTGTTCAGTTTAAAAGTTCCCCATTATGTTGCCATTGTTGATCACATTAAAGTACAATTGAACACATGATAGATAGTATGTAATGCAATAAAATAACAATTATAATAGAGCTAGAAGCACTGTTGCAGATTATTGTTGCCATTATTCCATCATATTGTATCTCATTCATTTAGAAGTGTGATTGTCGTATCTTATGTACATGTAGCATTTCATTGGATCTGGCATTTCAGAGTGATAGGACCTTTTTTACATTTGAATGGTACACCAAGAGATTTTAAAAATAAATAGTCACCTGCTTTAATGATTGCAGATAAACTTCTAGCTGAAGGCATCCCCACTGACTTGGGAACAAGCATTTTTAGATTGTGACATCATTAATGAATGAGAAAATTTGTATAACTTTGGTTACACTATGCTTTTAGGTTATACACAATCTGATGTTTCTGTATTGTTGTCCTATAAATTATACAAGATATTTCATTAACAGGTAACTTGTGTTTTCATTCCATTTCTTAGAAACCCAATGTTATATATCAAAGATGTTTCATCCCTGAATCGCCCTTGCATCATGTGCACATATATAGATTGCTAACTGGAATAGATCTCATACATTTATGTTACTCCGACAGGGTTGATGTTGCTTCTAGTGGACTTGGTCCTAAAAGGTGCCATCCTTTCAGTATACAATACTTTATATTGGCATAATATAATGATCACTTTTATTGTATATTTTAAGTGTATAAATTATCAAAATATTGCATTTTTGTACTTTATTAGGAGCAGTAAGCTATAAAAAGCCCCAATATGACAAAATGTGAAACAATTCGAAAGAGAAAACCAAAGGCCTACAAAGATAACTAAGATTGCAACTCCATCAGCCAAAGTTGACTTTGCGCCCTGCGGAGCATTTTATTTGCTATTCAGATATTTTAGTCTTGAGCATAACTGATGAATATCAAATATTTGCATTGGTTGTTTCATTACATTCAGGTCACTATATCCCACTTTTTATGCTTGAGAATATCCTGTTTTATCAACAATATTTGTTAACCACTGCCAACCTCTTGTTTATATATATATATGTGCATCTTTTTATGCTCTCAATGTAGAATTTGCAAGATTAAGGTCTCTTTAACTGCAAATGATTCAATTCAAATCATTTGTTATTTCAGGAAAAATTCTTCATTTTTGTTCGCCTTGACAATATGGATATTGTTACTATTCCTGAAGGCAACATATTTTAGTGTTTTAGCTTATTTTGTTATACTCTAAGAATTATGAATGAGTAACTCATTACCATACTACATCTCTTTATTTTTATATTAACTGTATCATGGGACTAAGGTACATTCACCCAATGTAAAGAGTATAGAGTTTATGAAATGCAGACATTATGTTATGGTAACATATATCAATAACCAGAAATCTAACTCCCTGATTTGTATATCCAATTCCTGGTACTGTCTCTGACCCCTGATATCTTTCCAGATATATTGTCAGTAGACTTGTCAGCCTGAGGGCAATATTAGGTCAAAGTTTTCATATGGCAGATCAAACAGAATTATACATCACAATTTTATTATCAAAAGATGATACAGATAACAAAAACAATTTTCCATAACAACATACAAATCAATAACAGATATTATAGACAAAATGTTTTACCCAAAGGATTCCAGCTTCCTGCTTCTTGTATATTTGATAAAGTATTTATCCAAACGGGAGCATATGACAATGCGTACTGATTAGATGGTCATGATTTGTCACCAGAAAATGGGAAGGGATATTTTATAAATACACGTTTCATATTTTATTAATTGAAATTTATGAGGGGATAAAATAAACTTGACAACCAGTGGTAAACTTGTTGCATTGGATTCAAATATCATTATCATCATTTAAAATGGTATGAATTATGACTGCAATATGTAATATTATAGACTTATTGGTAAAAAAAGTAAATAATTGATTATCTTATTGACAAATGAAATAGTTTGTTCAGCAATATATATTAATTGGTTGGAAAAGAGAATTAATAAATGTATTATAAATAATGAAAATTGTTCATTCAGCAAAAAAAATTAATTGGTGAAAAAATAAATGATTAATTACTTTATAAACATTGAAAATGTTCATATTTTAATCAATAAATATCCATCATGTGAATTATTGGGTTCAAATCTTTTAAAAACCCCCCCTGTCATGCCTGTTATTGAAGGGAGATTTATATTGGTCAGTATTCATTTGTTCAATTTTTTCACCCATCTGTGCTATGTATTTGCAATTCCTCCTCAGCAATGACTGAATCGTAATGAAACTTACAGAAAATTGTCTGTACAATATGGCATTTTTGTATTACCTTTAATCATGATAATATAATGAATGTTTGAGGCTGCACTGGTTGCCAGGTAGTTCAGATAATGATGAAAAAGGCAATTTTTAGCATTTTCTTGTATGATAATTATAATTGATATGATACTTAGTTATTGGATAAAAATCATTATAACTTCGTTTGAATATCTGAAATCTGGTTTATTATTTGTTTCATAAAATTTTCAGCAAGTAATTAGTTTATATCTTTTTATGTAAGAAAACAATAAATATAATATTCTGTAGACATGCTAAGAAAAATATATTCAGAGTAAAAGTAAAGTAAAATTAGAAATTGGTCTGATCAGAACGTCTGTTCTCAAGAATTCTGGTTTATTGTAAGAAATGACTAAAATTAGACCATAAAGTTTCAAAAAATGTAAAATGCTTTTGTTGTTGTGACCAGGTATCTCCTGGTAGCTTGTTTGCATGAGTACAGACGATTGTGGGTTCTATCCATGACTGAATCAAACCAAAGACTTTAAAATTAGTTTTTTCCGTTTTTTCACCAACCACAAATCATAAATGAGCAAGAACAATGACTTGTTAAAAGTAAATTTGAGTCAGAATAAATAGTCTGTGAAGTGTGGAATGTATTCCTGAGAACTGTTTCCTTGTGAGGTAGCACATTTAAAAAAATTTTAATTCAACTCCGCATGTCAGTCTACACAAAGTAAGATGTTTTAATAACTTATTTACATCTACTTTGTCATTGACATTAATAATCGTGTAATATTTGTTGCTGGATATTAAGCATAATCAATCAGTCAATTTTTTTGTCAATTGGAATGACTTTCTTCTTTAAATTCAAATAAATACTGTGCAATTATCAGTTCAAATGGCACATGATTATTTGCATCACATGAACATGAAGGTTTGCTGAAAAGCAGACCCTCAATGATTTCTTACTCAGGGGCATTTGCTTGGCTGATGTTTAGATATGCAGTCATGTGACTCATGACTGGTCTGAATTGGTAAATTACAGGTAATTACAATCATGACAATTCTGTGCTAGTATTTAACTCTCTCTGAGGGTTGGTCATTTACTGGTGTGGTATTTATTATTGAACCATCACTTCCAGTTTGATTGAAAACATAAAACACTGAAATGTATGGTTTACTGGACATGTTGGAACTAGAAATGACGGTCTTACAAGTTGTAGGTTTGTTCCATAGTAAAACCTGAATCACCCTATTGTTTTCATTCAATTTGCAAAAATCAGGAATATAAAAGTTGAAAACTAATTGTTTTAATGAAGAGAGTTTAAATATATTGCCAATATGTTTTTGATTCTTATTATTCATGGGATACCAATTTTTGTGGATTTCATGGATACAGGTAAACCACAAATTTGAATGTTCAGCAAAGTATACATTGTCAAAAAGCTTGTATACAGACTTTGGCAAATCCACGAAACAAATACCCATGTAAGTTTTTCTCAATACATGAAAATTGGTATCCACGAAAAAAATGCACCTACAATATGTGGACATTTATTTTTTTATAGCCCTGGAAGTTTAAATGATATGTTATTTCATACTTTTTTTTATTATAAACAATATATATATTTATATCAAGTTTTTTGGGGGGTAGGTGTACTTTTCTAGAGGGATGAGACTATTGAGTACATGAGACCTGACTTGCTAAGATCTGTAACAGAAGCTGATATTTACAAGAGGAAGAAGAATAAATATGAAGTGCAAAGTAGTTAAGGAAAAATGACAGTAATTTATATAATATTACATATATCCAAGGTTAACGACTTGTTTATATTGCAGTTTCTAACAACCCATTCCTCAAATAATAAATAACTATAGTCAATTCTGACCCCCCACTTCAAAAGAAATATATTGAATCCGTAATTGACCCTGTAACAATATGAAGGATAAAAAAAGCGAAAGAATGAAGAAAGATGAGAGAGAAGTGAACATTTGTTAATGATATTTATGTTATCTGAGCACATTGTACAGGTAATTTGTAACTGTTATTACTACAACCACTTGCCAAGAAAAATGTCTCACAGTTCCATTTTTGTCAGAAGAATTTTCATTCTGCGCCAAAAACCTGTATTTTACAGAGTTTACGTCTTTGCTGCTAGTTCCACAGTAAGAAATCAACAATTCCAACAGATTTAATGGCTGATATTTTTGCACAGAACCGAGTTTTTGTTTGTCTGCGCCATTTGAACTATTTGGCAATGAACTTCTTTGTTGTGTCGTCTTAGGTGCAGATCTAAACACAAACATTGTAATGATTTCCACATCATTGTCGCTGGAATGCATTAATTTATTGAAAAGGGCACTTTTAGCCAGATCTTCATTCATAGGCGAATGAGGTTTTGTCATTTGTTCTGATTTCCCTGTGAGAATCTTATTTTGATCTCTATTATGGATAGTATTTGAATCACTTAGTATTTTATCCTTATCCCTACTGTTATATAAATCTACACTTGACTTGGCTGTTGTCATTTGTTGATTACTTAAATTTTTTGATGAATTTGATTGGATATTGCACAGTTGGTTGATTTGTATTACCCAATCATGTCCAAGTTTATGTTGTACAGTTTTCATAGTGTCCACAGTTTTACAGTTTGTAAGCAGCACATGTATGCACAAAAGCATTTTCTTGTAGTTTCTGAAATATAAGATGAAACAATGTTAGAAGACCTGTACAAAAAGCATTGTAACCAATTAATTTGACAATAAATTACAATGTATAAAAATCTTTGAAAAAAATATTCTGTTACTAACAACTCTTCAAGAAAGATAACAAGCAGTACAAGACTTATGATTTTTTTTTTTTGAAGTCAGCAATGGTCAAGGCAATGTTTTAGATAAGGTAAAAATTGTTATAAAATAATTTGTCACTATTTTCTTAAATTTTGCTTTGCCCTTTTTTTTGTGATAATTTTTCATATCACGCTACTCAAGTGATGAGTTTTTCTCACTTGAGAGAAAGAGAATTTATGACGTCATGAGCCCCTGTCATTGATGTTGCCTCGGATAAACAGATTATCAATGGTCTTTCAGGCCCTAGGATATTTCACGGCTACGTAACATCTAAGGGCTGTTATCCTTTGATGAGATTGTAGCTAAGAAACACCTTCTCCTTTTAAAAACCATCGATAATCTTTAAGGTAAAAAAATATCATTTAATGATAACAAACCCACAAAAAAACACAGAATGCACCTGTTTTGTACTAATTTTTCTGTAATATTTTAAGTTTTAGATTATTTAAAGTCAGCTTGTCACTTTTGTTGAGTAATTGCTTTTTTATGCTAATGAAGTTTTTTTTGAGTTAAGTATTAAGTAGCATTTGAAAAAAAAAGTGAAAGGTTTTTGCATTTAAATAAGATTCAAATTTCTTCTGAAGCAGTTGAAGACATTCCACACATGTTCTATGTTTGTCCTCTTTGTATGATCTTTCTGGTCATATTACATCAGTTTGATTGTATGGATAGTAAACAGTTAATTGTTAGATGATTATCATAGTGTTACTTTTTGTGTCATTTTCTGCTTCCCATCTGTCATTCTAATTTGCATATATTTGTCAGAGGTTACAGAATCAATATTGAAGCAGGTTTTTTTTTCCTTTTAAATCCATCAGTTATAGTGAAATTAGTTATAGTGAACATTATGTCATACACAGTGAATTTTAAGTCGGTTTTACCAAAAAAAATCTTCTTTAAAAAATATCTTGATAAAAGATAATATATCATAACAAAATATGGTGCTGAACCAAAAATAAAAGGCATTTTTTTGGTTAATTAGAGATTACGATATCTTATTATTTTCTACTTATCTTGAATTACTAAGAAGACCACATACATGTCTGTAATTAATAATGTTTCAATATTTTCCCAAAATAATTGCAGGTTATTGTGAGGTCACAGTCTGAAATTGATGCTTCCATTATAAATTTGATCTATTTTTGTATCATCATATTTATAACATGCAGTCTTCTGTAAAAATTTAATATGTTAATCTCTTTATCCTCTCAAACATATTTTAATTTTAGCATGTGCAGTAAGTGAACATGTGTCATATTCATATAAATTGTGAATAACAAACATGTTATGATAAAAAAGGGCACTTGAAAAAAAAAGCTGTAGCAAATTTCCAATTTTAACAACAATAAGTGTTTCTGGTTTTTTTTGCTTGTGGTAAACCACAGAGGCAGTGATGTGATAGTTTTATATAGCTACTGTAAATTCAGAAATTATTGCAATGTTTTTATTATTGAAAAATGCGACAGGGTTATAAGCGGAATAATTTAAACTCGCATTTTGAAATATTTTTATATGAATTAAACAGGATTTTTCTCAATATCGCAAAAATTAGAATCGCATTTTAGTCTAAAATGACAAAATCGCAATAATAAATGCACGCAATAATTTCGGAATTTACAGTTTCAAATTATACAATATCAAATTGGACAGGCTTCACTTTGTTCAAAACATAAAATATATAAATTTCAGCATTATAATTAAATAGATCAGAAATATTGGAATATTTAATTGCTTGTGAAGAAATTTATTTAAAATCTGGAAAGAAGAAAGTAAACAAGGGAAGAAAGCAATAGCCATTGAAAATATAAATGCTAAATCAAGATGCTACATTGCATGTACTAAAAATCCTTGGATTATCCAATTTACATAAATATTAAATAATATTAAACTTACTTGCAAACATGTGTTACAAAAACATGATGTAAGAACGGATCCTTGGGTTTGATCCCTGTATACTGGTCTACATAAGGTGTAAACGTTTCCATACATTTGTTTAAACGGTCGGAAAATTGTTCATTACAAGTTGTATGTTTCTGACGATGTGTCGCCATACCACCAATCACGGTACATAGAAGTGTAATCATTTGATATAAATTCATGATACCACAGTCTAGTTGATTACTTCTGTATATTCCAGGTAGTATGTACACTGTCGAAATAAATTTCAGTCAAAAGTTACAGAGTAGTTTGTACTGACTCTGTCCAAAGTTGGCTCCTGAACTTCTAAGTTATAATTTGCACTTCAACTGTTCCATTTGCACATTTGAAATAAAGTCCTTAAGGATTAAAAAGCAGTTTAATACATGATATAAGCACATTTTAAGGTTAAATTCCTTCCAATTGTTTCGCTGGAGGTACAAGCATGTTGACAGGAGTCATCATTTGTTTTACACGAACGTTATTGTTTTATTAGATAGTATTGTTTTATTAGATCGTTGTCTAATATCTACAATTTCATCACCATGAAACAATACCTCAATCTATTGTCCTGTGTGAACCAGCTGAATTCTCGCCAGGTAAAAAAGATCAAAACGTAAAGGTAAATTACCTTTAATTTTAACAGTATTTTTTTGACTCCCTCGTTGAAGTTTACAACAATTCAAGTCAAATTCTTATATGAATTGTCAAAACTTATATATTGTTCCTCAGCTATCAAAGATTTCAACTATTGTAAGCCTGATTAGGTTTCCAGTGTTTATCACAATTCTGAAGTGAAGTGTTTTTCCTCCAAGTTTAATCTACAAAAAAAAAATATTTAGATACAAAATTTAAAATTTGTTACATATAAAGCAATGTTTTAAATATCATTCTGAAATTAGAAAAGATTTATTGAAAAAAATAAAAGATATTTTATAACATATGTTTTTTTAACAAAACTAAACAAAACTCTGTTTAACTTACTTTAGTCCCTGTCCCACAATCATAATTACCTCTGAATGACTTGACTACTCTGCCTGTAGTAACTCCCGATTTACCAATGTCAGAATATTGATCAGTTAACATCAATGGATTTATAAATAGTTTGGTCAGCCCACTCTTACCAATATCTCAGGGGTATCAATAATACAATGCTAATTTACGTAATTATCATATTTAAAAAGCAACACTAAAATTGGTTTATTTATTGACACAAAAATAAATTTGTCTGAAACTGTTTAAATTCATTCATTCCAAATTTAAAATGTTTATTCATAGATTCGGTTGTGGTACCAAATAATTAATCTATTCATTTAAAAAGAAGAAAAAGTATAAATATAAATTCATACTTTGGTCTATTGATTGCAAATTTACAAACATATTTATATTGCCATTCATAAATGTAATATTTATTTTCATAGATTACTCATAGAGCTCAGTTGCTACAACTGTTTTTATGCCAACCTGTTCCAAGATTACTTAATTTTCATAATTCAAATCATGTTTGAAATAAGTTAAGTTTTACATGAAAACAGAAGAAATTTCACCTGTACTTTCTGGTGCTGTAACCATCACATTTATGAATGAAACAGGTGAAACTGTCAGGTAATCGGTACATGACACAGTGAAGAATGTGACATATGAAAGTGGGCGTCGTCTTGATGTCATGGGGTGGTATCTTCACCAGATTAATCTTGTTTGTCACAATTTTATTCAGATGATTGCTAACGATGTCAGTTCTAATTAAATTATAACACCCTAATAAGGGTTAGATAGAATGTAGAGGGCTTGGATCAGCTGCTTAGTCTAAACTCTAACCAGGAAGTCCTGTTGAGCCTTTGTTTGGTCAACTAATCAGTGACTATTATGGCTACAGAAAATGTTTGTTAAAGGTATTTGTAGAAGGTGATGAATCCCTGCTGAGGGAATCATTATAAGATGGCCATATTTTTGTAGTTTGAAGGTATAATCAGTGTCAGGAGAGAAATATATTAAAAGTTTTATTTGATAGTTGTATTTTATTTTGATTCTATTTAAAAATGTTGAAAATATCATAATAAAATAAATGCAGCAAAAGAGGATCTATTTCTGTTTTATAACTCAGGGTAATCACCAGCTCTCTTGTAAAGGGTTCTTTGGAAGGAAGTATGGTTAGGTAAAAAAGAGTTTTGTTTCTTGTCTCCATTCTTTCCCTAAATTTTAATGCTAAGCACAACAACACATACATTGTTGTTTCAGTGGAAATAAAGAAAACCAAATATATTTTATAAAATCTCATTTTACATTTTTGACTAATCTGCAAAAGCCTATTTGCTTTTTCATTGTTATTTGAAAATGTTTAAATTCTGAATGTGTAAATGTTTACTTGAACTGTGGTGAAATGGTCAGATGTCACTAAGGAATGCCAAGTTGTTACTCATTCATTAATTAAAGCTTTGTTAACCCATCAGTGTGTTTGTTGAAGAGGACATCAGAATTAATGGACAAACCTCTTACAAATGTTATGTCCATTAACTTTGTATTGCAAATTTGTAACATCTCACAATGGGAAAGCCATTTCTTGTTGAAAAGAAAATTCACCATAGAAAATGAACGAACATTAGTATCTTGTGTTTCAGAAGTGTAGGTAAATGTTAAGTCAAGGCTTTGACATTTTGACTAATTTTTAATACTTTTCCACAGATAAAAAATAAAGATAGAGGTTTTAGATCCAATAAACCTAGTCTTAAGCCGCTACAAGTTCATGTGCCTGTCCCAAACCAGCAAGTTCATCAGTTGTTCTGTTATATCTTTCTGTTTCTGTCATCTATTGAATTTGATATTGATGGTAGATCTTTGATATACTCTGTGTTATATTTATCCAGAACTTTACTAGACTTGTGAGGCAAAAGAGCTTGATATTTTTAAACACTATTCTTTTGCTGAAGACCTGATGTTGACTACCAGATGTCTTTTGGTGTTTTAGTTATGTTGGGTTGTTGTCTCAGTGAAAAGTATTGGGTATCCTGTTACTATACCCCACATCCCCTAATTCATATGTAGGTTTATAAACTGATTCATAATTTATCGTGTCAACTTTTCATAGTTTCCCTTTTTAACTTTGTTCTCACCGAGTTGAGATTAATTTACGGAAACTAATAGTTTTTTATTTGATTTACTTCTAAATATATATGCAGAGTGAAAGAGAAATCGACAGTGATGAATTTTAAAGTAGATGTGTGGGGGAGGAAAATCAGAATTGACATTTTATGAAATGAACAATATTTTGCTGGAGTTCTTTATACAATTAAATATACCAATATTCCTCATCATTTCAGCATCATATTTCTGCCTACTGGACGAATTGATCAATTAACGACAACTCTCTATTGTGTTTTATTGTATTCTTACTTGTAACAATGCTAATTTTGTTTCAGCATGTTGAGTACAGATTGAAAATTGAAGAATAATATTTCTATTAACCTTTTCATCAAACAGGGAGTCTGCATCTCGAGCAGCTTCATCTGTGGATTGAAGTTATTTTCGTTTGTTGTAAGGCAATCCTCTGTTTATATTAACCTTTAAGGATTGGGACCAGACTATGGAGTGGGGAATGCATTGTCTTTGGATCTGAAAGAGTCGTTCTTATTTTTGTTAACAATTTCAGTACTTTTGCATTGTTTGTTAACTTATATTTGTATAATCAAAAGTACTTTTTGGAAAGGCAAAGAAAGAAAAATATGATTTTCTGGAATAACTTTCAGCTGGTAAGCTTGAGACCAACGTTTGCCAAACATGAAACCTTGGAGAGCACAAAAATCATAAGGGCCTTAACAGAATAGCCTAGAAAGCATACTACTGTTGTCTCTTAGAAAGTGCCTCAAAACTTGATTTACTTGAATTAAAGTAAGTTGTACTATGTACAGGTACTGAAAATTCAGAAAATTTTGCAAGGATTTTATTAATGTGAATAATACAGCTGAATGAGTATCGCAATAATAAAACTCACATTCTGATATCTCATACATATAACTGTATGCAGATTTTTGAGAAATCACAAAAATGAATCCCTCAGTTAAGTCCAATCTTCAAACTTCGCATTTTTAGGAAACTTTTTCTATTTCAATTACAATAAAAGGGGGATTATTACAGGTATATGCATTAGGCTCTTCTTGTGTCTAGCTTGTTCTGAACATCATTCATGAAATGTTTGCCACTGGACATACAGCAAACAATAATCAATGAAAGTTGAGTCTGGTATTCTTAAGATCTTGGTATCAGTATTAACTTTTTAAGGACAAGTATTGGGATGTCTTACAAACTTATGAATTCTTTGTCACTCCCACTTGATATAGAACATATGCTGCTAATTTTTTTTTTATGTGCATTAATGTTTGAAGTGTTTATAATTGCTTATTGTGCACAAATATAGATTTTATTTCTTTTGATGAAAAAAATTTATAATAAAATATAAGATAAAAACATAATCATGATAATAGATGGAGATCATGAATTTTACATATTTCTTTTGATCATAATACAAGACCATCCCAGATTGTTTTCAATTGTTTTGATTGGATCAATATATGTATGGTCTGGTATGAAAAGTTTAAAAAATCATTCAAAAAAATTGTTAAAAAGCTTCTCTACAAGAAACCAAAAAATTAACTTGTTTTACAGATTAATAATTCATTAATGTTCAAAATTTTCTGTGGTCTTGATATGATGAAAGGATGTTATATAAATTATTAGAAAAACTAGGGTTCCAAGACCCCTCACATTACCACTGACTTGAAACTAGAAACATAACAATTAAAATGGTCTATGAAATACTATGAGATATGTTTTGATAAGCTTCAAAGAACTATGCCTTGTATATACTAATACCATGCAGTGTTTCCAAACTGATAAATGTATCAAAATGCCCTTTGAGCGACCTAATTGAGAGACTCAAGAGTGGTTGATACCAGACATATAGACTCAAAAAGGAGGGAAATAAAAGTCACCAAGTGTATGATATCCTGTTTGTGGACAGGTTAATTTGATGAAAAACTTCATTGTCTCAGTCAAATAAAGTTAGATTGGTTTGAAGCAATTGTTGAGTAAAATATAAAATACCTTTGATTTTTGGGGGGATAAAATCTGTTTAAAAGAATCTCATGGGTTCAATAGAATCTTCAAGTATATGCTGGGCTAATGTGAATAAACAGAGGATACTGTCAAAAACAATACAAGAAGAAAACTAACTAAAATTTATAATAGAAGTCAGTTTGTTTTTCTCCAACATAATTATGTTATTTATCTTAAGTAGAAGCCCCCAGAATGGCATGGGCTTGATTTCATGGTTCAGTGGTCATGGTAAACTAGTTTGATGTGAAGCAGATAAGATTTCACAATTTAAATTTACTGCAGAAACTATCCAAAGAGATATTGTGACCTTGATTTCAAGGTACAGTGATCATTTGTAATGAGCTAAGGGTAGTGTTAACTTGTGAGCTAACACATTATAAGACCAGCTCAACATGTGCGAGTACTACAAAGCAGGATCATATACAAATTCCTATAACTACCTGAATATGGTTGAAAGAATACCAGCTGTGGATTGACCTTGACAATCCTATCCCAAGGTTGAATATCATTTGTCTTTTATTGATGATTCTGAGAAGATTGTTCACAAAGCGTGACTGTTACTTTTGAAGAGCCATAACTTCCTGAAATACTAGAAAATAATGAAATTTGATTTTTCTGTATAATATTACAAAATGATATTCCTTGAAAAATATATATTTGTTAGTTGTTTCAGAGTAATTTTTGGGTCGATAGGATTTTTATGAGTTGTTCATGTTTGTCTAAATTGTGAAGAACTGTTGGCAAATGGTTATCAATCTGCCATCATATAAAATGATGCAGCCAGTGTAATTGCATTATATCTATATAAAGTAGATGGAGTCATTACAATTGCCTTTTGAAAAGTTATAGAAATAGATAAGTTGATTGTGTTATTGCATGGACCTATATTTAAAGTACAACACAGAAGCCATCTGTTGCAGAATAATTAACTGATAATAAAACATGACAACTTCTGTCATAACTTTAAATAGATTGCCTAATTTATTTAGGAAATTTGTAATGTCTATTTATAGAGCTTAGTCATATAAGTTGCTGAGGAGATTCAGTGCTTATCTTTATTGTCTTTCTTGAACATGTTGAATGTAAAACAAGTTTACATAACAAGTTTACATATATTTTTTAGAGATTTGTTGGGGAACAGATGAGTTCAGCGGTGATTTGTTATTATTGTTCTAGCATAAATTTCAAATTGCTGAATTGCAGATGCAAATATCTTGTCTTAGGGATGTACAACTTTTACTTTTATAAAATCACTCTGATTAAAAAAAAAGTTCTCTGAAGCGGATTTCTTCAAGACCCTTGTTTTTTTTTTTACAACATACCCGGTATATTTGTATTGTTCGGAGAATGGGTTTTTCAACTGTCAATCAACATTCCTATTGGAACCAACTGTGCCCTCTTCTTTCCAACATGTTCCTATATTATTATGAGGCAGACTTCATACAGGAGATTCTTGAAAATGAAAAGAAGCTGGCATTAACCATTAACTTCACATTCTGCTATATAGATGAAGTACTTTCACTGAATATTTCTAAAGTTTGGTGAAATAGTGTTGATGGTATCCATCCTAATGAACTTGAAATAATGGATACCAGAGACACCATAAGTCTGCATAATATTATGACTATCATATAGAAATTAACCATCAGGGTTGTTTTAGACAAAGGAGGCAATTTCAATTTTCTTATTGTGAACTTTCCATTTCTGTGTAGCAACATTCATGCACTACCTACATATGGAGAATATATAGGGATCATGTTAGGGTTGTCGCTTACAAGGGAGCTATTGAACCAATACTTTCAAATAGAGAGTTGTAATCATCCCTTTGATAGATTATGGGCGTAATCATGATTTTTATACGCCCGTTTACGGGACGTATTATGGTAAACCATTGTCCGTCCGTCCGTCCGTCCGTCTGTCCGTCAGTCCGTCAGTCGTCAACATGTCGGACATTAACTCAAAAACGCTTTAACCAATTTGCATAAAACTTTGGTGAATTGTTTATATATATTGACGTGAGCTCCCTTTCGTTTTTTATAAATTTTAGATTTTATGTTTCCGAGTTATGGGGTTTTATTCATTTAAAAAAGGGGGATTTTCCAGTTTTCGGACAATAACTCAAGAATGCTTTCACCAACTTGCAAGAAATTGCGGTGAATTGTTTATATCTATTGACATGATCTCCCTTTCGAATTTTATATATTTTAGATTTTACGTTTCCGAGTTACAGGTTTTTATTCATAAAAAAAGGGGGATTTTTCAGTTTTCATTTTGTACTGTTATGGAATAATTGTGTCACAGATTACCAGATATGTTCTACTATAAGTAGCCACTAGCTTTTCCTTGATTGTGATATTGACATATATGACTTTTCGTCTAATTTTTACCTGCAATGAGTTATGCAACAGATGCCACCAGTAAAGCAGGAACTGCTAAACCTTTTGGTTTACCTTAGTTTCCCTGATGCCTAATGTATGAAATTTGCTGGTTATGTTTTGGTTAAACAAAAAATGGTGTTACATGTACTTTGATAGCAATTGATTAAATTCATTGTAGGAGACTATGAACCTTTTTATTGCTGTTTTTGCAGTAAAATATTGATTGATTGAATGGTATTTAACACCACTTTTGTGCTATTTCTTGGCAGTCAGTTTTTAACGGTGTAGGGAACTGGAGAGAACCACTGACTTTCTGTAGGAAAACTGACAATCCTAGTCAATTAAGATTAGAGTTGAGTGCACCTGCCATGTCTGGGATTCAAAATCACAACCTCAGTGCTGACAGGCTACTAATATAGTAGTTCAACTACTTAGACCACTTGGCCACCGAGGCCCCCTAGCAGTAAAATACAATAATCCATTAGCATGTAAAAACATGTAGTACAGGACTAATGTGGTGTTACAATATCATTTCAGGAGAGAGACAAGAGAAAACGTCAGGCAGAAATGGCTCCTAGGCGTGTGTCAGCAAGAATAACTATGAAGATGAGAGAGTTCCTGGAACAGGTATGTATTGTCCAATTATCAAGAATTAAAAACAGGGAGGGTTGAGACCTTAAAATACTAATTTTACCTCTATTCCATAATAAAACTACAGGTATTAGCTTCTGCATACATGGAACAAAGCTTCATCTGGATATGCCATACTGTGTGACAGATTTTCATTTCCTTTCATAGATCACAAGATTTATACATGTTAACTTCACTGATTTGAACATGTTAACAAAATAAATCTGTACTGAACCTCGTAGTTGCATACCTGTTTGTTTCAGGAAAGAATATTGGAAGAAGCTCATCAGTTGGAAGAACAAACAAGGAAAGAAGAGGAGGAAGAAAGAGAAAAACTGAAGGAAATAGAGCGTCAGGAGGAAGAAAGGAGATTGAGAGAAGAAAGGCAAAAAGCTAGAGAAGGTACATTAAAATTTCTATGTACTGTGGATTCATTATTATTTGTTGGATACCAATTTTCGTTGGTTTCGTGGGAACAGGTGAACCACGAATTCAAATGTTCAATGAATATCATATTTTCAATAGGCTTTGTATACAGAGATTGGCAAAACCACGAAATCAAATATCCACGAATATGCAAGTTTTCAGCAATCCACGAAAATTGATACCCACGAAAATAAATGAATCCACAGTATAATAACATCATGCATTCATTTTGTTAATTTAAAAAAATTGCCTAACCCACAGATATTGTGATGTAATTCCTAAAATTTTTATCCAGATGACAATACTTATGAAAGGAAGGTCCCTTTTGATTTTTGTTAAAAATTCACAAATTTTGAGAATCATCTTTTTGTCCCCATGCAACACGTTGCGGGGGACATAGAAATACCAGGCATCTGTCCGGTCTTGTTAAAGCACTCACGTGTTCAATTCTTGCCAGATTTTTATGAAACTTATATCATAGGTTTATATCAGCAATGTCTTGTATGAGTTCGAAAATCAGTGCCGATCAATTATTTTTAAAAGAGTTACACCCCTTTGAATCATTTATTATACGGAGAATTGCATCGTTAGTGCTCTCATGTGTACAATTCTTGCCAGATTTTTGACTGGCCTTGGAGTCAAAAAGAGAGATATAGGTATGTTGTTTCCGGCGACGGCAGTGGCGGCGTCAACAATGTATTAGTTTGTGATTAGGTCTAGTTCATGATGAACCACTAGTGGTAGGTCAATGATATTTGGTATGCAGTTGTATTACCATTGGCACATCTCATTACCATGGAGATTATTTGACCCCGCCTCCTCACTCAAGGTCTATTGACTTTGAAACTTTGCTTAGTTTACATGTATTAGTTTGTGGTTAGATCAGTTTAAGGGGAACCACTAGTGGTAGGTCAATGATATTTGGTATGCAGTTGTATTAGCATTGGCACATCTCATTACCATGGAGATTATTTGGCCCCGCCCCCTCAGTCAAGGTCTATTGACTTTGAAATTTTGCTTAGTTTACATGTATTAGTTTGTGATTAGGTCAGTTTAGGGGTAACCACTAGTGGTAGGTCTATGATATTTGGTATGCAGTTTTATAGGCATTGGCATATCTCATTTCCATGCAGATTATTTGGCCCCGCCCCCTCATTCATGATATTTTGTATGCAGTTGTATATGCATTGGCACATCTAATTCCCATGGAGATTATTTGGCCCTGCCCCTCATTCATGGTCTATTGACTTTGAAACGTTTGCTTAGTTTACATGTATTAGTTTGTGATTGGGTCAGTTTAAGATGAACCACTAGTGGTAGGTCAATGATATTTGGTATACAGTTGTATAAGCATTGGCATATCTCATTTCCATGGAGATTATTTGGCTCCGCCCCCTTAGTCATGGTCTATTGACTTTGAAAATTTTGCTTTGTTTACATGGATTAGTTTGTGATTAGGTCATTTCAAGGGGAACCTTTAATGGTAGGCCAATGTTAATTGGTATGCAGTTGTATAAGCATTAGCACATCTCATTTCCATGGAGAATATTTTGCCCCGCCCCCTCAGTCATGGTCTATTGACTTTGAAACATTTGCTTAGTTTATATGTATTAGTTTGTGATTAGATCAGTTTAAGATGAACTGCTAATGTTATGTCAATGATATTTGGTATGCAAATTAATTGGCATTTGCAAGTCTTATTTCCATGGAGATTATATAGCCCCACCCCCTCATCATGGTTCATTGACTTTGAAACTTTTACCTAGTTTACAAGTTAATGTTAATGTTTGTGTTTAGGTTTGTTTGAAGGGAAAGACTTATGATTAGTCAATGGTATTTGGTATGCAGTTGTATTAACATTGGCACAACTTATTTCCATGGAGATTGTTCAACCATGTACCTTCAGTCATGGTTCATCGACTTTGAATATTTGCATCACTTACATGTTAAAGTATTGCTATTCTAATTTCAACATTTGCATTATCAAAATTACAAAAAGGTGAGACATATCTCTGTGATAACAGTTTATTACATAACTGGCCTTGTCAAATAAAGTTGTTATAAATCATGAACCAAGAACATATATATATTGATATACTGTTCCCAGCATGAACATAATATTAGCCTTCTATATAATATCTTTTGTTAAAAAATGCATCCTAAGATGATCTAAGATTGAAGCTTCCCATTAAACTCATTAAATCACCTTTTCATAAATTCCCATTATAGATGCATTTGTTTTCTTCAATTAATTATTCAATGGAGACATGCTTACGCTTACATATACATACATTTTCTCAGACATTGATACTTTAAAAAGGATATATATTTTAAAGTAACTTTAAACCTGGTATCAATTTTTGAAAACAAATGGTATAGTTGATGAGAAAAGTGTGTATGATAGTGAAAAACAGATCAGTACAAAAAAAGTGTTTGATATTCAAATGATACTTTGAACTTTTATTATACCAATTGAACATGAAATTATTCATATGCAGCTGCTATGTTTTTATTGAATATTTTGCTTCTAAGTTTCTCACATATAGCCTAGAAACACTGTATAAAAGATCAAGAGTTCATTTTTACACCTGATTTATTTCAGAGAGACAGAACCGTTTACTGCAGAGAGAACAACGAGCTGCTCTGCTGGCTATGGGTAAAGAGATTCCACCAGAACTTATGTACACAGGAAATTCCTCGAACAGTAAATACATAGATGATGACAGGTAAGGATTAATTGTCACTCTGATGAACACACAAGAAATAATTCATGCAAGCCATAGATTTGTTGGAAATTTTCATATGGCCTAGACCAACAGCTATAAAGGCTGAGCCATGTGAAAATGACAACAAATCTATGGCTTCCAGGAAGAATTAATTCTAATATAACAAATACAGAATTTATAAAACAGAAGATATTATACGCGTGCCATGTGTGTGGCTGTTCTATACTCCCTCTAGGATAAAGCTAAAAATTCCAAACTAATGTATGGCTTGCATGAATTATTTCTTCAATAACACCTTGAAAACAAAATGTGTTTAATCCTTATAATTTTCAACCTAAACATTTGCAATTTTTAGCTCAACTGGCCTAACCAGTGAGCTTTTACCATCCTTTAGCACCAGTCTTCTGTTGTCCAATTTAAACTTTTTCAAAGATCTTTTCCTCTGAAACTACGACCAATTTCAATCAAACTTGGGCTGAATTATCCTTAGAAAATCTGATATATAGTTTGTGTTTTTTAAATTTTTCCTTAAAAGGGGCATTAGCTGTCAAATTCATTTTCACTGATTTGAATCAAATTCTCATATTTGATTTATAACATACTGAAATGTTTACCCAGAATGACTATTTTTACTAATTTTATGGATTTTTTGCTAAAACATAGATTGAGAGCAACAATATATAGCATAATTGTTCAGCACAATAGGAGCTACAAATCAGTCATTGTGTCCAAAAATTGTCAACTGACTCCTTGTAGATGTTATTTCCCCTGAACAATGATTTTTATCCATTTTTGCATTTTTGTCAAAAATATAGGTCTTGAGCTAGAGAAACTTTAAAAAAATGAAAAAAAACATCAGCAAAACAAGATCTGCAAGAAAGTCAACATGGCCAAATTATTACACTAGTTAGAGGATTTATTGCCATTAAATGACTTTTTTTATATCAAAAACGTTAATAGATAGGTATAAACTGTAAAACTACAAAAATGACACAAATATTAGATCTACAAATTAGCAAACATAACTGATTGTAATAAAGAAAAAAGAAATATCAGAATGGCATATTTTTTTACAAGGTGAGCGATTCAGGCTCTTGGGAGCCCTTTGTTAATTGTCACAAACTTGTTCCTTTAAAATTTCTATAAAGTCTGCAAATTCACATAAGTTTTTATTTTATGCCTATTTTGATGTATTGTCTTTCTGTTTACAGAGTAGAATTGGACAGAGAAACTTTAGATGATATGGAAAAAAGTAAGTATTGTAGAACTGCAGTTATCTCCCATTTTTATATCTTTTAAATTTTCATTTAGTAGGTTTCATCTTGATAAACTTACATCAAAGATTTTGGAAAACCCTACAATATATACTTTATTTACAGAAAATACACTTCCAGTAAAGGTTATAAGGTACCTTAAGGGCAAGAATATTTGTTTTTATATAGAGCAGATTTTACCAAAAGTATTTATTGATTACGAGTAATAATATTTTTTTGTATTTCATTGTTCTGATAATTACTTTATTAGTTTTATTACACATCTACAATGATCATATTTTTAAATACACATTTTAATGTTACATTTCAGTGATGGAAGAAATTAAGTCCCATAAGGATTCCTGGCCTTTCCTGGACCCAGTTGAGGAAGAAATTGCTCCAGGATATCATGAAATTATAAAAGTAAATTTACCGCAGGCTTGTTTATAATTATATTTAAATTACTTTGTCTTTGATGACAATGTTGTTATTCAAATTTTAAATGACATTTAATCTGAATTTTTAGAATTGGATGTCATTAAATGCATCTTTAACCATGCATTGTTGAAGGCCTTATGGTGGCCTGTAGTAGTTTACATCGTTGTCCTTTTGTTATTGGTGGATTGTTGTTTAAGGATGTTCGCTCCTCTCGTTTTTGAATTTTTGTCAGATATTCGGAATCCTCTGGTTTTATCCATGTAGAGCCATTAAAAAATTTTGCCCGCAAAGCCCTACTTTTCTTTCCAGAATTTTATTACATGTAGTTTAAAATGTTTATCGTTGAAAATCTTATAAAATCCTGGTTATTTTTTCGTCGTTTTTGAAAGAAAAAAGATGCCAATGTTATATATATGAAAAGTCTAGAGAGAATCATTTCCCGCCAAATTTTAAATGGCTTATATCTCGAAAACAAGCACACTTACCCTTCATTTTTTTCCGCTTTTTTAGTTTCTTTATTTATATACTATCAATTTATAACAGTCTTTTAAAAAGCTTGTTATTTTGAAACAGAGTAGCGAACATCCTTAATTGGTTATTATACCACATTTCTTTATTATACCTCCACTCTTGGAGTGGGGGCTATATTGCAATCACCTTGTTTATCTGTCTGTGTGTTCAACAAATATTTTCATCCCACTATTTCCTGAAACCACATAACAGATTAACTTCATAAAAAACAGTTTCGTCACACATTTCTAAAATACAGTTGAACATATGAACTTCATATTTGGTCAGCATCTCAACAGTGAAGAGTAATACTGTGTGTACACTTTTCGGATCTGTCAGACACCTACTGCTTGTTTTCCAGTTCTTTGAATTACATTGGTGTATGCTTAGCATGAAGATTGACATTATTGTGTGTTCTGTGTACTCAATATTTTTCATTGATGGGAAAAATTGCTGAGGAAATGCCTTGTTTATATAGGTTAATATAAAACAAGAATGTACATATTGTCTAAACACTTGTCTTGAAAACGGCAGCAAAAAAATAAATATGATGGCATCCACGGAATATGATACTTTTTTAGCATCAATTTTTTCTGTATTTTTTGTATTCTTCACAGTGATGCAGGAGCTTCTTCTTCTTGTAACACTCCTTATCAAATAAAAATGAGCTGCGACGGATAGAATCCACCTTATGCAAATAAATAGCAATACATCTGTTAACTGATTTCAGGTTGAACAAATCCTAATGCAAAGTCTGTAACTGTTTTAAAAATGAGTTAATATAAGAACCCTACAAAACAGACCAAAATTCCATCTTTTATTTCATACTTGAAATTCCAAAATCAATCAGTCTTATACATGCACTTGCATAAGGTGGATTTCTATCCGACGCAGCTCACTTGTTTATAACATCTACATTAAATACAGTATACAAGGAAGAACCTGCAATATTTTTTAGCTCAAAGTGAGCTTTTGCCAACACTTGGCGCCCATCGTCGTCGTCGTCCGTCTGGTGTAAACTATTTCAAACATCTTCTCCTCTGAAACTACTGAACCAATTTCAACCAAACATAAGCTGAATGATTCTAAGGGTATCTAGAATAAAGTTTGTGTTTTATTTTCTGTTTCGTAAAAAACATGACCGCCATGGCTAAAAATAGAATGTAGGGGTAAAATGCAATTTTTGGCTTATATCTCAAAAACCAAAGCATTTAGAGCTAATCTGATGAGATAAAAATGTTTATTTGGCCAAGCTGTGTCAGCCCTGAAATTTTCAGATAATCTTACAACCCATTGTTGGATTGCTGCCACTTAATTGGTAATTTAAGGAAATTTTGCAGATTTTGGTTATTATCTTGAATATTATTAATGATAAAGATAAACTGTAAACAGCAAAAATGTTTAGCAAAGTAAGATCTACAAATAAGTTCATATGACCAAAATTGTCAATTGTCCCCTTAAGGAGTTATTGCCCTTTAAAATAAATTTTTCACAATTTGTTCATTTAGTTTGCTTACTTTAAAAAATCTTCTATTTGAAACTGCTGAATCAATTTCAGCCAAAATTGGGCTGAATGAGTTTCAGAGTATCTAGTATAAATTTTGTATTTTATTTTCTTGTACGTCAAGAAACATAGCCACTATGGCTAAAATAAAACATAAGGGTAAAATGCATTTCTATGATTTTGAAGAAAATATGACAGATACAAAGAACATTTCAATGGAAGTTTTAAGCCATTCATTAAAATATATGGAATAGCAAAAATAATCATTGATGAAAGATTTAAGCAAAAAATTACAGGTGAGCAATTCAGGCTCTTGAGAGCCTCTTGTTATTTTCAGTTATTAATGGCAGGACAGCAACATCTTAAGGCATTTAAAATTCCAAATGTGAAATTCAAATTATGGGAAAGAAAATTTATGTAAGATTTCAAATGTACAGCATGAACTTATTAACCATCATAAATTTTCTTTTACTACAGAAACCCATGGACCTGTCAACAATTGAGAAAAAGCTGACAAGTGGGGGATATAGGACGACAAAAAAATTTGTTGCAGACTTTAATCTGATGATAAACAATTGTTTCCAGTTCAGTGGGGCTGACAGTGGTGAGTAATTTATTCCCCTCCTTCCCTACAGCTATAAGGACATTAAAAGATTATAAGAAAGTTGAGAGATATTAGTTAATATTAGTATTCATAAACTTCCTGAGCAGAGCTTGCTTTTTTATGTTCACTTTATTACTATGATCTGTCGTCATCCATCTGTAGTCACTTTATCTTTTGCTATCTCTTAGCATCTGTTGTCTGTTTTTTATGCCCCCCCCCCCCCCCCCCCCCCCCCCCACCGTCACCAGAGGGGGCATTAAGTGTTACCTTTGTACATCTGTATGTCTAATTACTTATTGATATTTGCTTGAGAAATTGAAACCAAACTTGGAAGGTATGTTTCTTACAAATACAAAGTTCTTTGACAGTGTTCTAACTTTTGATTGGCTGAACTTTGGAAAACTTATTCACAAGATCTATTAAATAAGATGAAACAAATGTTGACAGATATGTTCCTGTAAAAATTCTGAATAAGCCCCTTATTACTTTGGTGCTTATCAGAAATTCAAAGTTGCTACCAGTGAAAGTTAAATTTAACATTGAAACACTTTTGGAAATTATATATTGTTTGCTTTTCTTTTCAATAAAAGATGAAGTAAAATGAAATAAACCATGCATACATACAGGGTAATTACCCAGTTCTGTAACTTGTCCTAATTAAAAGTCCAACATGGCTTCAAGGGGCCAAAAAGTGATCCAAGTGGACTGATTTTCAAATATCTTTTAAAGCATCACCAAATTAGATAAAAGCAAACAAACCAGAAATTTTGGATAGCCTTATCAAGTAATGAAGTTAAACTTCAGGACTTGATCAAAAGTCATCTGTCAGGTGATAATACCAGTGCAAGTGAATGCATCCTTAGTCTATTATACTCTAGAGCATTAAAACAGTTATTTGTAGAGGGAGTTGTTGTTTATAATGAAATACTGAGCAACAATTTTTTAATGTAATCAAGATTTAGATACTGGTGAATAAAATTGAAATATTATTATTTATTTATTTTAGGAGATTGAGGAAATTTCACTTTTTGAAAGTAACCTAATTTTTATGCCCCCGCCGTAGCGGAGGAGGCATTAAGTTTTACCCTTGTCCGTCTGTACGTCCCAAAATTGGTTTCCGTTCTCTAACTTTAGTTTGCCTTGACCAAATGTTATGAAACTTATACACAATGCTTATTACCACAAAACACAGATCAAGTTTAAATTTTGGTGGCGTCACTTTTACAGTTCTTGAGTTATGTCCCTTTATAACATTATATGCAAGCGGGGGCATCATCTGTGTCCCATGGACAAATTCCCCATTTATTTATTTTATTTTAGTGATTTCTATTAATAATCAGATGACTAGCAAATATGACTGTTTTTGGACCCTTGTTTTGTAATTAGTTTCATGAAAATCTTTTTAAATTATGATACTGTAAATTCAGAAATTATTGCGAGGTTTTTATTAATGCGAATAATGCAACTGTGATAGTATCGCAATAACTAGAACTCGCATTATGATATCTGATACACGCATCTATGTGTAGATTTTCATGAAATCGCAATAATTAATCTCGCATTTGTGTCCACTCTTCAAAAATCGCCATAATAAATGCACGCATTAATTTCTGAATTTACAGTATTGATTTTCTGAGATTCCCTGAAACTTCAATTATAATAGGGTGTCTTTACAATTTTTTGTCCTCTGTAGAACTGGGAAGAATGGCAACCAGATTGAGAAAATACATTAACAAATGTATCAAGATTTATATAGACAAAACTGATGAAGATCAAGATGATGAAGATTTCCATGGCAGCATTGCAGTACAGACAGAGAGAAAATGGCGTCCTCGTAGAGCAGCAACATCTAGAGCCTTAGATACAATTAAAGGGGCATTTGATGATGACAAGTTTGAGGTAGACTCAAAAGGGAATTTTTTCTTTATATATTTAAAAAAGGAGATGTAGGGTATACATCAAGGAGACAACAACAGAAACCATCTTGAGGTCAATATATGGTCTTATAGACAAGACTTAGTGCCTTGAAGTATATCTAGCTTTTAATCACCTAAAGTAAAGAGTCGCCGTTTATAAATTATATATACAGACTCAGAGATCTAACATCAGTACCAAATATGTGGTAGGGTGAAAATAGTGTTTAAAGATATAAAGATAAGAAGATATGGTATGATTGCCAATGAGACAACTCTCTACCAAAGACCAAATGACGTAAAAAGGTTAGCAACTATAAACCACTGTTCGGCCTTCAACAATAAGTAAAACCCATACCGCATAATTAAGCTATAAAAGCCCAGAAATGACAAAACAATTCAGATATGTACAAAACAAAAAACAAATATAATATACAGCAACAAAAGACAACCACTGAATTACAGGCTCCTGACTTGGGACAGGCACATAAAGAATGTTGCTGGGTAAAACTTTGTTTATGGGCGCTATAACCCTCCCCTATCTTTGGACAGTGGTGTAACAGCACAACATAAAAATAAATTATAAAAATCAGTTGAAAGGTCTATTTCATCAGATCGATACAAGGTGTTTAAAGATGTCTACTCTTAATCCCAATTAGTGGACTTTTAAGAGGTACGTAAAAAAATCATTCATTGAAAATCAGTATATGAAAACCAACCAGCTCTTAAATACCATAGCATAAGAGATATTTTAACACAAGTACAGGTAAAACAATCAGATTTGAATTCTCGTAGTCATTGAAAGCAAGCTTGGAGTACTTGATCTGCTGATATCAAATCATGACATACTTCACTCGTATATACAATTTTTGCCTTTAAAATAGATAGTATAGTGTAATGTCATAATTGGTACAGTGTCTAGTATAGTGTAATGTCATAATTGGTACAGAAAGACACGATCTAATGCCATTCTAAAATAAATTTGTACAGAATCGCAATGCAGAAAAAATACTATTTGGTTCAAGCTGTAAATAAGAGAATGGATATTCTTTCCCCAAAAATACAAGACACAGTGAGCAACAACAGTTAAAATATAACTTTGAGCAATAAGAGACTATACAATGTGTTAATTTGGGAACAACAAAGCAGCTGTTTGATAAAGAGATGTTAAAAAAAAATGTTTTAAAATAGATTTTGAATGGAAAATTTGTAGTAATGGCATAAGAAAAGATAATAATAATTGCTTAATATCTTATAGGAACTCACTTCTACTCCTGGGCATGAATATGCTTCTAGCTCGCGAAAGAAAAGACTGATTCCTGAATTATCAGCTGATTCACCTTCAAAGCAGGTCATTAATGGAGAACGCATTATCAAAAACCCTGATACAAAAACTAATTCTGCCTCACGTGTGTGGTCAGAATCAACAGAAACAACCAAAGAAACCAAAATATTAACAGTGAATGGGAAAACATTTGTGTACAAGTTTAATACTTCACCTATGAATACAAAGAAGAAAATCATTGAGAAACCAGCTTATAGTATATCAGAATCACCGGAGAAAACAACAACTATTGAATTACCAACTGTGACTTATAGTGGTATGAATACACTAAATACAGCCCCTAAATTATTAGTGAGACCTCCGTCTGTTGGAGGAGCTATTTTGCCAGTATCATCAATGCCTGTCTCCTCACCTTCAAGTATAGCCACAGTCAATACTCCTACAGGTCCAAAAATCATACGGATTATGTCCCCTAACATGGGCCAGGGCAAATCAACTGTACAACCAACAGTGCCAACAAGTACACCACTGAAGGCAATTCGTATATCAGATGGTATGCTTCTGTTGGATGGTAAACCAACTGGGATTCATATATCTGGAAAAACAAAAATAATCTATAGAGGGGCAGTATCAAGTAGTCAAACTTCTACGACAGAACAAAATGCTATCATGGTAACAAGTGGCCAAGTAAATCCAACAGGAACTACTAATCCAGCCGTCAGATCAAATTCTCATGTAGTTGGTCAGGTTATAACACCTGCCCTTACTGGACAAAACAATAGTCTGTTATCAACAGGACAGGTCAGTGGACTGTCTACAATGCAAGCTTCTGCACAACCTATTACACTTGCAAAAGCATCACCTGTCATGATCAACCAGCCGCTGGTTCAAAGTACAGTACAATCAACAGGACAACAGATAAGTCTTATTACACAACCTGTTATAGCCGCAAGTTCAGTAACTCCAGCAATTAAAACAGTGCAACCATCTTCATTACTTAAATCTGTTCATGGACAAATTTCCAGTGTATGTGATGGAAGTTTAATTACAAAGTCTATAGGGCCAAAAGCTACAACCTCGGTTACTAGTTTATGTCAGACATTTTCTTTATCATCTCCTGTTTTATCCAATCAAAATTCACCATTTCCTCCACACACAAATACTGTTGTAAAATCTAGTCCTGTGCATGTTAGTACTAACCAAGACATAGTCACAGGAAAAATACCAAATATTTCTGTTTTAGAACATAAGACTAATCAATCCCAGGTTTCTGTGTTGCAGACAGAGGTCATAAAAAAATGTGAAGAATCTCTAATGGGACCACCATTACTGGTTCCACCAAAAAGAAAACTGTCTGGAAGTCCAGAAAACAAATCAATTCTGCCACCAAAACTACTACATGTGATAGGGCATTCTCCTTCTAATAATGTTATTGAAAATTGTGATAAATCTGAAAGTTGTGTTTCACCACCCAATATAACATTCATGGGATCCTCTGATTCAACAGATAAGGCAGACAATTTGTGTTGTGATAATGACAATTCAGTCGGTGCTTCTGAGGACAACAAATCTCAAAATATGGTCAATAGTGCCAGTGCTAGTGATATATTTCCACCATATAAAATTGCACATTCAAATTCACCAGATAAAGGCAATCTATTTGAAATCTTAAAAACAAATTTAACTGAATCTTCAAAACCAGTAGAAAGCTCAAATTCACAGGATTCATGTGATTCTGGGTTATCAAAAGGCATGATGGACAAAGTTTCAACATTTGCTGCTAGTTTACAGTCAAAAACTCTGTCTGGTCAACTGAATATTCCATCTCACTTACTGCAGAAATCACCAACGAAAGATGACCAGGTATGTTATCATGTGATTCATGATTTATTTTGTTTGTTTCATTTGATAAGCATGAATGATACATGTCTGGTAATTTCAAGAAATTTGTGATATGTCAAAATGTTGAGAGAAAAAACAGGTTTTTCAATCCAGGGTACATACTTCATACTGAAACATGTCCTTGCTTACGTTGATTTTAAAAATGTAACATAGTGAGAATGGTAGTTTTAACTTTTCAATATTTTACCATATTAAAAATACTGTTATAAAAGAGAGCTCATTTGGTCCAACAGTGGTATGGTTTTGATTGCTTTGATTTTGTCTAAAACAAAGACAAAATATGTTATTGTCATGTTTAAGTGAACTCAGATTTGTATTATTGCTTTCTAAATAAATGTATCCAATTATAATTTCAACAAATGTGATCATTATGCATGGGATGCATGTCATTTTAGTTAAATTATTCACTAACAGATCTACTTACCACTGCTTTATACTCTCAAATAGTATACTAATTTTCCTTGATTTCAAGAATATAGAATAAACATATATATAAGTGTTCAACAAAATACAAAATTCCTATACCATATGTTTGTTTGCAAAATTTGTCAAAACCATGAAGTATAGAATCCATGAAAACACTTTCTTATTCCATGAAAATGGCATCCAGAAGAAAAATAAATAAATCTATACAGTGATTTGATTTTTATTGGTTAGAATTGACATTAGCCATCTGATCAATGGTTTTGCCTTCGTGTTAACTTATAAAATTTCTGTTGCTGCTTGTTGATCACTGATTTTTAAACCATTTCAAACAAAATCATATTTTCTAATAGAAAAGTTCATCAATGCATATATCATTTTAATGACATTTATTTTACTCATCCTACTTGGACTATTTTTTTTTAGCTGTATGCTTCTTATTGCATGGCTTTAACTACAGTAGCATTCCTTTTTCAGCTTATAACAGAATTGATTGAAGATTCCAGCATTGTTCCTGTTAGTCAAACAAACTCTCAAAGTTCTGTAGAAGGTCATCATGAGTCTCCCAGTATATGATTACATTGTGTAAGAAATTTGACATGTAAAAAGCTATTTGTTTTCAACTGTAACAGAGACAGTTTACACTTTGTTAAAGTTGAAGGCATTTTTCTGTCAATGTACTGACGCTCATCAGCATGCCAGCATCATCTCATTCTTAATTGGAAAAATAATACACGATAAAACTTTAATATAGTATTTCCAGCATTTTTTTTATTCAAGCAACATGTTAACATGCAGACTATATGATCTCCCATCGTCTACATAAAGTAATTTAATTCAAATTGCATTTGAAATCAACATTTGTATTGCTAAAGAAATATTTCTGATAGTTCCAGAATGTACATCCTTTTAAATAAAAATCTGTTGGATGGAGGCAACACCCTAAACAATATAGGGGTACTAGATGGAAAAATCAGGATTGATTTATGCTTGCATGAAGAAGGGAGATAATGTCACAGAAATTAACACACAAGAAATACTCATTTAGCCACTTAAAGGTGTCCAATATGAACATATAAAGACAATGAAAGATTTGACAATAACTGCATGTTTCAAGTTTACTAAAAAGAAAAAGAAAAAACACTGTCGAGATTCCTGATTCAGGATACACATGTGAACACATGTCATCTATTAGACAAATGTTTTGAATTATGTGTAGTTTGTCCACAGTAATAAACAATTCCTGTTTTAAGATCTTGTGAATACTTAACAGTGTTGGATTTCTTGTTTTTTTTACAGTTCCTGTGAATGTTCATTTGAAACTGTGACACTTCACAAGAGAAATGTGCAAGTCTAATGTATAAAATAAATCTATGTTTTATTTATTTTTCAGAAAGTACAAAATTTATCTCTGAACAAGAAAGGGAATCTATCATGATGGATTTAGATACTGTGATAACTACACGTCTAGCATATCTTTCCAAAAATTACTTTTATGTCATACTCTGATGTCACAAATATGAGGAAATGTTTGAAATATTTTTTATGTAAAACAAACACAAACCATATTGATAAATGTAAAATTGAGTACAATAATGTCAGTTAGAGGACCAATGATGGAAACTGTTTGACACTGAGTCAACCATGTGGTATTATAAATATCCCATATTTAAACACAAATAGATTGATAAATTGTACCGTACATGTGATATAGGGTGTGTGTAAAGTTCTTGAGATTTACCACAGATAACTTCATCAGTTAATGAATTACTGGTTACAAGAAGTATTTCAAAGGTAGCTTTAAGCTATTTTATATAAAAAAAAAAAGAACTTTTCTGGGTTCTTAGGTTAAGTTTTTCCTAAATTCTATAGGTAAAGCTTAAATTTTCATATTTAAAATGTTATTTGTGTTAAAATGAATCCTAATTTTTCTTATTTTTTTTTTTTTATTTTTAGGGGGGAGTTGTTTTGCTTTCCTCTTTGTTTTTCTTTGACATTTGATTATTATTATTACTTTGAATAAACTTTTTATTTTAACATTCTCTACAAGATTGCATAAAACATTAGTATCATTAAAAAAAATTCATTTTGCATGTTTTAACTTAAATTATTAAGAGAGAGATGTTCATATGAACTATAATGTGATATATGGCATTACTGGATAAATTTATTTGAATAGTAGATTACAGTCTGATTAAAATACAGACCTTGTGTCTACACTTCGCTTACAAGAATCTGATAATATTCCGTTTTACTTTCTGTTCAGGTAATTATGACTTCATCCAATGAAATTTCAGCCTTTTGAAGTTGTGAATCATTACAACAAACCCAGAGAATCCAGAAAGGTCTTTACAATAGAAAGTAACTTGAGCATTGTAAATCCTTGTACACAAAGTGTGAACACAGGATCTGTATTCTAATAAGATTGAGTATATTTTACATTTTGCAGCATTTTTATTCCCATCTAATTCCTGATATTCAGAAGATCCAGAAAAACCATTATGGTAAACTGCTTTTTATTTCAATATAACATTAATCATTTAAACAATTCACACTTAAAAAAGACCATTTTTGTTATTTTTTATTGAATGCTGTAAAATTGTATAGAGAAAAACATGATTTGTGTGTTTTGTATGTTAAGAATGAATTATTTCTTTTGATATGAAGAATATACTTGTATAAATAAACATTTTATTGGTATCTTTTTGTGGAGCTGTTACTGAGCATTGTACTACTAATTATTATGTAGCAGTGAGATTTCTTTTTTTTTTCAATTGCTTTAAACAAATTTATGTTTGCCCACTCTGCTAAATCCCTTCTGAACATATTCTATTCATTTAGCATCTGTTGATTTTACTACTTTACTTGGTTTTTCCAAGTTTTATATGGAAGTGTCTGTAGTGGTTTAGGGTCTAAACAGTTCTGCAAATGAGCTGTTCCAATGTTTACTCTGAAGGTCCAGTGTATGGAATATTTTCTACCACTTATAATTTTTTCAGTATGGCAATCCATGATGGAGAAAACATTAAGCTTACTGTCCAAAGTTTCAAAACATTTTTATTTATGCAATCATTATGTATTTTTTGTAAAGAAAAGATATTTATTTACAAATTAAATTACTTGAAATACAAAATATGATTGCATATGATTAATCATGAATATCTTAATAAAATTGAGAATGGAAATTGGGAATATGTCAAAGAGACAACAACCCGACCAAAGAGCACACAACAGCCAAAGGCCACCAATGGGTCTTCAAGGCAGCGAGAAAATCCGGCACCTGGAGGTGGTCCTCAGCTGGCCCCTAAATAAAATTGTGTACTAGTTCAGCGAAAATGGACGTCACCCTAAACTCCAAAACATATAAATGAACTAAAATTTAAAAACATACAAGACTAACAAAGGCCAGAGGCTCCTGACTTGGGACAGGCGCAAAAATGTGGCGGGGTTAAACATGTTTTGTGAGATCTCAACCCTCCCCTATACCTCTAGCCAATTTAGAATAAAGAAACACATAGCAATACGCACAGTAAAACTCGGTTTAAAAGAATTCCAACTCCGATGTCAGAATAGGTAACAAAAGAAACTAAGCAAAATGACAATGATACATAAATGAACAAAGGACTACTAGCAGTTACTGACATGCCAGCTCTAGACCTCAATTAAACTGATTGAAAGATTATAACTTCATCATATGAAAATAAAGTACAATCCCTCCCGTTGGGGGTTTAGTATCATACCATCATAAAATATATGAGAAGAACATAGCCCGTTTCATGCCAACAACTGGTTTAAAATAAATGTGTTTATTTCCGATGCAAAGACCCTATGAGTGAATCAATATTAATACCAAAATATGCAATCCTTAATGACTTGACAACAGTATCGTAACTATATCCTTTCCGAATAAGTCTGTTTAAAGGTTTGATTAGCTTTTGGGGTGAATGCCGACATTTTTGTGCTTTGTAAAGAATATTACCATAAAATATTGGATGTGAAATACCTGAACGTATAAGATGTCTGCATGTTGATTTATATTTACAAATGATGTCCTTGTACATGTTGTACCGATGATAAAATTTAGTAAATGTTTTGACCAGTTTGTGATATCGAAAAATCCTGGTGCGGTCGTATGTTGGTATGACGTTGGCGTCGTCCGAAGACGCATTAGTTTTCGCACTATAACTTTAGTTTAAGTGAATGGATCTCTATGAAATTTTCCCATAAGGTTCAATACCACTAATGGAAGGTTGGGATTGATTTTGGGGGTTATGGTACCAACAGTTAAGGAATTAGGGGCCAAAAATAAGCATTTTTGTAACTTCCAGACAATAACTTGTGTGTAAGTGTATGGATCTCTCTGACATTGTACCACAAGGTTCCATATCACAAAGGGAAGGCTGGAATTGATTTTGGGGGTAATTGCCTCAAAATATTAGGAATTAGGGGCCAAAAAAGGGGCAAAAAACAAGCATTTTTCTAGTTTCATGACAATAACTTGTGTGTAAGTGTTTGGATATTTCTGAAATTGTACTACAAGGTTCCATATCACAAAGGGAAAGCTGGAATTGAGTTTGGGGGTAATTGCCCGAAACGTTTAGGAATTGGGGGCCAAAAAGGGGCCAAAAATAAGCATTTTTCTAGTTTCCAGACAATAACTTGTGTTCAAGTGTATGGATCTCTCTGAAATTGTACTGCAAGGTACCATACCACAAAGGGAAGGCTGGGATTGAGTTTGGGGATGATGAATCATAAGGGGGTTCAACAAATTTGGGGGGGGGGATTTTTTTTTTTTTCCTTTTTTTTCTTTTTTTCCTTTTTTTTTCTCTTAAAATTTTCCATTTTAAGTTGGTAATTTCTGATTTATATTTAAAAGCAAATAATAATGATATGGTAGGAGATACACACCAAACAGGATGTTTAAATTATTATATAAGTATTGTGCAATAGCAAGAAATTTTCAATTGCACAGTATTGCACAATAGCAAGAAATCTTCAATTGCACAGTATTGCGCACTAGAAAGTTCTTAGACCACATTCATTCTGTGTCAGAAACCTATGCTGTGTCAAATATTTAATCACAATCCAAATTCAGAGCTGTATCAAGCTTGAATGTTGTGTCCATACTTGCCCCAACTGTTCAGGGTTCGACCTCTGCAGTCGTATCAAGCTGCGCCCTGAGGTAGCATTTCATTCAGTAATACAGAGATTTCTTTCGTTGAAATCAAATACGTTGTTACATAATTGAGCGAATCAAACAAGTTGAGATATATAAACACCATAAGATGGCGACAAGGGAACGTCACCATCTAAAAATGGATAATTAACAATAGGAAATGAAAAATCATCTCTTTTATCATAAATTTTGGTATTAAGCTTCCCGTTAAAGATAAATATATCAAGACCCAGGAAAGGACAGTGTTCATTTTTAGTATTAGCTCTATTTAAAGTTAGTTCGGCAGGATAAATCTCTTTAGTGTACATACTGAAGTCGTCATTATTAATGCTTATTAATGATTGCAATGCATGCATACATTACATGACAATTCCTGTATTGAACTACTTGTCTTAAGAAATATGAATTTTAGCTAGAAATGGCTTCCTAGAGAGATATATATAATATAAATGTTAAATTAAACGAGTCTGAAATGTTGTTTCAGTGTGTTAGATGGTCAGATGATAACTTGTGTATTTTTTTTTAATAAATGACATTTTTGTAAATTTTGTTCTATTCTAGGCCAAGCATCTTATTCCATTTGCAATAAATTAAAAAAAGTTGCCTTAATCAGAAAGATGATCCAGTGGGAAGACAAGCACACTACCATTAATTTTGACTTTAAAAAAGTTTCAGTGCAGTTGACCAAAAAGTTTGAAATAATCCTGACAATTTTTTAAAAAGATGATGATGATGATGATGATGATGATGATGGATGGCTGCTTTACATCCGGCGGCAAATTAATATGCATATTCAGGACAAGAACATGTTAATGTAATATGAATATTAACCCTGCTTTGTACAAGACCGACACTCTGAGCCAGATTTTTAACATGCTAGTTCACAAGGTAACAGCAGGAAGACGTGTCATCTTACCAGGACACATTATTCTGACTCCGAGCGGACCAGTCTTTGCTCTCACTCCTTAATGCTGCGTGCTTAGCGGAGAAGCAGCAAATGCCAATTTTAATGTCTTTGGTTTGACCTGGCCGGGGTTCGAACCCACAACCACCCTCAATCGAGGCAAACACGTTTTTAAAATAGAAAAATCCCCAATTTGTACCCACATAATGAGAAAGATAACTGTAGGAAAAACATTTGACACAAACTAGGAAATGTCTAGTTCTATACCATTCTGTGATAATAAAAAATAGAAAAAACTAATTCAAAAATGGTAACCTATGAAAAAATAATCCTCTGACCAGAGTAGGTGTGCTATCAGTACAAAGTTTCAATAATGTGGAAGGAAAACTATTGGGAGTTGCACAAGACACAAACTAGGTACCCTCTCTATTTTTCTGATAGATGAAGTTAAAAGGTTTCTAGACCTGCTCTCTGCTCTCTCCACTGATGTTACAGTTTGAAAACAAATTGACAAAATGAAGATGAGGCCATATAAAATATGATATAGATGAGAGACTTGTTCTTTTAGAACATATATCATTTTAGAAGTAAAATAAAAGCTGAATCAGGCTTTTTTTCCTCTTATACCAGAAATGGAAAGGAAAACAAAACTATTGGTAAAGAATACAACATTACCTAAGATAAGAGAAAGAATACAGTTTTTAGCTCACCTGGCCCAAAGGGCCAAGTGAGCTATTCTCCACACTTGGCGTCTGTTGTCGTCGTCATCGTTAACTTTTTACATTTTGAACTTCTTCTAGAGAACCACTGAATGGAATGGAACCAAACATGGCATGAATGTTCCTTATGAGGTGCTGACAAAGTGTTGTTACTTTGAAGCCGATCCATCATCCAAGATGGCCGCAAGCGGGGAACTTAGTTTAACATGGGATCCTATGGGAAATACATGCAAATGTCTTCTTTTAGAGAACCACTGAATGGAATGAAACCAAACATGGCATGAATGTTTCATATGAGGTGCTGACCAAGTGTTGTTACTTTGAAGCCAATTCATCATCCAAGATGGCTGCCAGCGGGGGACTTAGTTTAACATAGGATCCTATGGGAAATACATACAAATGTCTTCTTTTAGAGAACCACTGAATGGAATGAAACCAAACATAGCATGAATGTTCCTTATGAGGTGCTGACTAAGTGTTGTTACTTTGAAGCTGATCCATCATCCAAGATGGCCGCCAGCAGGGGACTTAGTTTAACATAGGACCCTAAGGGAAATACATACAAATGTCTTCTTTTAGAGAACCACTGAATGGAATGAAACCAAACATGGCATGCATGTTCCTTATGAGGTGCTGACAAAGTGTTGTTACTTTGAAGCCGATCCATCATCAAAGATGGTTGCCAGCGGGGAACTTAGTTTAACATAGGACCCTAAGGGAAATACATACAAATGTCTTCTTTTAGAGATCCACTGAATGGAACGAAACCAAACATGGCATGAATGTTCCTTATGAGGTGTTGACCAAATGTTGTTACTTTGAAGCCGATCCATCATCCAAGATGGCCTCCAGCAGGGAACTTAGTTGAACATAGGACCCTAAGGGAAATACATACACATGT